TTAACCTCGTTGATCGACATCAAGCAACTGGTTGATTAGAGTAAATATACCTTGGGATCTAGAATTGATCGTACAATACCTGCCTTTACACGACACGTCTTTCGCGCGTAATTTAGATGTGTGACACAGCCGTTGTCACACTTCGTCACACATTGTCAATCCCCTCCTCGAGCCTTAAACTGAGACATTAACCTCTGATAATTCAAAAATAAAACCAAGATTTAGTGAAGATATACTCGCTCTCACATTTGCGACATTTTACCTCGCTCACTATAATAAATACCGCGATGTGTGACCAAAGACAATTGACACACATCGTCACACTTTGTCAATCCCCTCCTCGACCTTTGAAACTGTGACAACAGCCCCTACGAATTATATTTAATCGAATTAGGTGTTATTATGCGGAAGTCCACTTCACTACTTGATGGATCTATATTATTTTGTTGAATTGCGCACTGTTTGCACGCGCGGTCTTTCTCGTTCCCTCTACATCAGGGATTCCCAAAGTGTTCTACATCGACCCCCAGGGGTTTATGACAAACTGCAAGGGGTCTACAACAAGCGTCATCTTGTTTTTACTTTATGTTTTCAACTCTAAACTTTACTACAGTTAGAAATTTACAAAACATCAATACCAGGTGTGAATGGGGGATCTACCCAGAACCGAAAAATATGGCAAGGGTTTAACGAAACAAAAAGTTTTGGAACCTCTGGTCTACATTTACATGCACACTCTATTGCTTGAAATACGCGCTAAAGACTGTACGTATAAAAGCAGGTATTAAATTACATATTTTTAATGCAATTTGAATAGCAAACAACTGCTTACATGATGGTAATAACCCGTGTTACCACTCACACATTTCCGAGGACTAAAATGTCAACCATCTCATTCTGTACATGTGTTCATTTTAGATCATTCCCAAGTATAAATATTACACTATCATATAGATAGGATCATATATATGTAACTTAACTGATTCTCGGGGAATGTCATTTATAAATTATGTGACGATTTCATTATACATATATATTGATACAGCATGGTCACGTTTGTGACATTTTGTGACAGTTATGTCACGATGTGTGACCACAGCCGTTGTCCCACGTCGTCAATCCTCTCTTCGATTTTCTGTGACATAACTTGAAAACACTCCCAACGAATTACTCAAAAATAAAATAAAGATCAAACGAACTTAATAAGTGAAGTTCGATCAAATAACATAATTCAGCTTCATTCGAAGCGATTTCCATTAAACATAGTGATAATAAATCGCAAAGAATGAAGCTGCGAACCATAATTTAAGGACAAACGAACTGACCAAGTGAAGTTCGATCATAATTATATGAGCAGCTTCATTCGAAGCGATTTCCGTTAAACATAGTGATAATAAATCGCAAAGAATGAAGCTGCGAACCATAATTTAAGGACAAACGAACTGACCAAGTGAAGTTCGATCATAATTATATGAGCAGCTTCATTCGAAGCGATTTCCGTTAAACATAGTGATAATAAATCGCAAAGAATGAAGCTGCGAACCATAATTTAAGGACAAACGAACTGACCAAGTGAAGTTCGATCATAATTATATGAGCAGCTTCATTCGAAGCGATTTATTATCACTCTGTTAAACGGAAATCGCAAAGAAAAAAGCTGCGAAACATAATTGACAATTATACACGTTACTGACACTTGTGACACAACCTCCTTCGAAGTTATAAATGTCACGATGTGCGATCAAGCCCATTATCACACATTGTCACATAATGTCACACGTTGTCAATCCCCTCTACGACCCTTAAACTAAGTACTATTAATCAGTACCCACGAATAACTCAATAATAAAACCAAGATTTTGTGAAGGTATATAGGTCACTCATATTTGTGACATTCTCGCTCCCTCACTATAATAAATGTCATGATGTGTGACCCAGACAATTGTCACACATCGTCACACAATGTCACATGTGGTCAATCCCCTCCTCGACTCCTAAACTGTGTGTAAACTGTGACATAACTTATTGCCACTTTCATGACAGTCCTCCCTCACTATTACAAATATCATGTGTGACCATTGTCACACATCGTCACACAATGTCACATATTGTCAATCCCCTCGTCGACCTTTAAACTGTGACATAACTTATAAACGGTCCTTCCGAATTGCTCAAAAATGATACCTAATAGATTTTGTGAATATACATGATCCTATATATATATGAGAATTTGTTAAAGTCCTGAAAAACGAGTTTACCATACATCCTGGAATGAATACAATGAAATTTGGTCGCTTCTAAACAAAATGTTTACAGCTAATTCATTAGAGTGTCCATTTCTACATTATATTTAGATACAAACTGTTAATTTGATGGGGTCGGCCCGCACTGCGCTTGTTAACATCACCGTTACATGAAAGGGTAATGAGTTTTAAATTGATTTGAATTTAAAAATGAATCTGTATTATTGTAAACATGTACAACATTTATTTGAAAAGAATACGAGCTGAGTTTCTTGTCAGTTCTTCTCATCTCGAAATCATTCCGAACTGACGGTAGATTTGACATATCATAAGAGTCTGTAATAGACCTACATGAATAAAGATATTTCGATATATGATTGAAATATTTATTTCATTAATTAAGGGAAATAACTGTAATAAATCTCATGTAATACTAGAACGGTCCCATAGAGGGCGAGTGCAGATGGCACTCCAAACCAAAGCAAAGACTTATGGAGCGGCTGAAGGACAACTCCCGCCTATAGATACGTCGACACTCTGAGGGCACAGATAGGGATTCAAACCTCAGCTCAGAGCGTCGTAATTTAGATCCCCGTTTGAATTGGACGATTACTCACTAAACGATTACTTGAATGACGAGCGTGCATGGCAATAGTTTTAATGTTCGGGATTTTCATTTAATGTTAGACATAGACACCTATATAAATGCATTGTAAATAAACTGGATTTAAAAAAAAAGTAATTCAATTGAGTTTCTTGCCAGTTCTTCTCAATTGGATCTAAATACCGAACTGGACGGTAGGGGAAAAAAATTATAATGTGAAACTTGACGTTCATAAGCGGCTAAAATGTCCTACATGAATAAATGATTTTTGAATTTTGACGGGGCATCGATATCGATCGAAGGGGCGTCATATTAAGTTTTTTAGCCATTCCAATATATGTATATATATGTGTGTGTGTATTATTATATATACCACTACATAGTATATAACAAAGTCGCTGTCGCTGTCTGTCCGTGTGATGTGAGCTCAAATCTTTAAAACTACGCAACGGATTTTGAAGCGGTTTTTTTTGCTAGATAGAGCGATTCAAGAGGAAGGTTTATACAATACAAGTACACCCGTGCGAAGCCGGGGTGGTTAGCTAGTATATAATATTTTTTTATTACCCGAACTCCTGTCACATTGGTTGACACCTAAACCGCACGCAGTCGGGGCCGGATTTTAGTTTCAACAACACATTACTGTTATTGCTTTTTCAAAATGGACACTCTACATTGTGTTATATAACTATATTTATACTTATTTACATATTATATATATATTTATATATATATAATTTACATTTTTCAATGTACAGACCGATATTGATACATTTTGTTGTAATTAAGCGTTGTACATTATTAGTTGTTACTCAGCGATTTCTTGCTGCAATAGGAGTCCGATGAATTACGTCACAATTTAATCCTCCCCTCTTGTCACAGTTTGTCACAGTCCCCTAGTGTGACATTGTCACAGGTAATCACAGTGACTCCTCCGCGTCTAGTGTGACGTGACATAATTCATCCTCCCTTGTCACAGTCTGTCACAGTCCCCTAGTGTGACGTGACATATAGAACTTTATTACACATTATGAAAATCAGACTTTTAATTAATATTTCATAACAGATAAAACCGCTGAGTACAACAATGTTCATACACAAAGCGCCCGCATCGTCACATTCAACTGTATGGTCCCATACACATGTATGAGACCATACTTTACATACATACAACTGAGATCATGGAGGCAAAATTCATCGCCAATTTAGAATTTTCCGTGTAATTTTATAATTCGACAGTCCTGCGACTTTTTGTCGCTGTTGAACACAGTCCGGCGACTATTTAGTCGCTATAAACCGGTCGGTACAGACGCACGATTGGATACGAGATTCCGCAAGCCCACCTTGTTGCTAACAATAGTTCGAGCATAATTGTTAGCAACAGCTTCCTGTTTCTATTTTCTTTATTATGTAATATAATTGCTAATAATTCTCATTTAAAATCGACTCAATTTTTTAATATCCTTACTAATTATAAATGCGAAAGTAACTCTGTCTGTCTGTCTATCTCGCTTTCACGCCAAAACTACTGAACCGATTTAAATAAAATTTGGTACATAGATAGTCTAGTTCCTGAGAAAGGACATAGGCTACTTTTAAACGCGAATAAAGAGTTGTAAGGGGTTGAAAATGGAGATGAAGGGTTGAAAGGGAGGTAAAAACAATGTCTGTCCATCCCTATGTATGCTTAAATCTTTAAAACTACGTAACCGATTTTGATTTGAAATTAAATTGATTGACTTTTTAATAGATAAGAGTGATTTAAGAGGAATGTTTATATATATAATACATGTACACCCCCGCGCGAAGCCGGGACGAATAAGCTAGTAATTAATAAACCAGATTATACAGTCCGCCCAGATTTGATTCATCTCCGGGGAGTAGGATCCCAATAAACGTAAATCACGTAAGAGCCCTAACTATAGACAGAGCCACGCGTCTCAGCTAGTATGCGACAATGGAGAATCATTATCCAATCATATTACATAACAGATCCACACCCTTGCATCTTCCAACCACTAAATTCAATGCCAACTCGTCCTCACCAGCTCGTAGTGTGCAGCATCCGGTGGTCCCCGGTTGCGGATGCGGCCGTCCGGCTCGGTAGGACCAGCCGGTCGCCATGGCGACGCGCGGCGGGCGCGCCTCGCGTCTCACGCGTAGTTGCTGGGGCTCTGCCCGCGGCTGTTGGAGCCCGAGCTACCGTATGACGGATCCAGTCTGGAATTAGGGTATTATAAATAAATAACTAACTTTGGATAATTAACACAGCGCCATCTAGTCCCACGGTAAGCAGAGCTTGTGTTATGGGTACTAGACAACTGATATAAATATACTTATATACATTTTTCTCGCTATACATACATACTATAGATAGAAAATACCCAGAATGATATAAACAATCATACTCATGAATACTAATATTTACGCCGTGTAGGGAATCGAACCCGCGACCATCGGAAGTAAAGCTGTATATATATATATATAAACCGCTAGACCACCGAAACTGATATTACAAGTGTAGGCGCAAGTATATACAAGGTGTGAATAGAACTGGACCAGTCAGTCAGTATATACAAGGGACCTCTAGGCCCCTACCTGCACCCTCCGCGAATTGGTCAACATAACTACAATGAGTGAATATATACTGACTCTAAATGGAATCGGACCAGTCAGTCAGTATATACAAGGGACCTCGAGGTCCTTACATGTACTTTTCGTGAATTGGGGAACATAACCGGCTATATACAAGGGGTCCCTTGTATATAGCCGGTTTGGGGAACATAACCCTTATCATCTGCTTCTTCCTTATCCCATTTATTACTGGTTGTCGTAATATGTTTTTCTCTTCCATTCATCTCTGTTCGCAGTCATCTCGTTATTCACTCCCTTTCTTACCATATCTTTCACACAGTCCATCCATCTCTTTTTCGGCCTTCCTCTGCCCTTATAACCATCCCCATTCATATGTAAAATGGGAACATAACTCTTAGTGAGTGTGTATATACAGGGTGTTAATAGAAATAAACTTTTATATTTAAATAAACTCATTAGAAGCACTTTTGAATAATAAAACTGTATCGGTCAGTCAATATATGCAGGGAGCTGTAGGTCCCGTGCACTGTGTCGGGTGTCTGGAGGCTGTGCGTGCAGTGTGTTGTGTACCTGTAGTCGTTGTGTGCGTACAGTGGGTACTCCCGCCGCAGTCGGCGCGGGCTCGGGCTCGCGCTCGGGCTCGGGCTCGAGCTGGCCGCAGGACCACCACCACCACCACCACCGCCGCCACTGTTACCACCGCCACCACCGCTACCACCGGCGGTCCCGCACACGCGGCTCACTGTCAAACGTGTAAATTATATTAAATACCAAATTATAAACATTGGAATCTCATCCGCTACTTATATTCCTAAATAAAAAAAATAAAAATTAATAAATAAATATATAAAAAAAATTACATATATATATATATATATATAAACTTCTGTAAACAATATCGCATGCCGTGGCAACCAGTAATTAAGTCAGCACTATATACCTGAACTCTTTGCAAGTTATAATAATTGTAACCTCGTGGTGTATATCTTGTTGGTCGCTCAAATAAATAAAATAATAAGTTTCATCAAAATCCGTTTAGTAGTTTTTGCGTGATTAACAAATATTTATACTCATAAGATTTCGCGTTTATTTAATACTAGCCTTTACCCGCGGCTTCGCTCGTATTGAATCAATTGATTTTAATCGACGTATAACTGAATTACTGTCTGTTAGACGGCATTCAAGTAACAAAATGATGATATAAACTTTTTTATAAAAATACTAGCTGTCCCGGCAAACGTTGTTTTGCTTTAAAATAAAAAAAAAAATAGGGGTGGACTACCCCTAACATTTAGGGGGATGAAAAATAGATGTTGGCCGATTCTCAGACCTACTCAATACGCTCACATAATTTCATGAGAATCGGTCAAGCCGTTTCGGAGGAGTATGGGAATGAAAATTGTGACACGAGAATTTTATATATAAGATTTGCTTTTTTTAAATAAAAAATATCATATGTTCATACTAATACCTCCAAGAACATGTGTACAAAATTTCATGATGATCGGTTCAGTAGTTTTCGCGTGAAAGCGTAACAAACATACCTACTGTCACATTTATAATATTAGTAACGGTAAGTGCTGGTGGTCACTCTGTTCTCTCAAATTTGAATTTAAATGAATCTGTCTTATTATAAACATGTACAACATTTATTTGAAAAGAATACGAGCTGAGTTTCTTGCCAGTTCTCATCTCGAAATCATTCCGAACTGACGGTAGATTTGACATATCATAAGAGTCTGTAATAGACCTACATGAATAAAGATATTTTGAATACGAGCTGAGTTTCTTGTCAGTTCTCATCTCGAAATCATTCCGAACTGACGGTAGATTTGACATATCATAAGAGTCTGTAATAGACCTACATGGATAAAGATATTTTGACGACCTCGGTGGTTTAGCGGTCTAGCATACCGCTTTACGTCCGATGGTCGGTTCGATTCCTCGCACGTCACAAATATTTGTATTCACGAGTATGATTGTTTGTATCGGTCTAGGGTGTTTTCTATGTATAATATGTATTTACAAAAAAAACTATATCTATGTATATATTTGTATCAGTTATCTAGTACCCATAACACAGGCTTTAGCTAGGTTAACTTGGGTCTAGATGGCGCTGTGTGAATTGTCCTGAGATTATTATTATTATTATATTGAATTGAATACCCACACATTAATATTTCATCATATTAATAAGGTAAAGATCCGCAAGAAAAGTAACGGATACGGATCTTCTGTCTCCCTCGGATATCCGCAGATACGGATACCCGGAACATGACTAGTATAAACTCATTCTTCTCATCTCGAAATCATTCCGAACTGACGGTAGATTTGACATATCATAATAGAATAGAAAATCATTTATTCAGATAAACTTACATTGAAGCACTTTTGAATAGTCATTACATTTTTTAATCTACCGCTCGTTCGGAAAGCTGTCTCATCACAAGAAGAACGAGCGAGAAACTTGTGTGTTGCTCTTTTAAATAATCCTTGTAAGTAGTCGAAACGTGTGAATACAAACTACCAACAAGCACTAGATTATTAGGATCAAATATAAATATATACATATAAATAAAATTGTAGTGTCTGTTTGTAATATTGTAATAACAATTTTTACTACATGCATATGAATATAAATACACTACATACACCAAAATAACATTTTCACAATTTTTGTCTGTCTGTCTGTGTGTCCGTTGATCCAACTAATCTCTGAAATGGCTGAACCTATTTTGATGGGACTTTTTTTGGCAGGTTGCTGATGTAATAAGGAGTAACGTAGGCTACGTTTATTTTAGAAAAATAATGTTAAATTCGCGGGTAAAGTAAAGTGAAAATAAAGTCGCAGGTGCAGCTAGTGCTGCACCCGCGACTTCGTCCGCATGGAATTTAACATTATTTTGTGTGTGTACTAACACAATAAGATTAAATCAGTCGTAGTGATAAGAGCAGAGCAGTCCCTACGAGCTTATAGGAGTCTGTAATAGACCTACATGAATAAATATATTGTGAATTTGAATTTTGGTTGGTACTCACATGCGAGTTGCTTGGCGGAGAGGTGTCCACTGTTGGAGGCGCTCAGGGACGACGGACTGGGGGTCGCCCGGGACCTGCCTGCAACACAAACGTTACATTACATACTAGCTGTCACCCACGACTTCGACCGACTTAAATATAAGTTTCTTTTTTAAAATTAAACACATAAGTAATCGTAAATTATTTCGCAACATTAACATTTTATTTAACATTAGCTGTTCCCGCGACTTTGTACGCGTCGAATTTAACTTTTTCTAAAATAAAAGTAGCCTAAGTTACTCCTTATTACATCAGCTACTAGCCAAAAAAAGTCTCGTCAAAATCGGCCCAGCCATTTCAGAGATTAGCCGGAACAACAAGACAAACAGATAGACTGACAAAATTGTAAAAAAAATTATTTTGGTATAGGTTGGTTGGTTTGGTTTTTTTAATAGATAACAATTTTTTTTTCTGTTAGAGATCTCTTTCAGCCAACCTTCCTCTTTGACAGAGGTGGTTACCTTTTTGTCAGCGGGTAGTTAATGGTAATTATGACAGCAAGTTAGTATGTGACCTGGATTGTGGTGTAACTCGCGGTAGCAGTGCGGCAGCGTGGCGGACGCCTGCAGCGGTTGCAGCGGTTGCAGCGGTTGCAGCGGCTGCAGTGGCTGCAGCGGCGGAGCTGACGACGACGGCTGCAGCGCTTGAAGCGCTTGCAGCGCAGGCAGCGCCGCCAGCGGCTGCAGCGGAGGACTGCTGGCTCGCGGGTGGAACGAGGAGTACGCTGCCACAGTTACCAGGTCAGGTAGGTAGATATACAGACAGACAGACAGATCAATATTATCTTATATATAAAATCCTCTTGTCAGTGTTAGTTACCACACTCCTCCGGAACGGCTTGATCGATTTTTATGAAGTTTTATATGCATATTTAGTAGGTCTGAGAATCGGCTACTATCTATTTCTCATACCCCTAAGTGGTATATACGACCATAAATATATTTTTTATTTTCATTTTATTATTATTTAATTAATTTTTATTTAAAAAATAACTATTTTATTTAGACATACACACTACTATCGTTTAGAAAAGTCAATATATCTTTTATGGGAATAGATATAAAAATTTACAATAAGATATCAAAGGATATACTGGAATTACCCTTAAATAAATTCAAAACATCTTTTAAAACTGCACACACTACAACTTCGTCCGCGTGGAATTAACATTATTTTTCTAAAATAAAAGTAGCACACCTTATTACATCAGCTACCTGCCAAAAAAGTCCCGTCAAAATCGGTCCTATACAAACAGACAAACAGGCCGGAACAAACAGACAAACAAAGATTATAAAAAATGTTATTTTAGTGTATATAATGTATTTATATTCATATGCATGTAGTAAAAAACGGTTATATCAATATTACAAACAGACACTACAATTTTATTTATATGTATAGATTATACATGCCTATTACTCACTAAACGGTTACTTAAATGACGAGCGTGCATGGCAATAGTTGTTCATGCACGGGATTTTCATTTAATGTTAGACATAGACACCTATACAACTACTACTCTCTGCTACCAAAATGTTAGGGAAAGTACTATGTATATATATAGGGAAAAAGATGTGGAAACGTCTGTCACGTACCTGTATGGTTCTGCGGATTTCTTGGGCTTCAGGGTCTCGAAGATATCTTCGCTAGCTTTCCAGTTTCACAGTAGGTTTCACAGTTCTAATTTATTTTAATTCACAACACAATGCGCGCGCGCGTCAAGGTCGCCGTACAGTCGGTTCAGTACTGGGTAAGGAAGGGGAAGGAAAGACGCGGGAACAAAAACTAACGGACTCTAATATAATAATCTGTGCTTACGATGATACAGGGTATATTTTGAACAATATACATTGTAAATAAACTGACTTTAAAAAAATGTAATCCAATTGAGTTTCTTGCCAGTTCTTCTCAATTGGATCTATATACTGAACTGGACGGTAGGGAAAAAATATTATATAAAAAACTTGATGTTCATAAGCGGCTAAAATGTCTTACATGAATAAATTATTTTTTATGTAATTTGATTAATGATATGAACAAAATACACCTTATGACTAGGTGATAAGGTATAAATTAATAAATCACTTTTTATTTAACTTTAACAATAATGAGATAAAATAAATGCACCTTATAACTAGGTGATAAGGTTGAAATTAAGACGTACCTCTGAGCAGCGAGAGGTCGATGGCAGCCCGCAGTTCATCATCCTCAGCTCGAGCACGCGCCAGAGACAACGCCGCCTGCGAAACACCTCATTTTCAACATCTATAACGCCCTTACGAAAAGGGTGGCGAGTGTGACGAGTGTGACGAAGATGACGAGTGTGGCGAGTGTAGAGAGTGCGGCAGTTGTAAAGAGTTTGCCAAATGTAGTGAATGTGTAGAGCGTGGCTGGTGTGGCGAGTGTGACGAATATGACTAGTGTGGCGAGTGTAGAGTGCGACGGTTGTGGCGAGTGTGCCAAATGTGGTGAATGTGTAGAGCGTGGCTGGTGTGGCGAGTGTAGAATGTGCAACGGTTGTGGCGAGTGTACCAATGTGATGAGTATGTAGTGTGACGGGTGTGATGACGATGTCAAGTGTGGCGAGTGTAGTGATGGTTATGACGAATGTGCCAAATGTGAAAATGTAGAGTATGGCAGGTGTGGCGATTGTGATGACAATGACGAGTACGGCGAGTGTAGAGTGTGACGGTTGTGAAGAGTGTGCCAAATGTGGTGAATGTGACGACGATATCGACTGGCGAGTGTAGAGAGTACGTAGGTCGTGGCGAGTGCGCTATATGTGGTTAGTAGTGAGCGTGATGTGTGTGGCGAGTGTGACGAGTGTGACGAGCGTGACAGTACCTGCGCGTGGTCCCGGCGCGCGGCGGAGGAGGCGGCCTGCTGCGCGGCCACGGCGCGCGCCGCACGGGACCCTGACCACAGGAGGGACTCATTGACATAACAATCTCAGGACAATTCACACAGCGCCATCTAGACCCAAGTTAACCTAGCTAAAGCTTGTGTTATGGGTCCTAGACAACTGATGCATGTACAAAGATATATTTTTTTAAACAAATTGTTCATCTTCCCTTACAACCCTTTATTCGCGTTAAAAATTAGCCTATGTCCTTTCTCAGGGTCTAGACTATCTGTGTACCAAATGTCATTTAAATCGGTTCAGTAGTTTTGGCGTCAAAGCGTTACAAACAGACAGAGTTACTTTCACATTTATAATATTAGTAAAAATATGGAATATTTCTCAACTCTACTGACGCAGGAAACGCCATAGAACACAGCTAGTCATCTATAAAACAAACCCACTCACCAGGCCGTGGAGTGTGCGTAGCACCATCGCCCAAATCTAACTGCAGTATGCCGCTGCTGAACTCTGTCAAATAAAAACAAAACAAAAATATATAACAGTCTGTCATTTTGATCTCGAAAATGAAATTGACAGGTGTAAACGTCAAATTTTCAAATGTTACCATCTACAGTGGGGTAGTGGTGTACCTGCGATACCGATTTGTTGATAAGGCGGTAGTGGTGAGTGTGTACCGGGCGGGTGGCGGTAGTAGTGAGTGTGTACCGGGCGGGTGGCGGTAGTAGTGAGTGTGTACCGGGCGGGTGGCGGTAGTGGTGAGTGTGTACCGGGCGGGTGGCGGTAGTAGTGAGTGTGTACCGGGCGGGTGGCGGTAGTGGTGAGTGTGTACCGGGCGGGTGGCGGTAGTGGTGAGTGTGTATCGGGCGGGTGGCGGTAGTGGTGAGTGTGTACCGGGCGGGTGGCGGTAGTAGTGAGTGTGTACCGGGCGGGTGGCGGTAGTAGTGAGTGTGTACCGGGCGGGTGGCGGTAGTAGTGAGTGTGTACCGGGCGGGTGGCGGTAGTGGTGAGTGTGTACCGGGCGGGTGGCGGTAGTGGTGAGTGTGTACCGGGCGGGTGGCGGTAGTGGTGAGTGTGTACCGGGCGGGTGGCGGTAGTGGTGAGTGTGTATCGGGCGGGTGGCGGTAGTGGTGAGTGTGTACCGGGCGGGTGGCGGTAGTGGTGAGTGTGTACCGGGCGGGTGGCGGTAGTGGTGAGTGTGTACCGGGCGGGTGGCGGTAGTGGTGAGTGTGTACCGGGCGGGTGGCGGTAGTGGTGAGTGTGTACCGGGCGGGTGGCGGTAGTAGTGAGTGTGTACCGGGCGGGTGGCGGTAGTAGTGAGTGTGTACCGGGCGGGTGGCGGTAGTAGTGAGTGTGTACCGGGCGGGTAGCGGTAGTAGTGAGTGTGTACCGGGCGGGTGGCGGTAGTAGTGAGTGTGTACCGGGCGGGTGGCGGTAGTGGTGAGTGTGTACCGGGCGGGTGGCGGTAGTAGTGAGTGTGTACAGGGCGGGTGGCGGTAGTGGTGAGTGTGTACCGGGCGGGTGGCGGTAGTAGTGAGTGTGTACCGGGCGGGTGGCGGTAGTAGTGAGTGTGTACCGGGCGGGTAGCGGTAGTAGTGAGTGTGTACCGGGCGGGTGGCGGTAGTAGTGAGTGTGTACCGGGCGGGTGGCGGTAGTGGTGAGTGTGTACCGGGCGGGTGGCGGTAGTAGTGAGTGTGTACAGGGCGGGTGGCGGTAGTGGTGAGTGTGTACCGGGCGGGTGGCGGTAGTAGTGAGTGTGTACCGGGCGGGTGGCGGTAGTAGTGAGTGTGTACCGGGCGGGTGGCGGTAGTGGTGAGTGTGTACCGGGCGGGTGGCGGTAGTGGTGAGTGTGTACCGGGCGGGTGGCGGTAGTAGTGAGTGTGTACCGGGCGGGTGGCGGTAGTGGTGAGTGTGTACCGGGCGGGTGGCGGTAGTGGTGAGTGTGTACCGGGCGGGTGGCGGTAGTAGTGAGTGTGTACCGGGCGGGTGGCGGTAGTAGTGAGTGTGTACCGGGCGGGTGGCGGTAGTAGTGAGTGTGTACCGGGCGGGTGGCGGTAGTAGTGAGTGTGTACCGGGCGGGTGGCGGTAGTAGTGAGTGTGTACCGGGCGGGTGGCGGTAGTGGTGAGTGTGTACCGGGCGGGTGGCGGTAGTGGTGAGTGTGTACCGGGCGGGTGGCGGTAGTGGTGAGTGTGTACCGGGCGGGTGGCGGTAGTGGTGAGTGTGTACCGGGCGGGTGGCGGTAGTGGTGAGTGTGTACCGGGCGGGTGGCGGTAGTGGTGAGTATGTACCGGGCGGGTGGCGGTAGTAGTGAGTGTGTACCGGGCGGGTGGCGGTAGTGGTGAGTGTGTACCGGGCGGGTGGCGGTAGTAGTGAGTGTGTACCGGGCGGGTGGCGGTAGTAGTGAGTGTGTACCGGGCGGGTGGCGGTAGTAGTGAGTGTGTACCGGGCGGGTGGCGGTAGTAGTGAGTGTGTACCGGGCGGGTGGCGGTAGTAGTGAGTGTGTACCGGGCGGGTGGCGGTAGTAGTGAGTGTGTACCGGGCGGGTGGCGGTAGTAGTGAGTGTGTACCGGGCGGGTGGCGGTAGTAGTGAGTGTGTACCGGGCGGGTGGCGGTAGTAGCTGGGCGCCGTCAGTAGGTGCGTGTTGGCGTTGGGCGCCATGGCCACGTCCGGCACGGCCGCCGACAGCCGCCCGCCCGCAGTACTGCCGCTCGCCCTGGGGAAAATGCATTTAATTTTACTAAACTTCGTTATTGAAAACAAAATACAAGAATTTTAATAATTTTTTATCTTAAGGTATTACACAGAGAAAGTATTAGCTACACTTTTATATCCACACATTCTATACATTTGGTCCTTCGAGCCGGATCTGAACCTACGACCTATGAAGTAACTGATTTATCTTTTATGTTTACGGGGCTGCTGCTTCTCAATCCACCCTCGTAACCGCAGCTGACTTACACTAAGCTTATAACACAAAAAGTTTGTATCGGGAGAAAATTGGTCACTTTGACTTGTTCCTGGCTCGCGGCCTATAGTAAGTATATTTATAGTTTAGTTACCTGTGTCCTTCTGTGGTCCTGGATGGTAGCTGGCGGCGACACGTGCCCGGCCGGGACGTGTCTACAACACATTGTCATATTTTAAAACATTACGCAAAATCAAGGTGAGTATTGTTGTGACGTGACTATGTCACAACAATACAAAACAAAGTGTCTCGCTGCTCTTATAAAGTGTCTCGCTGTTCTTATAAAGTGTCTCACTGCTCTTATAAAGTGTCTCGCTGCTCTTATAAAGTGTCTCGCTGCTCTTATAAAGTGTCTCGCTGCTCTTATAAAGTGTCTTGCTGTTCTTATAAAGTGTCTCCCTGCTCTTATAAAGTGTCTCGCTGCTCTTATAAACTGTCTTGCTACCCTTGTAAAGTAGTTGTAAAGTGGTGGTACGTACCGAGGGGGATGTGTAAGGAGGGTTGAGAGCGCACGCTGCCGCCGGACGAACATCGCGCCGTATCTTGCATCCTGGATACAAACATTTTTTTTTTCTAATTGATGACAACGAAATGGTACCTGCGACAGCTCTAACGGTTATCGCTGTCACGAGTCGCGTGACGTCAAATTTTAGCAATACTATTTAAAAAAAAAAGATTTAGGTGGTGATCTCACCTGCAGCAGTCCCGACGGTCGGCGGGCGGAGACTCCCACTCTCCGCTACTGCGAGACCGCGCACTGCAAACAACAATAATTCATATATTACTAAACACTATTCTAAATAGGCTTAACAAAGATTTGCAGATTTTGTCAAACTGAAGAGGAAACGCCACTACACACCCTGTGTGGTTGTAGCCCACTCATGTATAAACGAAATATCTCCTTTGGAAAGTTTACACTCTATCCTGAGGAGATAAAAACCATCGCTCCTAAGAATATCTTTCGTTTTAATTATAATAATCCAAATAGTTTGCGGCGGTTAGTCGTGAACAATAAGTGTGCACCAAACATACAAAAAATTGTAAATAATTTTATTTTTTATTTTTAACCGTCAAATTAAAAAAGAAACGTATATTTTACCTGTCGTTGGATGTTTCCAAATCATTGAGTAGCAGGTCCGCGCATGCGTCCGGCAGCGACATCTCGCGGACGGCGCGCAACGCGATCTGAAATTATAAAGTTAACCATTCGTGATGTTATCCATCAAAATGTGGTACACACATGTTTGGTCAGAATCGTTTAAACAGAGAACAGATAGTCTGCGACAGTGTCAATAACGGACCGTGTATATTCTGATCTTGTTTGAGTAGTGTGAAATAACATTTTTAAAAGAGCAACACACAAGTTTCTTACTCATTCTTCTTGTGATGAGTTTGCGTTTCGATTGAGTGGTAGAAGGTAAGTACAACACAACACAACACACACACTCCCTGGCGCGCGCCCGCAGCGCGGCGACACACACACACACACACACACACACACACACACACACACACACACACACACACACACACACACACACACACACACACACACACTCACCTGGCGCGCGACGGGCGCGGCGTCGTGCGCGTGCAGCCGCAGCGCGCGCGCGGCGGGCGGCGCGGCGCGCAGCTCCCTGGCGCGCGCCCGCAGCGCGGCGACACACACACACACACACACACACACACACACACACACACACACACACACACACACACACACACACACACACTCACCTGGCGCGCGACGGGCGCGGCGTCGTGCGCGTGCAGCCGCGCGCGCGCGCGGCGGGCGCGGCGCGCATATCCCCGCGCGCGCCCGCAGCGCGGCGACACACACACACACACACACACACACACACACACACACACACACACACACACACACACACACACACTCACCTGGCGCGCGACGGGCGCGGCGTCGTGCGCGTGCAGCCGCGCGCGCGCGCGGCGCGGCGCGGCGCGCAGCTCCCCGGCGCGCGCCCGCAGCGCGGCGACACACACACACACACACACACACACACACACACACACACACACACACACACACACACACACACACACACACACTCACCTGGCGCGCGACGGGCGCGGCGTCGTGCGCGTGCAGCCGCAGCGCGCGCGCGGCGGGCGGCGCGGCGCGCAGCTCCCTGGCGCGCGCCCGCAGCGCGGCGACACACACACACACACACACACACACACACACACACACACACACACACACACACACACACACACACACACACTCACCTGGCGCGCGACGGGCGCGGCGTCGTGCGCGTGCAGCCGCAGCGCGCGCGCGGCGGGCGGCGCGGCGCGCAGCTCCCTGGCGCGCGCCCGCAGCGCGGCGAGCACGCGCGGCGACACGCAGGCCTCCGCGCCCGCGCCGCAGTCCGCGCCCGCGGCCCCCGCCTCGCCGGACCCCGCGCCGCCCTCGGTCCGCGCCGCCGCCACCTGCCGCCGTCACGTCACGATCTTATACAGGCTGTCCCATTACTGAGATCGTCTAACGGACTGCTCGATAGAAAAACTTTTAATCTCCCTAAGCGAAGAACTGACTAGCGAATACTCCCCTCGACCTAAGTGGTGAACCTCTCAATAACATCAGGTATGCAGACAATACCATATGTTAGGGAAACTACTCTCTGCTACCAAAATGTTAGGGAAAGTACTATGTATATATATAGGGAAAAACGTCTGTCACGTACCTGTATGGTTCTGCGGATTTCTTGGGCTTCAGGGTCTCGAAGATATCTTCGCTAGCTTTCCAGTTTCACAGTAGGTTTCACTCAGTTCTAATTTATTTTAATTCACAACACAATGCGCGCGCGTCATGGCCGCCGTACAGTCGGTTCAGTACTAGTTAAGGGAGGGGAAGGAAAGACGCGGGAACAAAAACTAACGGACTCTAATATAATAATCTGTGCTTACGATGATACAGGGTATATTTTGAACACCATACTTTTGTTAAGTATACGATCGATATTACAACTCACCATGTACAGTGTATCAGGAATACGGTGCTGGTACATCGCTCTGCGGGCGCGTGCTAACTCCGCTTCCGGCACCACTTGATCTTCAAGTAACGCCTGCAATAACAATACATATATTTAAGGAGATGTGTGAGTACCCTTTTAAGTTAGAGAGCTAAACAGTGACAGCTTAAAGGAGATAGTCGAAAGACGAAAGACCTGTAAGCATCACTTCAAAGGAATTGGCGGTAAGATTGCCTTTCGGTTTTCTTTAAAATTCGATGGCGACTGCAGTGTCATACTAAGATACTAGTAGGCGGGCCGCAGTGGACGTACCTCGAGCTCGTCGAGGTGGGGCCGCAGTGGACGTACCTCAAGCTCGTCGAGGTGGGGCCGCAGTGGACGTACCTCGAGCTCGTCGAGGTGGGGCCGCAGTGGACGTACCTCGAGCTCGTCGAGGTGGGGCCGCAGTGGACGTACCTCGAGCTCGTCGAGGTGGGGCCGCAGTGGACGTACCTTGAGCTCGTCGAGGTAGGGCAGGAAGCAGCGCGGCGGGCGAAGCGCGCCGCGCGCCAGCCAGGCGGCGGCGGAGCCCGCGGCCTGCGCGGGGGGCGGGGCGAGCCTGTGCTGCAGCAGCTCGTGGTCGCGCGGCACGTGTTCGAGCCGCACGAGGGGCAGCAGGGCGGCGAGCGCGGCGCGGGCGGCCGCCTCGCCCCCCGCGCGCCGCGCCCGCCCGCCGCGCGCGCCCCGCGCCCGCCCCGCGTGCGCCGTGTGCCACACCACGTTCGGCTCTGGAAGGACCGATATTATTATAAGTAGCTGTGACGCGGTCGAGTGGAATGAGTAGTCGTGCTCACTAAAATGTCCAAACCTGATAATCATATGTACATCAAAATATTGATCTTATACACTAAATGACATTAGGAAAGTGGGTGGGTAATATATGGGATGGGTGACATGGTTTAGATACGGCAGTGCTGAGTCATTACATAGTATAAAACAAAGTCGCTGTCGCTGTCTGTCCGACTCTATGTATGCTTAAACCTTTAAAACTACGCAACTAATTTTGAAGCGATTTTTTTAATAGATAGAGTAATTCAAGAGGAAGGTTTATACGTATAATACATGTACACCCGGACGAAGCCGGGGTGGTAAGCTAGTAGACAATATTGTATTTGTCTTACTAGACATTACTAAATACAATTATTATTTTGATATATCCTATCCCATACAGTATATCGGGCTCCGCTGGTGTACCTGCGTGGGGCGGGTGCGCGCGCTCGGCCCATCGTAGCAGTGCACGTAAGGCCTGCGGCTCGCTGGCCTGCAGGAACGGCGAGCTGAGAGCGGCGGCGAGGGCGGCGCGGGGCAGCCGGGCAGACGCCGCGTGCGCCATCACCGCCGGGAACTCGTCGCGGAAGTACCGCATCGCCTGCCTGCGACATATCAGTATCACATATCAGTATCCTCCTCTCTTTTCTTACATTTGAATTCATATATTTTATTGATCTCAATATTTCTCACTTCTTTAGTACCCACGACTCCTTGGTTTTCTTGCGTAATATACAATTTATTTCAGTATTTCTATAACTTTTTAGTACCCACAATACGAGCTTCGCTAAACTAGACTCTGGATGACGCTGTGAATTGTCCTAATTAGTAATAGACCTGACAAAATTAGGTCCATTCGTGAAAGTCACCATTAAATTTGAGATTCTAATTTTAGGCAACTACCTTGATATAAAATCTAATTATATTTTGTTTCCATGAATCTAAAAATCTATTAAAATTAAATCCATTCATGAAGTTACCATTAAATTTGTAAAACTAATTTTAGGCAATTGTTACAACATAAAATTTAATTATACTTCTTATTTCTCCCAATAAACGAACGAAGTTCTTTCTTGAAAGTTACCATTAAATTCGAGAAAGTAATTTTAGGTAACCATCTTAATATAAAATTTTATTATAGTTTCTGATTTAAAGCAATAAATCTGACAAAATGAAGTCCATTCGTGAAAGTTACCATTAAATTCGAGAAAGTAATTTTAGGCAACTGTCTTAATATAAAATTTGACTATACTTTCTTATTTAAAGCAATATATCTGAAAAAAAAATGAAGTCCATTCGTGAAAGTTACTATTAAATTCGAGAACGTAATTTTAGGGAACTGTCTTAATATAAAATTTGATTATACTTTCTTGTTTCAAACAGTAAATCTGACAAAATGAAGTCCATTCGTGAAAGTTACAATTAAATTAGATAAACTAATTTTAGGCAACTGTCTCAATATGAAATGTAATAATATTCAGACTCGAACTCGTATATTATGTCCGGACACAGTGCCTCCACGACGGCGTGCCTAGTGTGTAGTGTGTAGTGTGTAGTGTGCAGTGTGTAGTGCGTGGTGCGCACCTGTAGACCCACTGGCTGGCGTGCGGCGCGTGCGCCCAGCGCAGGATGGTGGGCAGCGTGTCCGGACACAGCGCCTCCACGATGGCGTCCTCGCAGCCCTGCACCACGATCGCCATCTCCAGGAACCTGCTCATCAAGCATACCATCCGTCACCAACCATTACTATAGATCTGTGTTTCCCAAACTTTCTAGTGCCATTTGCCTTACTTAAATATCAAAACAAAATATCTTTATTCATGTAGGTCTATTACAGACTCTTATGATGTGTCAAATCTACCGTCAGTTCGGAATGATTTCGAGATGAGAAGAACTGACAAGAAACTCAGCTCATATTATTTTCAAATAAATGTTGTACATGTTTATACTAAGACAGATTCTTTTTTATATTCAAATTTGGGAGAATAGAGTGACCACCAGCATATGCTATAAATCAGAGGTTCCCAAACTTTTTTGTGTCGTAGACCTCTTGCCATATTTTTCGGTTTTGGGTAGACATTTCATTCTTACATTTATAGTATAAGTGATAAAACAAGATGATATTGACCTGGCAATCTCGTACAGTTGGAAGGCATCGTCCAACATCGCTCCACCACGGTTACCACGACTGCCGGTCGACCACGGCTGCAACACAACACCGACCAATCAGGCAGAGTGAATAGAAAGGATCTAACGTTAAATGAAAATCCAGTGCATGAACAACTATTGCCATGCACGGTCGTCATTCAAGTAATCGTTTAGTGAGTAATAGGCTTTGCTCAGTAAATATGATTTAGCAGATGTTTTGAATTTATTTGAAGGTAATTTCAGTATACCGTATTATAATAATATCAATTGTCCCTCCTTTAGCGCTTCTACACTTTAGCAGCTTTTTGTAAATATTAATTTTCATTGCAAAATGGCGACCACCACCCATGGAGCAAATCAAAATTAGAGTCACTAGACTAACTCAAACGTTTAGCCATATAAATTAAAATGGTTATTAAAAATAGGGGTTGATGGTAGAAGGGTGAAAATTTACGATTGTATGTATCATTAATGCCACGAATTGGACCAGTGTACTTTGACAGAACTATGCTGACTCACCGTGCTGCCGCTGCCGATGCTGTTAGTGGATGATGGAGACGAGGAGTTCCTGCCGATCAAGCTGAGATCCACCTGTTCAGAGAAGATAATAGCAATGAGAAGCCTGGACAATTCACACAGCGCCATCTAGTTCCAAGCTAAGTACAACTTGTGTTATGGGTACTAGAAGATTGATACAAATATTTACCTATTTTTTGTAAATACACTGAAAATACACGGACCAATGTATTCCGAGGTTCATACATCGCAGTCTTATAAATTATATATTAATGTAATTCGGTTATTTTTCTGGTGACGAGTGTGACGAGTGTGGCGAGTGTGACGCGGTACCTGGTCGGTGTAGGCGGCGTGCAGCAGCGCGCGCGCGAACCGCCGCGGCAGCACCTTCTCGTCCACGCACACCGCCGTCGCTCCCCCCCGTCGCCGCGACACACGTGACGAGTGTGACGAGTGTGGCGAGTGTGACGCGGTACCTGGTCGGTGTAGGCGGCGTGCAGCAGCGCGCGCGCGAACCGCCGCGGCAGCACCTTCTCGTCCACGCACACCGCCGTCGCTCCCCCGCCGCGACACACGTGACGAGTGTGACGAGTGTGGCGAGTGTGACGCGGTACCTGGTCGGTGTAGGCGGCGTGCAGCAGCGCGCGCGCGAACGCGCGCGCGGCAGCACCTTCTCGTCCACGCACACCGCCGTCGCTCCCCCGCCGCGACACACGTGACGAGTGTGACGAGTGTGGCGAGTGTGACGCGGTACCTGGTCGGTGTAGGCGGCGTGCAGCAGCGCGCGCGCGAACCGCCGCGGCAGCACCTTCTCGTCCACGCACACCGCCGTCGCTCCCCCGCCGCGACACACGTGACGAGTGTGACGAGTGTGGCGAGTGTGACGCGGTACCTGGTCGGTGTAGGCGGCGTGCAGCAGCGCGCGCGCGAACCGCCGCGGCAGCACCTTCTCGTCCACGCACACCGCCGTCGCTCCCCCGCCGCGACACACGTGACGAGTGTGACGAGTGTGGCGAGTGTGACGCGGTACCTGGTCGGTGTAGGCGGCGTGCAGCAGCGCGCGCGCGAACCGCCGCGGCAGCACCTTCTCGTCCACGCACACCGCCGTCGCTCCCCCGCCGCCGCCCGCGCCCGCCCGCCGCGACATCACGCTCCTGCACAGGCCACATGCCATATTAACACCTACGACTAGACACTATAAGGATCATTAAGACATCACGCTTGAACAATTGAATAGGGCGAGATAGGGCGCCCTGACGACGCCCTAACCACTAATCCGGGGTCAAGACATCACCATCACCATCCAGAGGCATACGCGTGCATCCACACGCTTAAACAATTTAATAGGGCGAGATAGGGCGCCCTAACAATCTGGCAGCTGAAAGTAGCACTCACCTGAAGTAGCGGGACCTGGCGGCCAGCAGCAGTCGGTGGCACGGCAGCTCGAGTGCGGCCGAGAACCCGTACGCAGCTCCACGAGCCTCCACCGGGAACACCAGCCGCGCGTCCGCCAGAGACCCTGACACACCAACAATAGAATAAAACTCTTATACTCCCTACCACGTCTAACAATAGTTTTATATTATCAGCGACTCTATCACGTCTAACAATAGTTTTATATTTCCAGCGACTCTATCACGTCTAACAATAGTTTTATATTACCAGCGACTCTATGACGTCTAACAATAGATTTATATTACCAGCGACTCTATGACGTCTAACAATAGTTTTATATTTCCAGCGACTCTATCACGTCTAACAATAGTTTTATATTTCCAGCGACTCTATCACGTCTAACAATAGTTTTATATTACCAGCGACTCTATGACGTCTAACAATAGTTTTATATTATCAGCGACTCTATGACGTCTAACAATAGTTTTATATTATCAGCGACTCTATGACGTCTAACAATAGTTTTATATTTCCAGCGACTCTATCACGTCTAATAATACAAGAGTACTAAATAACATATTTATTCAAATAAAGTTACATTTACAGCGCCCCTACCCCGTCATGCGAGTCAAGTCCCCGCCGATGGATCCCCCGTCTAATTCAAACGGGGATCGATATTACGAAGACCTGAGCCGAGGTTCGAACCCCAACTGAACCGATTTGGCTAATTTTAGTCTTGAAATTAAGTTTATTTGAACAAATTATTTTCAATTCTATTCTATTCTAATAAGATCCTCAGTTTACATTATTAACAATTCTGTTTCCACAGGGCACAGCTAATTACAAATACATTTTTAAATATGAAGTCACGAAATACAGAATACAGTCCCAGTAGGCTCGTAAGGGGATCGTAGGGGGCTGTATAATGAAGGGTTATTTCGGGGATTTAAAACTATGTTAGTTACCTGACTCGAGGAGGTACCGCATGTCGTGGTGCGTGGAGTCGAGTGAGAACCCGAGCCGCGCCGCCAGCCGCCGCAGCGCGGCCGCGTCCGGACGCGCGCGGACGCACGCGCACGCGCCCGCCCCGCCCCCGCCGCCCCCGCCACCGCCGCCGCCGGCTGACGACGACACCATCGACTCATTTATCTCGCGGACACAATCAACTCACTTATCTCGCGGACACAATCAACTCACTTATCTCGCGGACACAATCAACTCACTTATCTCGCGGACACAATCAACTCACTTATCTCGCGGACACAATCAACTCACTTATCTCGCGGACACAATCAACTCACTTATCTCGCGGACACAATCAACTCACTTATCTCGCGGACACAATCAACTCACTTATCTCGCGGACACAATCAACTCACTTATCTCGCGGACACAATCAACTCACTTATCTCGCGGACACAATCAACTCACTTATCTCGCGGACACAATCAACTCACTTATCTCGCGGACACAATCAACTCATTTATCTCGCGGACACAATCAACTCATTTATCTCGCGGACACAATCAACTCATTTTTCTCGCGGACACAATCAACTCATTTATCTCGCGGACACAATCAACTCATTTATCTCGCGGACACAATCAACTCATTTATCTCGCGGACACAATCAACTCATTTTTCTCGCGGACACAATCAACTCATTTATCTCGCGGACACAATCAACTCATTTATCTCGCGGACACAATCAACTCATTTTTCTCGCGGACACAATCAACTCATTTTTCTCGCGGACACAATCAACTCATTTTTCTCGCGGACACAATCAACTCATTTTTCTCGCGGACACAATCAACTCATTTTTCTCGCGGACACAATCAACTCCTTTATCTCGCGGACACAATCAACTCATTTTTCTCGCGGACACAATCAACTCATTTATCTCGCGGACACAATCAACTCATTTATCTCGCGGACACAATCAACTCATTTATCTCACCACACACATATAGACTTCTTACACCCACTATTTAACTATAATTCAAGAAACTCAATAGGATATATTTTTTAAAGCCAGTTCATTTACAATGTATCTTTATACAGGCTGAACCAGAACTCAACGTCAAGCCGAAACGAAATGACAGGATTGTAACCATCACGAGAAAAATCAGAAAAAAAATCTATCCCATACAGTTTGAAAATTAAGTAAAACCTAGAAATTTGGTCAAACTGTAACTTCGCTTATTGTGGTTAATTTTTATTATTTTTGTCCAACTTAACTTTGGAACCGCAACCCTAAATAACATTTCTAGAACCACAGTAAAAAATAATGACAATTGCCCCAAGTTTTCTGGAATTGAGACTATTTGTTAAACCATGAACTTAAAATTTTCAAAATTTGCGATTTTTTCAAACTTTTAGAGGCCCTCCATTAAAGAAAATGTACTAATGTGCTTTGGCAAGTGCCATAAAAAATTCGCACATTTAATCAGCATTGTAAAATGGTACAATACTTATTAGTTTCATACTAAAAAAAAAAGTAAAAAAATAAAAGCCTTAAGTAACCCGATTTTTGCAAGCCCATTTTACTCAGTTTAAATTCTTTTCTATTTTAACAAGCTCTTGGTAGGTTCTTAATTTTACCGCAAAATTATGAGAGAGATGGATAGTGGACATGTTTGGCATGAGTGAGCGAGACAGATAGTGGCGCCACTTTTACCAAAGTCAACATAAGTAAGTAAAATTAATAATATTGTAGCAACACAGTTTCTACACGTGCCACTGTCTACTTCCTAGAATCCATATCGCACGGCACGTGTAATAGCACATTAGCAACGCAGCTGTGCGACAAAGTTTCATACAAACTTTCATCCCCTATTTTATCCCCTTGGGGGTAGAATTAATAAAAATCCTTTCTTAGCGGATGCCTACGTCATAACATCTACCTGCATGCCAAATTTCAGCCCGATCCGTCCAGTGGTTTGGGCTGTGCGTTGATAGATCACTATGTCAGTCACCTTTGAGTTAGATATATATAGATAAATAGACATAGTGAAATTATATATGATTTTACAGTGTTCCGTACATAAGTAACTTAAGATATACAGACAAACTCACTGTTTGTGTTCTCTACGATGTCGAGCTCACCATCCAAGCTCCCGCCGCGATCCCATTCTGGAATCACAAATACATCTATACATACAAATAAAATTAGAGTGTCTGTTTGTAATATTGAAATAACCGTTTTTTACTACATGCATATGAATATAAATACGGTACATACACCAAAATAACATTTAAAACTATTTTTGTCTGTATGTCTGTTTGTTCCGGTTAATCTCTGAAATGGCTGGACCGATTTTGACGGGACTTTTTAGGCAGGTAGCTGATGTAATAAGGAGTAACGTAGGCTACTTTTATTTTAGAAAAATAATGTTAAATTCCACGCGGACGAAGTCGCTAGTACAGCTACCTTATTAAATAAACCAATCGGTTTACCTACCGGGAGTTATAAACTCCAGTATTTTTAATTTGTTAGTAAAATGTAATTATGGTAGGCTTAAGATTAATTTTAACTTGAGTTTGTAATGTGTATTGTATAGCGTGTAGCGTGAAGTAGTATAGTGTAGCGTGGCGTGTAATAGGGTAGTGTAGCGTGGAGTGAAATAGTGTAGGGTACAGCACGTACAGCGCGCCCACGGCCGCCTCCAGCTCACAATGTATAGTGTGTAGTGTGGTGCGGTGTAGTGTGGTGTAGCGTGGCTCACTCACTGGCACAGAGCGCACACAGCGGCCGCGCGCAGTACGCGGCGCCGGCGTACAGCGCGCCCACGGCCGCCTCCAGCTCACAATGTATAGTGTGTAGTGTGGTGCGGTGTAGTGTGGTGTAGCGTGGCTCACTCACTGGCACAGAGCGCACACAGCGGCCGCGCGCAGTACGCGGCGCCGGCGTACAGCGCGCCCACGGCCGCCTCCAGCTCACAATGTATAGTGTGTAGTGTGGTGCGGTGTAGTGTGGTGTAGCGTGGCTCACTCACTGGCACAGAGCGCACACAGCGGCCGCGCGCAGTACGCGGCGCCGGCGTACAGCGCGCCCACGGCCGCCGCCAGCTCACAATGTATAGTGTGTAGTGTGGTGCGGTGTAGTGTGGTGTAGCGTGGCTCACTCACTGGCACAGAGCGCACACAGCGGCCGCGCGCAGTACGCGGCGCCGGCGTACAGCGCGCCCACGGCCGCCTCCAGCTCACAATGTATAGTGTGTAGTGTGGTGCGGTGTAGTGTGGTGTAGCGTGGCTCACTCACTGGCACAGAGCGCACACAGCGGCCGCGCGCAGTACGCGGCGCCGGCGTACAGCGCGCCCACGGCCGCCTCCAGCTCACAATGTATAGTGTGTAGTGTGGTGCGGTGTAGTGTGGTGTAGCGTGGCTCACTCACTGGCACAGAGCGCACACAGCGGCCGCGCGCAGTACGCGGCGCCGGCGTACAGCGCGCCCACGGCCGCCTCCAGCTCACAATGTATAGTGTGTAGTGTGGTGCGGTGTAGTGTGGTGTAGCGTGGCTCACTCACTGGCACAGAGCGCACACAGCGGCCGCGCGCAGTACGCGGCGCCGGCGTACAGCGCGCCCACGGCCGCCTCCAGCTCCTCGCGCGGCAGCGCCGCCGCCTCGCCCTCCAGCGGCACGCGGCACGCAGACCTGCAGTGAGATGGAGGAAGGGGGGGATGGAATACCCATCAGTATAATACCATTGATAAACATTCACGAGGATCAATAACCGAAACCCGGTCATAACCATACCCCCCCACTTGAAAATTTATACCCATAATTTAATTTCATCACGTGATCTTCAATTGTTCATATATATCGCGGGTCTATTCATAATTACGCGATCAGATAATGTTCTCGGCATCCTTTAGTTCTATCACCAGTAGTCGTTACAACACTCCCCCGCCTGAAATAGTAGCAAGATAACACTCACGGCGGGTACCGCTGCAGCAGGTCTCTGAAGTAGGAGCAGCGCGCGGAGAGGATGGCGCGGTGCGCGGCCAGCGACCAGCCCGCGCCCACCAGCTCCACGTCGCACCACCACCTGCACACAACACCACATACTGTGATGATGACGATGATGATGTAATATCGACCGATTTCGGCCACGACGACTGTCTTCAACTGTACTACAACAATGAACAATACCTAGGATTTTCCATCATCCATTGGACCAAATATTGAGACACTGAGAAGAACGGCAAACGTTTTGATACTATATCCCTGAGGATTAAGATTTCATACCTCTTATCCTATAAAAACTTCATTTTTATACACCAGCTAAACTAACCACATTTACCCCTTCTATATCTCTATATCTGTGTTATTAAACTTCAAGGGGACACCCCCTTGAAGTTTAATGTACACACCCCTTTAGGGTTTAGGGTCTTGGACCTACTTCGTCCATAAATTGAGAACTTGAAATTATAGATGCGAGAGGCGGAATATAAGTGTTTCTATTGAGGAAATGTTTCGGCCTTATATACAAAGTTACACGGGTATCGCGTACACGTGCTGCTGCAAGCTCCCTGGCCAGCTCGGCCTGCGTGGCGAGACCCCGCAGCTGTCCCTGTCCCTGTCCCTGTACCTGTGCTCGTAGGCGGCGGCCAGGTCCTCTGTGAGCGCGGCTGCAGGCTGCCTGGCCAGCTCGGCCTGCGTGGCGAGGTCCCCCAGCTGTCCCTGTCCCTGTCCCCGTACCTGTGCTCGTAGGCGGCGGCCAGGTCCTCTGTGAGCGCGGCTGCAGGCTGCCTGGCCAGCTCGGCCTGCGTGGCGAGGTCCCCCAGCTGTCCCTGTCCCTGTCCCCGTACCTGTGCTCGTAGGCGGCGGCCAGGTCCTCTGTGAGCGCGGCTGCAGGCTCCCTGGCCAGCTCGGCCTGCGTGGCGAGGTCCCGCAGCTGTCCCTGTCCCTGTCCCCGTACCTGTGCTCGTAGGCGGCGGCCAGGTCCTCTGTGAGCGCGGCTGCAGGCTCCCTGGCCAGCTCGGCCTGCGTGGCGAGGTCCCGCAGCTGTCCCTGTCCCTGTCCCCGTACCTGTGCTCGTAGGCGGCGGCTAGGTCCTCTGTGAGCGCGGCTGCAGGCTCCCTGGCCAGCTCGGCCTGCGTGGCGAGGTCCCGCAGCTGTCCCTGTCCCTGTCCCCGTACCTGTGCTCGTAGGCGGCGGCCAGGTCCTCTGTGAGCGCGGCTGCAGGCTCCCTGGCCAGCTCGGCCTGCGTGGCGAGGTCCCGCAGCTGTCCCTGTCCCTGTCCCCGTACCTGTGCTCGTAGGCGGCGGCCAGGTCCTCTGTGAGCGCGGCTGCAGGCTCCCTGGCCAGCTCGGCCTGCGTGGCGAGGTCCCGCAGCTGTCCCTGTCCCTGTCCCCGTACCTGTGCTCGTAGGCGGCGGCCAAGTCCTCTGTGAGCGCGGCTGCAGGCTGCCTGGCCAGCTCGGCCTGCGTGGCGAGGTCCCCCAGCTGTCCCTGTCCCTGTCCCCGTACCTGTGCTCGTAGGCGGCGGCCAGGTCCTCTGTGAGCGCGGCTGCAGGCTCCCTGGCCAGCTCGGCCTGCGTGGCGAGGTCCCGCAGCTGTCCCTGTCCCTGTCCCCGTACCTGTGCTCGTTAGGCGGCGGCCAGGTCCTCTGTGAGCGCGGCTGCAGGCTCCCTGGCCAGCTCGGCCTGCGTGGCGAGGTCCCGCAGCTGTCCCTGTCCCTGTCCCCGTACCTGTGCTCGTAGGCGGCGGCCAGGTCCTCTGTGAGCGCGGCTGCAGGCTCCCTGGCCAGCTCGGCCTGCGTGGCGAGGTCCCTGAGCGCGGCGGCCGCCTCCAGCTGTTCACACAGCAGGAACACCTCCGCCAGCCGCCACGACCCCACCACCGACCGGATGTAGCGCGCGTGCTCGCATCCTGACGACACACGCATATCTAGAACCATCGAGAACTATAACAACACTAAGGGCTTTTTTTTTTTTTATATAATGCCTCAAAATTTTAGTCCTCGTTTACAAGTACGCCAAGAACGAAACTGAGCACATTTGGCTGAAGTGATTTTTAAAAAATAATCCTCCTTCAATGTAGAGTATTGAGTTCGGATTAGACTTGCTTTTGCAATATCATATGCTGGTGGTCACTCTATTTTCCCAAATTTGAATTTAAATGAATCTGTATTATTGTAAACATTTACAACATTTTGAAAAGAATACGAGCTGAGTTTCTTGTCAGTTCTTCTCATCTCGACATCACTCTGAATTGACGGTAGATTTGACATATCATAAGAATCTGTAATAGACCTACATGAATAAAGATATTGAATTTTTAAATTTTTTAATTACCACGCAATAATAAAAAAAATCCGGTGCACTCACCGCGGTCAGGTCGGGAGTCTCGTGGTCGTCGTGCTGCGGCGGCTATCTTCCGTCGAAGCGTGGCCAGCCCCGCGCCGCCGGACTTCTTCTTGCGCTCCCTGACAACACACAAACATGCAATAACTAAGCTGCCATCCAATATAACATCGGCCTAGGTGGTCTAGCAGTTTAGCACAGCACTTTGATACTGATGGACGTGGGTTTGATTCCTCGCATGATGCAAATATTTGTATTTACAGTAATAAAAAAAATGTTCGCCAAAAAAACTACAATTTTTTTGTCAGTAATGAAACTTGAAAAAGATTTTTTTTCTTTTCACATGTAGCCTTCGACAAACACGACACTGTGTGTACAGTCGGAAAATAATCGATTTTTTTAATTTTTTAAGAAATTACGTCAAGTCAAATTAGTTAAGGGACAAAAAACTTGTTGAGAAATGGTCGTATCGGGGTCCTGACAGAACCATCTTGAAGCAGAATAAACAGGCTATGCGGCTCATCGGCGTAGCTCAAAAATATGTTTCCATGGCCATAGAGTAAATCCAAAATGCAAAAAATATATAAAATATATTTTTCGTGCTTCATCTCAGGTTTGCATGAGAACCGGAGCTCTTAAAAATTTTTACCCGTAAAATCTGAAAACTAGAATTTTCAAGCTTCAAGAGTTTATATTTTTATTTTCTGTACAACCATTTGTCACTGAAATAGAGCCTGTTGAAAATCACCCATAAAGTTGGAAAAAAATCTGTTCTATTATTGCGAGAAGTGTATAAATTTATATTTTTAAAAATTTTTAGAGCATAGACATACTGACCGTATGACGTCGGCCATGGTGGGGGGCGCGGCCGGCAGCACCGCGCCGTCGCACGCCTCCCCCTCCTGACGACAACACAAGTTGAGTAAAACTTAGTGTAGGAATTATTATTATTGAAATAATAATGCCATAAATCCATGTTGACCGGACGTGTATTTGAATAAGAATATAAAAACAATATTCACATAGATTATAAATTATAAAGCGCCTGAAATATTTTCATAGCAATAATTATAAGTATTGCATATTGTTGCTAATAGAATGTTTCAGGCAGACAGTGTTGCGGACGGCGGGGGCTGTGTGTGTGTGTGTGTGTGTGTGTGTGTGTGTGTGTGGGGGGGGTCGCAGTACCTGTGGGTGCGAGAGCGCGGCGCCCATGTCGGCTTGGCGCGCGTACAGCCAGTGCGGCGGGTGGCGGGGGCTGTGTGTATGTGTGGGGGGGGGTCGCAGTACCTGTGGGTGCGAGAGCGCGGCGCCTATGTCGGCTCGGCGCGCGCACAGACAGTGCGGCGGGCGGCGGGGGCTGTGCGTGTGTGTGTGTGTGTGGGGGGGGCGTCGCAGTACCTGTGGGTGCGAGAGCGCGGCGCCCATGTCGGCTTGGCGCGCGTACAGCCAGTGCGGCGGGTGGCGGGGGCTGTGTGTATGTGTGGGGGGGGTCGCAGTACCTGTGGGTGCGAGAGCGCGGCGCCCATGTCGGCTTGGCGCGCGTACAGCCAGTGCGGCGGGTGGCGGGGGCTGTGTGTATGTGTGGGGGGGGGTCGCAGTACCTGTGGGTGCGAGAGCGCGGCGCCTATGTCGGCTCGGCGCGCGCACAGACAGTGCGGCGGGCGGCGGGGGCTGTGCGTGTGTGTGTGTGTGGGGGGGGGGGGCGTCGCAGTACCTGTGGGTGCGAGAGCGCGGCGCCCATGTCGGCTTGGCGCGCGTACAGCCAGTGCGGCGGGTGGCGGGGGCTGTGTGTATGTGTGGGGGGGGGTCGCAGTACCTGTGGGTGCGAGAGCGCGGCGCCTATGTCGGCTCGGCGCGCGCACAGACAGTGCGGCGGGCGGCGGGGGCTGTGCGTGTGTGTGTGTGTGTGGGGGGGGCGTCGCAGTACCTGTGGGTGCGAGAGCGCGGCGCCCATGTCGGCTTGGCGCGCGCACAGACAGCACAGCAGGCGGCTCATGGGGCGCCCGCCATCACCGCGCCGATACACGCCGCGCCCTCACTGCAACACCACAATGAAAATACATTAATCTATATATCTATACATACAAATAAAATAGGAGTCTGCTTGTAATATTGAAATAACTGATTTTTAACTACGTACATATGAATATAAATACGGTACATACACCAAAATAACATTTTTTACGATTTCTGTCTGTCTGTCTGTCTACCTGCTTGTTCCGGCTAATCTCTGAAATGGCAGGACCGATTTTGACGGGACTTTTATTGGTAGGTAGGTGATGTAATAAGGAGTATCTTAGGCTACTTTTATTTTAGAAAAAATAACGTTATATTCCCTGCGGAGGAAGTTGTGGGTACAGCTAGTTTGTAACACTCAAATGTTTTAACAGTTCTATGTTTGTTTCTGATTATTTATATATCTCAGATTCACATATTTCAATAAAGAGTAGTGATTAAGGGATCCAAAACATAATACCACTTTCTTATCTTTAATTATTACTAATGATTAAAATTCAGTAATTTAAAAAATAAAAATGAATCCTTATGCCATGTTATGGTATCAAACTATTGTAATTAATAATTTAGAATTGTCCAATTTCAAATCATTGTGTAAATTATCCATTAATGTACCACGAGTATCAACAAGGCACAATCCTCTCCTATCTGTTCCCCTAGTGTCATCCAACTATAAGCAGAATTCATTTCTCTGGTGAGGTAGCAACAATTTTAATAAACTATCTAAAACAGTTAATATAGATATATTTTGTAATAATATTATATCAGCGAGACACCAACAAGGTGAGCCCTTCTTTAAATAACAATTAATTATTATTGAAAATCATGTATATATTTGTATAAATTCACTATTTGTTACTGTACTCTTGTTAATTAATTTCATATTCTCTGTTAACTTTATAATGTCTTGTTGTATTTATAGGTAGTGATGTAAATTTTTTAAGAATTAGTCTATTGTTATTAGTGAAAGCCTGTCAGTGGCTTATTATGACATACATATTAATTTTATTTAAGATATACTTGAATAGCCTTGGTTTTCCTTTAATAAATAAATAAATAAATAAAAAGTAAGAATAGAATAGAAAATTATTTATTCAAATAAACTTAATTTAAGCACTTTTGAATAGTCAACATTTTTTTTTTTAATCTACTGTATATTCGGAAAGCTGTCTCATCACAAGAAGCATAAGCAAGAAATTTGTGTGTTGCTCTTTTAAAAAATCCTTGTAAGTTCACATTTTACAAGTTGAAACATGTGAATACAAACTACCAATCAGCACTAATTTATTTGGGTCAAATATAAATATACAATAAGATTAAATCAGTCATAGTAATAAGAGCAGACCAGTCCCTACAAGCAGCACTCATTCACGAGTATGATAGATGAGCCAGCCATCACTGCGCTCGACCATATTTTAGGGAGCCCAATGACCCGGCCCACCACGCCGCTACATGTCTGGACATTTTAGTGAGCATGACTACTGATTCCACTCGACCATATTACAGCCACTTAAAATTACTACATGGTAGTTACAGTATTCGCACTTTACTTAAGGATGCATGCAGCAATCAATACAAAAGCTGCAATGGTATCATATTTCTTCTAGTAAAATATACTCAGATGGCCAAGAATTTTTATATTCATACTTAATCAAGCAGCTTGTTTTGTAAGCTTTGTATGGTGCAGATTAGGCAGTGAAATTACAGGATAAGAGGCGTGATACAGTCCTATAAAATACAAGGGGAATTTATCAAAGTTCAGAATATTTAATATCATATTTTATAGTAAATATATTATTAGATACAACAAGGTTAAAAATCCTGTAAAAATCGGTCCAGCCATTTCAGAGATTAGCCGGAACAAACCGACAGAAAAATTGTAATAACATATTTTAGTGTATGTACCATATTTATAATCATATGCATGTAGTAAAAAACAGTTATTTCAATATTACAAATAGACACTCCAATTTTATTTATATGTATAGATGTATAAATAATAGAGTATTATGTGAGAGAATTTTTTGTAAGATTATTCATATTTAAACATGACATTAAAAATAATATAATTATTAATGATTTATTTGACAAAAAAATACATGCATTGTATATGTTTTGCTTTACTCATTCAAAAATATTTATTTTTAAAACAAATTTGAAATTGGAACTTCCTGTTATGAGGCTATGATTTAAAACAAATCATAGCCTCATAACAGGAAGTTCCAATTTCAAATATAAATAGGCAAAGGAATTATACAATAGTAAAAATTCTGTACCTGTCACCTTGCTATCCATCTAAGACAAGTATCACTTAAATTTAGGGCACGAAAATTTTTTTTATTGAGAATTTTGAAAGTGAATGTTTGGGGGGTGCGGTTTAGGGGAGGGTGTGACGTCACTGCGCGCGCACCTGACCCGTCACGACAGACTGACCTACATTCTTACTTGCGACATCTTACAGAAATGTCAACAGGCCTCCAGCGAATGAGTCTATTGACTAACACTAACACTGGCCTAGATACGCTGTATAAAAGATTTACTAAACCACACAAAGTACTTTTAAAGTAAAATTAAATATTTACCTATGTCAAGTTGTAATTAAAAAAAAAACAGATTATTGATGTTATATCTTATATTATACTGTGTATATAATTAAGGGAGCATACTTACCAGCTATGAAAGTCATCACAGCAATGTATACTATATTGTTTATTCAGCAATTCACATAAACATCTCAATAAATCGACCCACCAGCGCCATTATCAACATAAAGTTAATCACAAATACACGCTTCATGAAGCACCCATATCACTTGATGTTCAATGCAGCACATTTATCACTATTGCCTTATTATATTTTTACACGAATAAGTCACAAATACAAGCTCTTCGTATAAAAAAATGTAAAATCGGTAGCGAGATGAACCCGTTACAAATTCCCGTCGTAGTGATCTTAACAACTACTGCCAACTTGACGGCATTATAAATAAATACTACTTGCACCAACATACAGATAATACTTTGATAACTTCAGCACTGTTTATTGGCAGATATATAAATACAGAAATCTTATTGGTTTAAAATTTGACATATTTATACTTTAGACCAATAGTTATAGAGTAAGATTTTTGATAACAAATTCTAGTCCTAGGCTTGTAGGGTTCGTTAAGTTCGGATACATGCACATAATATAAAGGCGATGGATATCCATAAAGTAGTTTGAGAAATGATAATAATTATAATGTAAAAGTTAACTTCTGGTATCGAATAAATAAGATATATGTATATTATTACTAGTATTTACATAACCTAATTGTACAACTAAGAACCTAAAATTAAAAAGCTTAAAAAGAATATATAATATGATGACTAAAATATATTATTAAAAGGGGGTTCCTTTAGGCAACGTTCCGAAGATATAACTTCTGGTTATTTGTGTACATGGGAAAAGTATAATTTTTTATTATACAAAATGAAATATGGAAATATATCATTTGAATTGGAATTTAAATATTTCAAAAATGAAATCATGCTGATGACAATATCAGCTGCTGGTCCTGTAGCTAAATATTTTGCACTCAAAAGGACAAGTGGTGGCAGTAGCATATCTATTTTGTAAAGTTATTGATAAATTCCAATAAGAAATAAAATTTTTGAATATTTTTATTTGAAGTCTGAATATATAATAAACGTATGAATTAGATGTAAAATAATTTTATATTTTTGAATTTGCCTATTTTTTAAATTTATTATTTTACATCTCCAAATAATTAAAATTTTATTTTTTAGTATTATGCTAAAGTACACTCGCCAGTATGTATCCAAATTATTTGACAGATGTCAACTGTCAAGTACTGTCAATCAGCCGCAAATATTTCAATTTTTCGTTTTGTGTCTTTTTTTTATTCTTATTTGTTTTGTATGGAATGGATAAATTAATGATTTTTATTCCTGTTCTATTACGCATTTGATAAATTTAAAGTATTCCTTTTAATTACTGTAATCGTAGCTTTAAAGTAAACAATAGACATCGCTAATAACCGTTGAATTGATGAAAATAAAATAGTAAGTAACATTGTTTTCTATGCTATTTTTTTAATGGATGATAATTTAATGGTACCCTCGCCTGCACTAACGGTATACGCTGGCGGGGCACCAGTGGTGGATGATAAGAATATGAGGTCAGATCAGTTAGCACATCATGACAAATTCACCAGGAATTTATCACAATGGTTTCCAGGGTTTCCGTGTGGAGGTCAACCTGACATGGTGCATTGCTAGTAATGAGGTCAATAGTCCACATTACTAACAATCCCCTTCCCTCTAGGTCAAGTCAGTTAGCCGATTGTGATAAATTTTTAACACCAGGAATTTGCACCCTGTGGGAGTCAACCCAACATACCATATGTTGCTAGCAATAGGCTCAAGCTAAACTGAGCTATTATTCCCCCCCATGTTTGCCTGGGTATTCTGTCCTGGCTGTCTGCTGGATAATTCACAGTTACATCTAGTCCCAAGCTAAGCAGAGCTTGTGTTATGGGTACTAGATAAAAACATTCAAATTCAAAAATCATTTATTCATGTAGGACAGTTTAGCCGCTTATGAATGTCAAGTTTTTACATTATATATTTTTTTACCGTACCGTCCAGTTCGGTATATAGATCCAATTGAGAAGAACAAACAAACATTACAAACAGTACCATGTATTTGACACATACATGTATAATCTTTTGTTATTAAAGTCTGTGGTCAAATTAGGATTGAATGAATATTCTTTAATATTTTATTCTTTTGTTTATAGTTAACTAGCTACTCACCCTGGTGTACATGTATTTTATATATAAACCTTCCTCTTGAATCACTCTACCTATTAAAAAAACCGCTTCAAAATCGGTTGCTTAATTTTGAAGATTTAAGCATATATAAGGATGGACAGACAGCGACAGTGACTTTGTTTTATACTATGTAATGAAGTATGTGGTCAAATTGAGAACAGATTTAGGTTGTCTTTAATATTATTTGTCTATAGTCTTACTTAAAGTTTGAAAGTTTAAGTTGAATTTTGTCTGACAAATACTAAAACACTAGTTCTTCAAAATATGAAATTCATATTATATTCTATACAAGGGAGATGTTTGTTTGTTTGTAACACTTTATTGCACAATAAATACATTTAAATTAACTAAAGATACAACGATCTTAAAAAAACAAGTTGTACGATGGCGGACTTATCAGAAATGAGGGATTTCTTCCAGTCAACCTTTTGAATGACTGAAAGGAATTGTGGAGTGGTGGAACTATATATATGACAATAACAACAAAGGAAAAAGAGATGTATAGATATAGAAAGTCTGGGCTGGAAACTATGTTTTCAGCACTCAAATAAATAAATATCATTTGTTTATATAGGACATTTTAACAGCTTATGAACATATTTTTTTTGTATTAATATTTTTCCCTACCATCGTTTACTACATGTGGTTTACATTGACTCTGTTTTGTAATGTGTGTAAATTGTTGATTGTAATTTTTTTTTACATTATATTTGTTTCAAGATGATTCAATAAAATTCTATTGTATTCTATTCAATTTAAGTAATTATAAATCTATGATAATGTAATGGTGCTGTCTGTGCTAATGGTATATGCTGGCAGGGCACCAGCGGAGGATGATAAGAACACGAGGTCAGGTCAGAAAATGGTGGGGAATTATTAGAAATTTACAATGATGGAGCCACATGGAGGTCAACCTGACATGGTACATTGCTAGCAATGGGGTTATTAGTCCACATCATTAACAATCCTCTTATATAAATGTAAGTTAAGGGGGAAGGAGATTGCCCTTCCCCTTTAACTTACATTTATATAAGTAAGTAATAGTTAGTAAGTTATAGTAAGTAAGTTGTAGTGTAAGTTTTTTGTGCTTCATACTAAAAGCACAGCTTCGTTTGGGACTAGCTGTGTGAGTTGTCCAAAAAAAGCTTCATTTATTGTATGGTGCTTTTCCTGTAAATTGGCAATAGTTACCACTTACCATCGGTTGGATTTTAAGCTTATTTACCAATCAAATTAAATAGAAGAAAAAAAATTAAGAACAATATGACATCTGTTAATGTTGTAAATTAATCTTCTTCAGGTAATCCATGCTGCACAGCAATGAGTGAAACCAACGCCCCGACGAATGATTCGTCCGGCCGCGAGAGCCCCAGCATCCTCTTGGGAGAATCACCAGGTAGTCCCAATATCCTGGACCCACCCTCACCTGACACCCCTCCAGCAGTATGGCAGGATGCCCCAATAGATAACCTTCGAGTCTCTGAGGCACTAACTCAACAAGACGAGAGCAATGACTCATCCGTAACAGTTAATTATGAAGCTGAAAACAGCAATAGTAATGCAGCTTACCCAAGATTAGGTGTGGTGGTTGAGAATTCTATTTTAGAATTCCCAAACTCAACCAATGAAGACAGCAATGCCAGTACCGCTTTACAATCTACTGAGGAATCTAGTTTAATTTCTTTACCTGAATCAACTGTCCGTAAAAACAGTGAGAGTAATGAAGAACCGCCAGCGAAAGTTAGGAAAATCAGTTCTCCAAACAAATCAGACGAGATGGACGGAGAAACTTGCCCTATTTGCCTCGATTCTTGGGGTAATTCCGGGGAACATAGACTAGTGGCTTTAAAATGTGGACATTTATTTGGTTCCCAGTGTGTAGAGAGATGGCTTAAAGCACAACCAGCAAAAGATCGATCCTGTCCTACGTGCAAAAGTAAAGCTAATGTTAGGGACATAAGGTACATATATGCAAGACGGCTCGTAGCAGCAGACACATCTCAGATCACAGCGCTGCAGCAACAGCTTGATGTAATTCAATCAGAGAAAAGCAGAACGGAACTAGAACTACAGAAATCGAGAATAGCACACCGCGCTTGCATTTTACAGTTAGACGTTTTGAGAAGTACTTTAATGAAATCGCAAGTCACCAAAGAGCAATCTATAAGGAGATCTTGGAGGTTTGCTTTGGAGAAGAATCTAGAAATATGTAAAGATGGAGGCTGTAGAGTCCTCACATACAATTGCCGAACGTATGAACTTTATGTGTCACAAAAAAGTACGTGTCTATTCCCAGGTTATGGAATTAGGAAAGTCAGTTGTGTAGATTATAAGTTAGGACAATTTGTGCTATTACATCCTAAACCTATCAGGGATATTACTTACTCGCAGCCTCGAGACTTATTATTGAGTGTTGGTTTGGACAGTGCGGCGAGAATTGTCGAAAGAGGTATACCGAGCATCACAATTCCCACTGGTTTCCCTCTCTGGTCTTGTTCGTGGGACTACTTGAGGAGTAACGAGTTTTATGCCGGTGGCGTGGGAGGAGTCATCCATCAATACGATGTTAGAAACACAAGTTCTTACATACAAAGACTATCAGCGCCCGGTGATATGTCGCCGGTCGTGTCACTCTGCTCAACTGAATTCGGTCTGCTGTCGTGCCAATTAAACTCATGCTGGTTATGGGTAGCCAACAGGCGGCAGTGGGAGCCCCGTTCGTTGCCAATCGAAGGGCCCTTCATGTCGCTATGTTACGACAACGAGTCTCATCGTGCGTTGATATCCTGCAGACCCGGAGGGAGCAGTTCTGACCGGTCGAGATTGACGATCTGCAAATTGAAGGCCTCGGTGCCGAGTGGAGAAGTACTATTTGATACCGAACAAACGTTCGCAGGGTCAGCGCGGTCGTCGTTGCTCTCGAGACCTACGTGGGTCCGTGCACCTGGAGCGAGTTGGATCGCCGCACATTCAGAAAGTGATTCAACATTATACCTTCACGGAGTGGATGGTTCTAGAACAATGTCGTTGCCCGCCGCTGAGCCAGCATTGGACGTGTGCTCGGTGCAATTAAATGGAAATATCGTTTTAGGAGCACTATCAGAGTCAAGACTTAGGTTATACAAAGCTGTGGCAACGAACTCATGATGTACAGAAACAGTAGTGTGATGTAAAATCTGAATTAAACTATGTACGCTGTAGCATGATGCGGGTGACAGTTGCTAAATTTAAGTTACTACAGTTATTAATGATTTAATATATTACGAACTAGCTGTACCCGCGACTTCGTCCGCGTCGAATTTAACTTTATTTTTCTAAAATGAAAGTAGCCTAAGTTACTCCTTATTAAATCAGCTACCTGCTAATAAGGTCCCGTCAAAATCCAGCCATTTCAGAGATTAGCCGGGACAAACAGGGAGACAAAAATTGTAAAAAAATGTTTTTTTCAGTGTATTTATATTATATTTATATTTATATCCGTATTTATATTTATATGCGCTGTATAAAAAAACGGTTATTTTAATATTACAAACTGACACTGGTAAATTGGGGCAACTGTCAAGAGTGAAGCTGAACTGTCACCCGCACCATACTACATCGCGCATGGTGTAGTGATCTTTAGAGTTGTGATTTATTAATAGTATAATCAGGTTACCAAATGCCAATTGTAATGCTAAATCTTTCTAAATTCATGGGGCAATCCATGAATTACAAGACACGACATGGAGAGAGGTTATTCAAGGGTATATTAAGGTTTCTTAACGGTAGGCAACGCGTGACACCCCTCGTGTTTCAGGCGGCCGTATGCTACGGTAACCGTTTACCATCAGATGGTCCGTATGCTTGTTTGTCACCTAAATGGTATAAAAGAAAAGGTCTTCAATTGAGACATTGATTTTCTAACATCAAGGAATATTTCAAGTCGCATTTTAATTTTAGAATTAAGATAATTTAACGATTAAAATGTGACCAACTGTGACAGAGGGGGAAGAAGGGGGTTAGAGTTAAAGACTGAAATTGTGATGTAATTTTTGGACGACTCCTTTAAACTTTAATTGCTGAGAACACGAGTGGCGAAGGGATGCCTCCCTTACATTTAAGCGGATAGTATTTAATTTGTGTGACTTGCTAGTACAATTGTGAGTTCCTGCATTTTTATAGCGTAGGGAACAAACGAGCTTGCGGCTCACCTGGTGGTAAATGGTTACCGCCATCCATAATACCCGCTACACCAGGGGAATTGCAAGTGCTTGCCGACCTTTTAAGGAATAAGCTTGCTTGAAGGTTTGAATGTCGTATCGGTTCGAAAATACTAGCTGGAAGGTGATTCCACAACTTTCACAATACAGTACAAGCGCATTGCTGGCCTATTATGATTTCAATATCGTATCGGTTCGGATATACCATTGCTGGAAAGTGAACACAATACACTACAAGTTAGCAACCAACTCGTGCTCTACTAATGCGCTCAGCAATTAATTGGTTTTTGAAATTGTGTTTGTCGTCAGGATCTTTTTTAATTTCTATAACAAAACTGGAATACTACCCAATGCCTTTAGAATACTCTCTAAATGCATTGGATGTGAGATTCCAATTTAGCTTGCATGCTAGCAAATTTAATGTAAACCTTAAATATTCAAATAATAATAGTAATCTCAGGATAATTCACACAGCGCCATCTAGACCTAAGTTAAGCCAAAAGCTTGTGTTATGGGTACTAGATAACTGATACATATACATTTTTTTTGTAAATACATATTATACATAGAAGACACCCAGACCGATACAAACAATCATATTCATAAATACAAATGTTTGTGCCGTGCGAGGAATCGAACCCGCGACCATCGGTCGTAAAACGGCGTGCTAGACCGCTAGACCACCGAGGTCGTCTATAATTGTAAACTATTACAATCGATTAAATGAAAAATTGTATAATCTGGACGACAGATAACTGTAATCCCAATTAATCTAGTCTAATTCAATATTAAAAAATTGTTAAGTATCGTAAGTAAAGATGTTAAATCAATATTTAAAGTACTTATGTCACTAAGGTTTTTATATCCCTCTCCTCGGCTTACTCTCTTTTCACTCCTTTCTCCTTCATCTTGTTCACCGCTGTCTTCTCCATCTCCTGTTCCCGCTCCTCCTTCCCTTACTGTGACACTATCCTTTCCTATTCCCCACCTTGACGCTTTCCGCCCCTTCTAACATTTTTGCCGCTTCCACCCAATATTTCTCCCTTAGCAGCCCTTTGAGCATTACGTAAGCAGATTATTCACCCCCCATCCCCCTTGTCAGCAATAGTATGCAAAGCTCTTACCCCCTCCCCCCATGCTTACGTAAACATTTTTCAATTAATGTATCGTTTTTTTAGCAAAGACAATGTGAGGGTTGCCATTCGTGTAAAAAGGTAAATAAATACCGATGACTTAATCATCATGTAGACTCCCCTACCCCCCATGTCATCCAAGATAAAGCAAAGCAAAGACCCCCCTGCCCCCTACAGTGGTTACGTAATACTTGACCTGCCCCTTACTACCCCTTCCTCGCCTGTTCTACCCCTTCCTGCTGTTATAATTAGAACCATTCCAATTTGTGTCTGCATCTTAAAGTATTAATATAATATACATAGATTTAATCTTTACCAAGTTCTCTATGAATAAGATATATATATTCACAGATTAAGAATAAGGTAGGCCTTATGGATAAGGTTATACACACCTTACTTGAGGTTTTCATTAGCCAAGTCTCGACAAAAAATATTTATATACAAAATATCTCTATTCATGTAGGTACAGACTACTATAATATGTCAAATCTACCGTCAGTTCGTAATTATTTCGAGATGAAAAGAACTGACTCAGCTCGTATTCTTTTCAAATAAATGTTGTACATGTTTACAATAATACAGATTTATTTAAATTCAAATTTGGGAGAATAGAGTGACTACCAGCATGTACTATTGCAAAAGCAAAAAGCCTAATCAGTGTTCGTAATCCGAACAGTCTAGCATATCTAATACTAGCTACCTACCCCGGCTCTGCACGGGTGTACATGTATTATACATATAATCTTTCTTGAATAACTATGTATTAATTATCTATTAAAAAAAACCGCTTCAAAATCCGTTGCGTAGTTTTAAAGATTTATCATACATAGGATCGGACAGACAGCGACAGCGACTTTGTTTTATACTATGTAATGATGATAGCTGATAAACGCAAAAAAAAAAAACTTCCAACTACACCAAAATTATGCCTTCCTTTCCCATTTTTGGGGCTATCCGTCTTGTCACAGTTGGTCACATTTACGAGACATCCACCCCCTTGTGTGACATTCATTGAAATTCGGTAAATTTTTCGTTATTTACCTGACACATCCCCTCCCACTCTCTTATTTAAAAACATCATAATAAATAATTAATATAATGCATTTATTTTTTTGTGAATATTTTTTTTACTAATTTTCTGATTGATTATTAAAATATTATTGAAAATTTTCTTTTGCGTATCATTTCGGTTTTTAAATAATTTTCGGTACACATTCTACAACTTCGTCTGTGCCCCCTATCGATCCCCCGTACAATTCAAACGGGGATCGAAATTACGACGGCCTAAGCCGAGGTTTGAACTCCTAGTGGTGCCCTCAGACTAAAGTCGTATCCGTCAGGCAGGAGTTGGTCTTCAGCCGCTCCATAATTCCTTCCGCGGGTTTGGAATGCCATCTGCACTCGCCCCCTGAAGCTGTAAAGGCCAGCTGCGGCCAACAGCATTAGAGTAGTCGGAAAAAAAAAAACCTGGACTTCACGAATACAAGGCGAAACTTGGGATGAATGGATATTTCTTGCCTTTAATTGATGATGATGAAATTGGTGAAAATTAAAAGTAATATAGTTAATACACTGCAATAATTAATAGACTTTTCAAGGAACTAACAAAAAGGTTAGTGTACATCACAGAAGACCGAAGAGCTGTCAGCTACTTCGGGTCCAAAATATATGGGAATAATAATAATACATTGTATGTACATCTTTATATATTACAGTAGAATCTCGGACTCATTCGTCTCGGCTCTAATTATCAATTTAGATATTTGATGATTTGATCAGTAGCGTGAGAAAAGATGAAGGAGAAACTGAAACTGGGATTTTATGTCAAATACCATCTTTTTTTTCATTTGCCTTGAAATCGGTTATGCGGATTTTCGATTAGAAGGAATATGTGTGTCTTATTTGATCCGAATAATGGGGGTTCTACTGTATAAAACAGGGGCGTAGCTGCCACCGTATGTGCCTATCAATTATACGGGGCCCCTGCACCACGAGCCCCAACGTGCGTAAGCAAAAATTAAATTGGTGAAAATTAAAAGTAATATAGTTAATAAACTGCAATAATTAATAGACTTTTCAAGGATATAACAAAAAGGTTAGTCGACATCACAGAAGACCGAAGAGCTGTCAGCTACCTCGGACAAAGAATTAGTCTAGCCATTCAAAGAGAGAACGCAGTATCTTCGGAACTTCGCCTGTAGGAACTCCTTTTAATAATATATGTAGACTAAAATTAGCCAAATCGGTTCAGCCGTCCTCGAGTTTTAGAGACACTAACGAACAGCAATTCATTTTTAATAGCTTTTACTTCATTACTAGTTGGCGTTGAAGTAGCAAAATGTAGATATTTTATTTTTTGTTTTTTTATAAAACAATATTTGTTTTTTTTAAATAAAAAGTATCGTATGTTTATTCTAATACCTCTAAGAACATGTGTACAAAATTTCATGATAATTGGTTCTATTTCGGTTATATTATCGGTTTCAATTTTTTAATCTACCGCTCATTCGGAGCTGTCTCATCACAAGAAGAACGAGCAAGAAACTTGTTAGTTGCTCTTTTAAATAATCATTGTAAGTTTACATTTACAAGTCGAAACGTGTGAATACAAACTACCAACCAGCACTAATTTATTTGGGTCAAATATAAATATACAATAAGATTAAATCAGTCGTAGTGATAAGAGCAGTCCAGTCCCTACAAGCACTTGTTTACGAGTACGGCGGATGAGCCAGCCATCATTGTGCTCGACCATATTTTATGGAGCCCAATGACTCGGCCCACCACGCCGCCACATGTCTGGACATTTTAGTGAGCATGAGCGGAGTTCAAATCAGGTAGTTGTTTAATAACTGCTTAATCAATTAATTTAATTATAATTATATTACATTAAAAGCTATGCTACGTTCCATAAGTCCCTTCCGTGGCTTTGAAGTGACATCTACTCGCCCCCTATGGTTCGGTAAGCTTTCAAGGCTAGCTGCGCCCAAAAACTTAGAATTGTTCGAAAAATAAAAAAAAACTGTTAATTCCAGGTAACTCGAGTTACCTGAATTTCAATTCGAGTTAATTTTATTACGAGTTAGCACATCTCTACAGATGTTTGACAACATTGAACAGTCGATCTCTGTTGAGGTTATTACTCTGTTCTAATTTTTGTAGGTAGTCTTTGATGTATCTATGTATATGTGTGCCTTTTGTATGTAATGTTGAATTAAAATGATGGAATATTAAAAGTCTTTTCTTCTTCGTCTTCTCTTTCTTCTGGCCTTATCCCTAGTATTTTTTTTTATTTAACAGGTATAAATGTCAGATTTTTAAATAATATTAGCAGCTACAGCGGGGTGGTGTTGATCTGCGTTACTTTTTTTTTTTTGGTTCTGTTTTTCCCTTTTTAGGGAAAGGCAAAAGGACTCAGCCCATACAGCCATTCTGCGTTACTGATTTGTGAAATCATATTTTTTTATTTGACAGGTGTAAATGTCAGATTTTGAAATAATGTTAGCAATTGCAGCGGGGTAGTGTTTTTTTTATGTATGATAATGTAACGGTGCACCCGCCTGCGCTAACGGTTTACGCTGGCGGGGCACCAGTAGAGGATAAGAACATGAGGTCATGTCAGTTAGTCCGTCGTGACAAATCACCAGTAATTTATTACGATGGTTTCCAGGGGAAACTGTGTGGAGGTCAACCTAACATGGTGCATTGCTAGCAGTGAGATCATCAGTCCACATTACTAACAATCACTTTTCCCCTAGCGGTATAGTGTTGAGATTGTGTGTTAGTGTTGTATTTTATTTTAGACGTTTAGTTTTAAAGCTTTCTACATTGCTTCCACAACATATTTCCAAAATTTAAATATCTACATACACTTGTTTCCATTACTGTTGTGCCTACACTATAATATTTCTGTCAACACTCGACATTCTATTATTACCTCTCCAGATAACATAGATTTAAGTTGGCTATTAAAGTCACGAGTGAAACTGCAGGCACAGCTAGTAATTACATAAATAAGCAAAATATATTTGGTCTATTGTGCAATGATAACGAACTTGTGGTTTGTAAAAAATATTTATTTATTATTAATGAATAATTTCGTTACATTATATAACCAGCCATGGGTTCCCTCCCACGCTGAGGCAATGGGGGAAGGGGGTAGAGATGTGTTCACTCGAATTCACCGCAACTCGAGTATAATTCTGGCAACTCGAGTTGAACGAATTCAACTGGTAAATGAACGAATCAAGTGAAAGAGCGAGAGCATGATTCTGTCATCGAACTGACAATGACATGAAATTTTCCGATCATTTCATATCATACAATTTTCACTCGTCACAAATGTTTCAATATTGATTTGAGGTCGTTATCATTTTTTTTTTCGCATATTCGTCCGATTATGTTATCATTAAAATGATTATGCGTTCTATAAGTCCTTCCGCGGCTTTGAAGTGCCATTTCTACTCGCCCCCTATGTTTCGGTGATACTTTCAAGGCTAACTGCGGCCAAAAACATTAGTTGTTCGAAAAAATAAACAAAGAAATATTGTTAATTCCAGTTAACTCGAGTTATGTTTATTACGAGTTAGCACATCTCTAGTAGGGGGGTTCAAAGTATATGGGTATAATAATAATACATTGTATGTACATCTTTATATAGTATAAAACTGGGGCGTAGCTACCGCCGTATGTGCCCTATCAATTATACGGGGCCCCTGCACCACCGTGCGTAAGCAAAAATTAACTTCTCAACTTTTTTTTCACAAATTATATACAAATGTTTGTGCAGTGCGAGGAACCCGCGACCATTGGACGTAAAGTGTGCTAGACCGCTAAACAACCGAGGCCGTAATTTTTTTTTTATCATATCTAGTACCCATAACACAAGCTTTAGCTAGCTTAACTTGGTACTAGATGGCGCTGTGTGAATTGTCCTGAGATTATTATTATTAAATTGCCACAATGTGCGAATCAGATTTGCAATCAGTCCCGTAATTTAGGAGTCCATCGCGGACAAACAACGTGACGAGTAATTTTTTAGAGATTAGTATTTCTATAGCTATCGCCCTGTCTCGTATCAGTCGCTGAAGTCGATGTCGGAATCCTCATCGTGTTTGGATCGTATCGTCTTCTTGCTTTGTATGTGCAGGGAGCGCTGTTTGCGTTGTTCCTCTGGTGGTACCGTCAGGTCGCCGTTGTACTCTATTACCTGTGACCTGCAACATTTGTTTGTTGTCTTCATTATATAGTATAAAACAAAGTAGCTGTTGCTGTCTGTCCGTCCCTATTTATGCTTATATCTTTAAAACTACACAACGGAGAAGTAGTTTTTTGAAGTAGTTTATTTTTAATAGATAGAGTGATTCAAGAGAAAGGTTTATAGATATAATACATGTACACCCGTGCAAAGCCGGGGCGAGTAGCTAGTTACATACACTAGCTGCCCCATAATCATAATATCTTTTTAATTTATAGCTTATATGTTATTCTAATGCATAAGCTACATTACTGTAAAGTTTCATAAAAATCCGTTCGGTAGATTTTGCGTCAAAGATTAACAAACATCCATCTATACAACACAAACTTTTATGTTTATAATAGTAATCCTTACTAATATTATATGTGCGAAAGTACTTTCACGCCAAAATTACTGAACCGATTTAAATGAAATTTGGTACACAGATAGTCTAGAACCTGAGAAAGGACTTGGGTTCTTTTTAATCCGAAAAAAGGATTGTAAGGGGTTGAAAAGCTATATGGTAGTATCGACAATACACGCGGACGAAGTCGCGGGAACATCTAGTAAGATATATACTAGTTGCGTCCGCGTAGACATAGTACCTTGAATTGCATAAAATATTTATTAATGCAACCCCAAAAAAACCAAAGAAAAAGTTCCATGATTCTAGCTCAAAAATAACGAATATCCATACAAACTTTCATCCCCTATTTTATTTCTACCCCTATAAACTTTCATCACCTCTTTAAGGGTATCATTTTTACAAACTTTGAATGTCATATTTATTTATATTTAAACAACAGCATCAAGCTAATATAGGTATCAAGCGTCTTTAAAAATGACGATATGTCCATACAACCTTTTATCTCCCCTTTCAACCCCATTACAACCCTTTTTTATGTTATATATATATATATATATATAATAAATAACTGATGTAAGGGGTTGAAAGAGGAAATGAAAAGTTGTACGGGGAAGTACAGGCGGTCCTCGATTTACGTCGTTTCAAGTTACGTCAAACAATGTTTTGACACTATTCCTCAAGACTACGTCATTTGTTTCGATTTCCGGCATATCGGAGAATTCACTTGTCGCAAGGTCAATGTCCGTGAGGGGCGCGGGCGGGGCGCGGTGTCGTCTCGTGCGGGGAATACCCCGCAAATGTCGCTGATTTTGTTTAGTACATTCAGGGACAACGGACAATCAAGACGTAATAAATTAGTTTTTTTGCATCTTTGACAGTTTTTGTGTTTACATACATATTTAAGTGAATTTTAAACAATGCCACCTAAACAAGACAGTAATAATAAAGTGAAGAAGAGAGTAAGAAAGTCAATTACAATAGAGGTTAAATCTAAGATTTTAAAACTCAAAGATCGCGGTTATTCGACTTCATCTATTGGACGAGAACTTAATTTATCACGCACGACGGTACAAACAATATTGAAAGATAAAGAAAAACTCTTAACAGCTCTTCCTTCCGTCTCTTCAAACAGCACTATTATACGCAAAAGGAATGCTTTAATTTATGAAATGGAAAAACTGTTGTACAATTGGATTCAAGATCAAACTCAGCGACGGGTTCCTCTAAGTTTGGCTATTATACAAAATAAGGCGCTGAGTATTATCAACACACTGCAAAATAAACGTGGCGAGAATAATAGTGACGAAACAAAATGTTTTTCTGCCAGTCGCGGATGGTTCATGCGCTTTAAAACGAGATATTCGTTACATAACATTCGAGTGCAAGGAGAAGCTGCTAGTGCCGATCATGTGGCTGCTCAGAGTTTTCCTGGAATATTAAAGGAAATTATCGAAAGTGGAGACTATTCGCCTAAACAAATTTTTAACGTGGACGAAACTGGTTTGTTTTGGAAAAAAATGCTCTCTCGTACTTTTATATCACAGGAAGAAAAGTCTATGCCTGGATTTAAAGCGGCTAAAGATCGTTTGACGTTGTTATTGGGTTCGAATGTTGAAGGTGATCTTAAATTGAAACCCCTTTTAGTTTATAGGTCTGAAAATCCTCGAGCTCTCAAAAATTACGTGAAGAGTACTCTTCCAGTTATATGGAAGGCTAATCCAAAGGCATGGGTTACATCAATACTTTTTGAAGAATGGTTTACTAAGCATTTTATACCTGAAGTGAAACAGTACTGTTCAAACAATAATTTGGCTTATAAAGCTTTACTTATTTTGGACAATGCTCCCGGCCATCCTGTGCGTATTGCCGATATTGATCCTCAAATCAAAGTCGTGTTCCTGCCTCCCAACACCACTTCGTTGTTACAGCCGATGGATCAAGGAGTTATCGCGTCTTTTAAGGCCTATTATCTCAGGAGAACTTTTTCACAGGCTGTAAAGGCTAATGAAAATGATGGCATGGAGCTGAGAGATTTTTGGAAAAGTTATAATATCCTGCAATGCGTAAAAAATATTGCTACTTCATGGGATGAGGTGACACCCAACAATTTAAAAGGAGTGTGGAAAAAGTTATGCCCATTTTTTTTTGAGCCATCTGAAAGTTCTACATCTACAGATCAACCAAATGTCGATGAGATCACAACTGACATTGTTCATTTGGCTAACCGTTTGCCTAACATTGCAGTTACTACTGATGATATTGATGATCTGTTAAGCTCACATTCGCAAGAACTGACTGATGAAGATCTTATTGAATTGGAGGCACAAGTACAAAAGGAAGCACTCGAGTCACAAGAAATAGCTTCTTCTATTAGTGACTCTGAAAAAGAACTTACACTAAAAAAACTTTCCGTAGCCTTTGCAAATTTGAAGAATGCCATGAAAATTTTTGAAGAAAATGATCCTAATTTTGAGAGAAGTTTTAACGTTAATAACAAAATTTGTGCAGCCTATCACTGTTACCAAGATCTGTATGATAGCAAGAAGAAAGAAGCCAAGCAATCTAGAATTGATAGTTTCTTTAAGCCAAAAGTTTAATTTATTATTTATCATTACATATGTATAAGTTTTATAATTATTATTAAAATTAATAACACACAAATACCAAAAATAACTAGCAATTTCATAAGTGCATAATATATAATTATTTTAAGAACTTACTTTTAATAATAAAGTACGTCCTTTGTTATAAATGCAGTTTTTTTTATTATTTCGAGTCCGTGTGGAACCTAACCCTTGAGTTTTACATGTAAACATATGAAAAAATATGTCTCGACTTACGTCGTTTCGATTTACGTCGCGTATTTCGAGAACCTAACATGCCGTAAGTACGAGGACTGCCTGTATCGTCATTTAATTAATTAAAGCTAGAAAGTTTAAAATTTCGATTTTAGGTTGTTGGTTAAATATAAATAAAAAAAAGGTTCTAAGGGGTTGAAAGGGGACAAGAAAGGTTGTACGGGGAAGTATCATCATTTTTAAAGCTAGAAGCTTAAAACATCGATATTAGGTTGTTGATTATATATATAAATAATAAAAAAGGGTTGTAAGGGGTTGAAAGGGGATATAAAAGTTTGTATGGACGTATCGTCATTTTTAGAACCAAAACTAGACCTGGTAAATATAATATATTTATAGAAAATCTCGCACGAAGTAATTTGGGCTTCTACTCACCTTTAAACAGGCTAATGAGAACTTATAACACTTATTCAAAGAAACATTCATCAGTTGACATATTTAGTAATAGTTATTGCAAATTTCGCAGATATCTCAATAGTATTATAAGTTCTAGTTGAATCAGTACAGGTTTTATATAGGTAGAATTTTAAGTTGTTTTTTATGTTTTGTTAATTGTTAATTGTAAGCACAAATTTGTCACATAAATGTCGTAGTTGCCTATAATTAAGGTTGCGCTTATAGTATAAATAGATTGTAATGTAATATATATTTTTTTTTTTTATTTATTTATTCATTTATTTCAGGCAACTAGGCCCATATTATAAATACCTTATAGACTAACATACATATAATATAATATTTAAAAACTAATACAAAAATATTGTCTGTGTGATATATAATGTAAGAGTGTTGGTGGAAACCTTGTTGGTGACCTAATAAAAAAAAAACCTTGAAACTTATTAAACCGCTATAAAAACTCATCTCACTTGGCCAGCCTCCACTCCAGCATGTCCGTTGAGAAGTCATCCCTGTTCCCGAGGTCTGTGAATCCGACGATGAAGTCCTTGGTTTTGTTGCCGGTCACCAGAGCGATTGTTGGTATCACACGGATCTTTAGACGGGCTGCGGACAGTGATAAGGAGTTGACTATACTAGCTGTGCCTGCGGTTTCACATGCATTTATCCTCACTTCCTTATTAATATAACAAATGTGAAAGGAACTCTGTTCGTCATTCTCGCTTTCACGCCAAAATGTACTGAACCGATTTAAATGAAATTTGGTATACAGATAGTCTAGACCCTGAAGATATAGGCTACTCTAAAATACGAAAAAGGTTTTTTTAAGGATGATTATGATATGGTACACCCGCTTGCGGTAACGGTATACGCTGGCGGGGCACCAGTGGAGGATGATAAGATAAACATGAGGTCAGGTCAGTTAGCACATCGTGACAAATTGATCAGGAATTTATCATGATAGTTTACAGGGAAACCGCGTGGAGGTCAATTGAAGAATTTATTCACATTACTAACTCCCTTCTCCCTCTTCGAAAAAAGGGTTGTAAGGGGTTGAAAGGATGTATGGAAGTATCATTTCATCAAACAGAATTTTAAAATGGCTAAGATGGAGCATTCATAATTTAAGAGCTGTGCTCTTGTCGGAGGAGCTCCTGCTACCTACCACAAACATCTATCAATCTTTTAGCGGTCTAGTCTAGTCTAGTCTATTAGCGTTTAAATGTGACCAGAGGTCTTGTTTTAAACGTGTCCAGAAGTCCTGTTTTTAACGTGTCCAGACGTCCCGTTTTAAACGTGTCCAGACGTCACGTTTTAAACGTGTCCAGACGTCACGTTTTAAACGTGTCCAGACGTCCTGTTTTTAACGTGTCCAGACGTCCCGTTTTAAATGTGTCCAGACGTCCCGTTTTAAACGTGTCCAGACGTCCCGTTTTAAACGTGTCCAGACGTCCCGTTTTAAACGTGACCAGACGTCCCGTTTTAAACGTGACCAGACGTCCCGTATTAAACGTGTCCAGACGTCCCGTTTTAAACGTGACCAGACGTCCCGTTTTAAACGTGTCCACACGTCCCGTTTTAAACGTGTCCAGACTTTTTTTTTTGTTTGACTTTTTGTCTTTTTTTTCGTTTGTTGTTTATATTGTATTTTTTACATTGCACTGAATAAAATACTTTTCTTTCTTTCAGACGTCCCGTTTTAAACGTATCCAGATGTACCGTTTTAAACGTGTCCAGACGTCCGGTTTTAAACTTATATACTCACCAGTAAGGAACGGCGCCCGCTCAGCGTCCAGCTTCACGAACCTCGTCTCCACGTGCTTTGCTGAGAGAATCTTCAGATGCATGTCCACGATTTTGCAACGTTCAGCGCTGCCGCGGTAGAAGTGACACACCTGCAAGTGAATAATACATTTATTTACTGCCCCGGTGGTAGCGGTTTAGCATACCGCTTCACTTCCGACGGTCTCGGGTTCTATTCCGCACACGGTGCAAACATGAGTATGATTGTTTCTATCGGTCTGGGAGTATTCTATGTACACTATGTATGTATTTACAAAAAAAATATCTATGTATTTATGTCAGTTGTCTAGTACCCATAACACAAGTACAACGACCCAGAAGCTGATTGGGGGAAATGGAGTTCAACTTGAAAGCCGATCTAGTGTTATGGGACTTACGCATAACACAAGCTCTGCTTACCTTGGTACTAGATGGCGCTGTGTGAATTGTCCAGGGTTTTTTAAATGGATAACAATGGTACACCCGCCTGCGCTAATGGTATACGCTGACGGGGCACCAGTGGTGGATGATAAGAACATGAGGTCAGGTCAGTTAGCACATCGTGACGAATTCACGAGAAATTTATTACGACTATAATCTGGAGAGGCATAACCATAAAATATTGATAGGGACAATAACGGGACATTGTCCCATAAACAAACACCTGTACACAATAGGTGCTACAGAGAGTCCCCTTCGTCGGGGCTGCTTTGAAGCTGAAGGAACGGCTCCTCACGTAGTTCTGGAGTGCTTGCAGTGGCCACACAAAGAAAACAAATCCTCGGAACGGTGAGGTCGCTCGGTGAAGCCTGTGAAGACACCAGGAGTCTTCTGTGCTTCGGGAGGAGTTTGGCTGGTTACTTTAATAGTCTGGCTCTACACGCACAACGGCCCAAATGAAAGACTAATTGCGGAGACTGGAGTCCAACTTACATTTTACATATTAAAATCACAACATACCACATTGTCACTCTTGTTGCACGTGGTGAAGAATTCCTTCTCGCCATCCAGCTCTGCATATTCACCGTGACCCTGCAAAATATCGCGTGTTGTCAATGTTAATAATTATTTATTAGGAGCATGAGACATTTTAAGTAACATTGTAATATTTCAAGTAATATAGTGATATTTTAAGTAATATAGTAATATTGAAAGTGCAAGTGAAAACCAGCGGCATGTTCACACAGAACATACCATAAAACTGAGCCATTTCAGTACCTATATAAAAAATGTTTATTTTTAAATAGCTGTCCCGGCAAACGTTGTTTTGCCATATAAATTAATAACGCTATAAAAAAATAGGGGTAGATGATAGAAGGGTGAAAATTTAGGATTGTATGTATTTTTGTATGTTGTATCATAAAAAAACTAACTAAAAATTTTGTCTAAAAAATAAATACAAAATTTAGGGGTGGACTACCCCTAACATTTAGGGGGATGAAAAATAGATGGCCGATTCTCAGACCTACTCAATACGCTCACAAAATTTCATGAGAATCGGTCAAGCCGTTTCGGAGGAGTATGGGAACGAAAACTGTGACACGAGAATTTTATATATAAGACTAGTTGTGCCTGCGACTTCGTCCCACTGAAATAATGACATTGACTAAATAAAGAGAAAATTTAATAATCTATTTTATTTTATCCTGTTAAGGTTAAAATTTGTACAAACTTTGAATGTCATAGTTACTTAATAATGCTTGACGCCCTTGGTGGTCCAGGTTTAGCACACCGCCTTTCTTCTGATGGTCGCGGGTTCGATTCCTCGCACGCGCATAATGATTTGTAGTTTTGAGTGGGATTATTTGTATCTGTATGAGTGTTTTCCATGTATGTGTTTAAGAAAAAAATATATATTTATGGATTTGTATCAGTTGTCTAGTACCCATAACAGAGGCTTTATCTAGCTTAACTTGGGTCTAGATGGCGCTGTGTGAATTGTACTGAGATTATTATTACTATAATTTTTTTATGTATATGTATACACAGTGCAAAAAAGTGTATGATATAGAATGATATAGAAAATTGTAAGATGTACATACATTGGCCAACCACTCTTGCTTTTTCTTAGCTCGCTGCTTCATCTCGTTGATACGCTGCTGCCTGATGGCTTCCAGATCACCGCTGTCCAACTGATCCAGCCTGGGGGGGGATAGGATTGTTAGTAATGTGTAAAATCCTAACACTCCCTCTTTATAATACACTAGCTGTGCACGCAGTTTCATTTGTGTGAAATTTATAGCTCATATGTTATTCTGATGTATAAGTTATTACTGTAAAGTTTCATGAAAATCCGTAACGTTCGCAGTATACGCTGGCGGGGCACCAGTGGAGGATGATAAGAATGTGAGGTCAGGTCAGTTAGCACATCCTTGGTTTGTTGTTTGGTTTCACACACAAAGGTGATTGTTAGTAATGTGGACTGATGATCAATGAGATCAAGCACTAGCAATATACCATGTCAAGTTGACTTCCACACCGTTGTCCCTGGAAACCATCATGATAAATTCTTGTTGAATTTGTCACGATGTGCTAACTGACCTGACTTCATTCTCATCTTATCATCTTCCACTGGTGCCCCGCCAGCGTAAACCGTTAGCGCAGGCGGGTGCACCATTACATTATCATCCATAAAAAACCATGGTTATGTTTATACTGTTTCCATGGGACGATAGCCATAGTTTGCTGTATACATATTTTAATATTACAGTGTTCCTTCTACACCACCTGTAAATCTCCATTGCTTCAAACATACACTTCAAAGTTATGAGAAATAAAACACTTTACTGCATGACAAAGGTGTAAGGGGATCGCATACCTATGAATATGGTAACCACTTACCATTAGATGGGCTGTATGCTTGTTTGCCACTATAGAAGTATAAAAAACTAATGGAAAGGTCTCGACTATTGACAAATATATAATTGTTGCTTGCCCGATAGGGTGTAACTGTTGATACATATAATATATAATTATGTTGTTATACCACCTACAAAAAAAAATGTATCCACACAGTTAGCAATAAAGATATATTCTATTCTATTCTATCATTTACCATCAGCCATACTACCAGCTCGTTTTCCCACTAGGTGAAAAAAAATGGTAACAACATTACATAGTATAAAGCAAAGTAGCTGTCGCTGTCTATCCGTCCCTATGTATGCTTAAATCTTTAAAACTATGCAACGGATTTTGAAGCAGTCTTATTTAATAGATAGAGTGATTCAAGAGGAAGGTTTATATATATAATACATGTACACCCGGGCGAAGCCGGGGCGAGTAGCTAGTAATACAATAATAACCTGGCGAGGTTTTCTCGAGAGACTACAGCATGGGGTTTTTCAAGAAGGGTATATCAAGGTTTATTAAGGGTCGGCAACGCGTATGTGACACCCCTGGTGTTTCAGGCATCCATAGGCTACGGTAAACGTTTACCATCAGATGGGCCGCATGTACTATATAGTTTGCCACCTAAGTGGTATAAAAAATAAAAAGAATATCTACCGTTCAATCTCATCATCCAGTTGCTTCTCAACATTCTTTGCGACTTGCTGAATAATCTGCTCCATGGCTCCACAACCTGAAATGTTACATCCATACTCACAAACATTCGTGCTTATAATATTACTAAGATAAATACAAAAAAAAGAAAAAAATACGTTCATAAGCGGCTAAAATGTACATGAATAAATTATTTCTAATTTAATTTAATATTATTTTCGTGAAGTGGTCCCACTGTCACCAAGTCAGAATCTTATAATGATCCAGGAGTAATTGAGGGAAATTCTCAAATATAGGAAAGTATTAAGGGACCCTGGAGATTTCTACTTTTGTCGATTTGTAAACCTTTTGAGTCTGCTCTCCGCGGTCAGAAACGAGAATAATGATTTAAATTGTCGGCGAAACGGTGACCTCATCCCATCATCTGATAATAAACCTATGAATTAAATGAAACACACCTAATATATCAATGAAAAAACAAGTCCAATGGCTAGATATCTAAACAAATAATTAATATAACACTTCACATTAGTAATTTCACTTAGATTTCAGTGTAATTATATTTGAAATGAAAAATTGGAAAGTGAAAAGAAGTACATACGAAGAAACAAATGCAAAATAATATAACCAGCACAGATTAAAAAGACTTACGGTACACAGGTAACTTTTTTTTATTTAATATTTTACGGCTCTGGACACAAGTCCCTTTTAGCCCAATTTCAATTTCTTCACAGTGTTGGAAATAAATTTATATAAAGTCTTGAATAGTGCAGGCCTTGATAAAATCTCTTCTAGAGACTGTGGTACTTCATTACTGTGCTCTTGAATCTCGTGAATGAGTAATAATCTGTCTAGTCCGTAAGGTAACTTTTAAGCGGGGTTGCCTACTCTATAACATATGTTCGACGAGTACATATATCTATACATATAACCATACTCCTTCCTTTAGAACTTACAGAAAAGGTAAGCAAAGAAGTCACAGTAAAAATTACATTTATTGATCTTTGATTAGTCAAAGATAAATAAATGTAATCTGTATATACTATAATAAATACATATATAAGATACACATACCTATATAAGTATAAAAACACCAGAATGGGTATAATTCAACATACAATGGATAAATCGAAAGGTTTTGGTGTTCGAGTATATTTTCATCTTTGTACTACATTTTATTATTTTGCACAAAATTTTTACTCATAAAATCCTGTATGGAAATATAAGTTAAATTTAATACAAAGACGATAAGACAAATTGACTTGGTAAGAAGATGTTAAAAGTTTTAAGGTTGGCAATTCTAATCAATGTCGTGTAGTATTTTGTCTGTGGCATACTGTGAATTCAAATTGTTATCTGTATATTTTGTAGTATTCTGAAAAAAAGTATCCTGATATACTTTTTGTTTATATTACAGTTTCAACTTTATTTATTAATTGTTTAGTTAATATAGAAAGGACTAAAGGCACTAAGTAAATATGATACATTTTTACCTTGTGCCATTAACCCGTTTTAAAACCTGTTCTTTAGTCAATGTATTTTATAATTTACACTTATCTCTGTAATGTAGAATGTGGTAAACGTTATATACTTGTGTAACACACAGATAATAGAATATCAATTACGTATATATAAAATTATAATCATCGTTTTTATAATAAGTGACAGTGAAACCGCTGCGATGTATTCAGACGCTGCGCTCCAGGAACAGATTGCCACAAAGTGTGTTGTGAAGGAGGAGTTCGTGAACTGCGTGGGGCAGTCATCAGAATGTTTGCAACATTGTAGCGACAGTAAAGAGCGGGTGGTTCCGCTGCACGAGTCTCCAGAGTACCACACAGCAAGGGACACGGGACAGGACACTGAACAGTCGAAACTCGATAGACTTAAGCATGGAGTTGACAGACCTGCAGCTGTGAAGACGGAGAAGGACCTGACCGACTCGGCAGAAGAGTATCAAATGCCTTCTGTCAATATTTACGACGACCTTCTGGATGTGTGTGAGCACCAAAGGATGAAGAATGAGTTGATTACAGGAGTTGTTAGTGATTTAAACACTGAGCCTGCTTTTGTATTATATAATGAGCATGATGTGTACAAATTAGATCACCAGGAAATTAATGTAATGTCGGATAAGGGTAATTCATGTGATGTATGCAGAGCGACATTCCAGTTGCCTGTTGCTCCTCTAGAAGGCCAGGTATCAGGACATAGTGCTCAGAAACCACACTCGTCAACTAATCATAACATACTCTCTACATCTGACTCACATTTGAAGGACAACCAGCTTGTAAATAAGCCATATACTTGTGATGTATGTAAAAAGAGTTTTAGAACGAAAAAAATATTGAAAAAACATCTAATCACACACAGCGATGAGAGGCCGTACAGCTGTGGTGTGTGTGGTAAAAGTTATAAAAGAAAGCCGCATTTGAAAATGCACTTGATGATGCATAACGGTGAGAAGCCATTCCATTGTGATTGCTGTACGAAATGTTTTAACACGAGGCAATCGTTAAACAAACACAAATTCACACATATCGATCAGAAACCGTACAGGTGTGATGTATGTGGAAACTGTTTTAAGACAAATTGTGCGTTGAAGTCACACCTGTTAAGACATACTGAACAAAGGATCACTTGTAATGTATGTGGGAAAGGTGTAACACGACAGTACTGGAAACGTCATATGTTTGCACATACTGGTCAAAAGGTCTACAATTGTCGTTTGTGCGATAAGGGTTGTAACACAACTCAACAGTTAAAACAACATCTGATTACCCATGATCCTTCAAAGTTATATACTTGTGACACATGTAAGAAGCGTTACAAAACAAAAAAATCCTTCGAACAGCATTTGCTCACACACATCCAAATGAAAAACAAGTTTTACCGTCACTTTATATATTCCGATTCACCACAGAGTGAAAAAATTGAAAATTTGTTAATTTTATACAAAAAATATGACATTCAAATATCCAACTTCTGTGAGGATATGAATTCTGACTGAGTTTTTTATGATAATAAATATTTATGTATGGACACTGGTGGCAATTTGAAGTGGACTGTAGGGAAAAAAATAGATAATGTAAAAACTTGACGTTCATAAGAGCCTAAAATGTCCTACATGAATAAATGATTTTTGAATTTGAATTTGAAATTAAACACTTTCATTGAAGCACTTTTGAATAGTCATTACATTTTTTTTAATCTACCGCTCGTTCGGAAAGCTGTCTCATCACAAGAAGAAAGAGCAAGAAACTTGCGTGTTGCTCTTTTAAATAATTTTATTATTACTTTACATTTTTAAGTTTAAGTGTGTGATTACAAACTATCAATTAGCACTAATTCAAATAAAACTTCAAATTCAAATTAAAAAATCATTTATTCATGTAGGACATTTTAGCGGCTTATGAACATCAAGTTTTACATTATAATTTTATTTTTTTCCCTACCTACTTTACAGTAATATAGCTTACGCATCAGAATCACACATAGGCTATATTTTATACTAGCTGACTTCATCTGTGAGGAATTTATGTTTATCTTTTTAAAATAAAAGTAGCCTTATTACATCAGCCACCTGCCAATAAGAGTCCCGTCAAAATCGGTCCAACCATTTCAGAGATTATCGGGAAGACAGACAGACAGACAAAAATTGTAAAAAATGTTATTTTGGTTATGTACCGTATTTATATTCATGGTTGGTAGAAATGGTTATTTCAATATTACAAACAGACACTCCAATTTTATTTATATGTATAGATTAAAGAGACTTCTGTATAAATGTGTTATAGTAGGATATGATGTTATCACCTTATTTTTGCATTCATTACCTAATTTGTTACATGTTATAAATGTTTTACCAAATAAATGTTTTATTGATATTCTTTTGAGTTTTAAGTTATTTTTATAGTTGATAATGTAATGGTGCACCCGCTTGCGCTGACGGTATACGCTGGCGTGGCACCAGTGGAGGATGATAAAAATATGAGGTCAGGTCAATTAGCACATCGTGACAAATTCACCAAGAATTTATCACGATGGTTTCCAGGGAGAACCGCGTGGAGGTCAACCTGACATAGTACATTGCTAGCAAGATCATTACTCCACTTTATTTTTGACTACTCTAGTATTGTTGTCCGCAGCTGGCCTTTACAGCTTCTCCGGACGATAGGGGTCGAGTGCAGATGGCACTCCAAACCAAAGGAAGGATTTATGGTGCGGCTGAAGGACAACTCCCGCCTGACGTATACGAAGGGCACCGCTAGGGGTTCGAAAATCGGCTCAGCTCGTAATATCGATCCCCGTTTGAATTGTAAGGGGGTTCAATCGGAGGGAGCCGAAGCAAGTTCATTATTCTACATTACTCACAATCCCCTTTCCCCCAGACGAAACAGTCCTATACCATGTGCGCTGTAGCATGGTGCTGGTGAGTTTCATTAATGTATCGTTTCACTCTTAACTTTTAAGAGTGATTTTACCCCCCCGATTTACAAATTATGACTTAGTATTTCAGCTTTACCACATTCGTGATGTATTAAATAATTACTAACTGTATTAACTTTAATAAATTGTTAAATTTAAAATTAGTAACTATCATACGCGCCATGCTACAGCGAACACAGTACAATTGACATATCTAGTACATTGTATTAAACATGTATAACATTTATTTGAAAAGAATACAAGCTGAGTTTCAGTTGTTCTCATCTCGAAATCATTCCTAACTGATATATCTTAAGAGTCTGTAATATACCTACATGAATAAAGATAGTTAGAATTTTGAAAATTTTGAATTTACTTTACTTTTTGTATTGTAAAACTTCGAGTTAGTGATTCGAGATTTGGTTTAAAAAGTACTTGTATCCAGAGTCGTAAAACACATTTATAAAATAAAATGGTATCTTACGACAGTCGGCTGTTAATGTCAATGTCAGTTGGTATTAAACCCTTCAGATGTGCTTTAGATATATTTTAGTGCCTGAAATGTAGAGTACGCAATACTAGTGACTGTGTGAAAATATATAGCCTGACGTGATGTGAAGTGATGGTAACCTTTCCTATCGTGTATTATTCAATCTCTTTTCTAATAAGAAATTAGAATAAACAAGGATCTAATTAGCCAAAGTTATAATTGGTACGTCTACCTTAAGTGATAATAAACAATTCCTTAGCCATCGCGTATTTGTTTTTTTTTTCGTCGAAACGCTCCGAGGTTATTATAATAGGTAAGTATTTGTGTAATAATAAGTATGAATAAATCTATTAGTTCTTATAATAGTATATGTTGATAGGATAGTTTGTCGAGTCCCTTGTAAATTATGTAAGGTCATTGCCGAGACTTTGTACTTTGGCCCTACCTTTATTATATTAATTATCATTAAATCTGTGTAGCTATCAAATTAATTAGTTGTAATAGTATTAATAATATATATGTAATAGTATTTATCCAAATACTTTAAAGATAATTAAAAAAAAATATGCTGATAACAGGCAGTAGTTTTTTTCTTAATGGATTAATAAATGGTACACTCACCTGTGCTAAAGGTATATCTCAGAAGGTTATTGTGACAAATTCATTGGGAAGTAACCAATATTATTGACAGCAACTTGGTGCTCTGTTATTCGTGGTATTTGTGCTGGTTTGTTATTGCAGATGAAAAAGAAATTTATAAGGGATGTATGGGTGTAGTTACCTTTGCCTTTCTTAAAGGATATGTGGAACAAAAAAATTAAAAGAAACTTATTTTGTATTCTCTGTAAAGAGAATTTCTACAATCTATCTAAAATTGTATTTATTCCATAGTAATATTATAAAAGCGAAAGTCTGTCAGGTCTGTCAGGTCAAAACTACTGAAACAATTTAAATAAAATTTGGTACACTGATACTTTAGATCTTGGCAAAGGACAGGGTAATTTTTAATGCAAAAAAGGGTTGAAAGGAGAAATAGAAAGGTTTTAAAGCTAGTAGATTTTAGGATGTTGATGAATAATAAATAAACATGACATTCAAAGTCTGCCTCAACCCTCAAGGGGGTATACAATAGGGGATGAGAGTTTGAATAGTAATTTGTAGGTTAGTTCTGGAGCTGCAAGGATGCAACTTTTTTCTTTAGTTTTTTATAATTAGCTTGAATAGTTTAAACGGTACCCAAGGTCAGTATTCCAGGTGGGTGAAGTCGGGCACAGTTTAGGAAAAATTACATTTGGCAGAATTCCAAAGTATTGTCACTAAAATTATGTTTTTCCTGTAAAACTGAGATGTTCTAACTCAAGTTTTTATATTTCTACATTAGACACTGTCATTACCTTGAGGTTATTCATATTTATGTTTCACTAGTTCATCCTGCGACTTTGTCCACATGGAATTTATCTTTATTTTTCTAAAATAAAGGTAATCTAAGTTACTCCTTATTACATCTGCTGCCTGTTAAAAAAGTCACCTCAAAATCGGTCCAGCCATTGCAGAGATTAGCCGGAACAAATGTACAGACAGACAGACAAAAATTGTAAAAAATGTTTTTTGGTGTATGTACCATATTTATATTCATATGCATGTAGTAAAAACTTATTTCAATATTACATACAGAAACTCCAATTTTATTAATATGCATCGATTATGATGTGGTGGGGTGAAAAAGAAAACATGACATCACACACTTTCACAAGGGACAGAGGGCCTCGCAGTGGGTAAGGCGAAATCTTTACCCTTCTTAAGGGCCAAACAAATTTTTATAAGAGGCCCCGCTAAGGCACGCATCTGGGTTTTAGAATGACAATACAAAAATTAATACACTTATTTTTTATCATCAGATTAGTCACAGCGCTAAATAATTACAATCTACATATTACAAACAAAATCGGTACAATTACAATGTATAATTGAAATGGTTGACTTAAAATAATTATGTAATATATTGTAACTTAATTTAAGATAAGATTATTCCAAGATATAAATAATATATATTGTACTGTATTTAAATATTTAAATAAATAAAATGCTAAATTGCGCTTCACATATAATTAGGCCGTTCCCGCCATTTTTAAAAAAACAGGCTCTGTCAACTGCACAGAGTACGTTATGAACAATATTAATTATGCCACAGACTATATACTACATATATATTAATAAATGGAGAACTATTTGGAGATGTGTCGACTTCAACGTTTCTAGAACGAATGCTGAACGCAGTGCTCCCTCGGGTGCGCCCCCTACCGCGCTCACGCAGCGACGGAAGTTGTAGTGGGGAGAATTTAGTCATTTTTGCTACCAATAATCATGACGATAACATAAGATAGATATCTGTACTTGCTATCTGCTGTACTACACAATTAATTACTACAGCCCAATCTTATCACTAAACTGGCCAATCATTCTTTAATTCAATGGAACGGATTGTATAATTCATGTAATGATTTTAAGCCCAGTTTTAGTACCTCTATAAATCCACAATATAATCTTTTGTTAGAGTTCACATATAGATATTAAAAGACGGTAGTTTGTGTTTAGTACTAATGAAGTATCCAATGTAAGGATTATTACAAATATTGTAAATAGCGCCATCTAGTATTTATAGACCAACCTATTACACTGACTTCGGTCTATAAATACTGAGGTCGGTAGTTGAATAATCCCCTTTCGTTGGGTGAGCCGCGGCATTCAGTCGACGAGCGCAGAACGTGCCGGTTGTGTTTTGGATACTAAAGTGAATTGTATTAGGAATGGGTTTATCCCGGTCTTAGTTGGGCCTGGAGGGAAGCTGCAAGTAGTGAAGGTGAGTGTTAATGCATTCTAAAGGGGCCTTTTAAACCTACACCCGTGTCACAAGTCACGGGCGCTACTTGGGGTTTCTCTTGCGGTAGCCGACTTCAAAGCCTAAGTCGTCATCCTAATTAGTGCTTCTTACACTTTACATAGTACAAAATGAAGTTGTTTCCTCTGTATATTTTATTTTATTCATAATTGCACATGCATCATGCATCATAATAATTTTACATATAGATAACAAATTAATAATACACACATGGACGCTGTTCCACGAGTGTAACAGTTTCATAGATGACACTGCATATTTTAAACTGCACAAATAATTTCAATACAGTTTTCAGCAATAGATAGTGATCCAAGAGGAAGATACATATAAATAAAATTGGAGTGTCTGTTTGTAATATTGAAATAACCGTTTTATACTACATGCATATGAATATAAATACAGTACATAGACCAAAATAACATTTTTTACTATAATTTTTGTCTGTCTGTCTGTCTCTCCGTTTGTTCCGGCTAATCTCTAAAATGGCTGGACCAATTTTGATAGGACTTTTTTTGGCAGGTAGCTGATGTGGTAAGAATAGAATAGAAAATCATTTATTTAAATAAACTCACATTGAAGCACTTTTGAATGGTCATCACATTTTTTTAATCTACCGCTGATGTGGTAAGGAGAAACTTGGCTACTTTTATTTTAGAAATAGCACTTTAAAGACGCGGAAGGACTCATAGAACGCATAATCATTTTAATGATAACATAATCGGACGAATATGCGAAAAAAGTGATAACGACCTCAAATCAATATTGAAATATTTGTGACGAGTGAAATTTGTATGATATGAAATGATCAGAAAATTTCATGTCATTGTCGGTTCGATGACAGAATCATGCTCTCGCTCTTTCACTTGATTCATTCATTTACCAGTTGAATTCTTTCAACTCGAGTTGGCAGAATTCAACTCGAGATAACTCGAATTATGCGCAACTTGCGATGACACATTTCTAAAAATTTCGATTTGTAGGTACAATTTATGTTTAATTAAATAAAATTACTGATCTACGTCATCATACAAGTAGTCGTTAATCAACTGTCGTATGTATCAGTCTTATATGCTTATAGGGAAGCTGTCTCATCACAAGAAGAATTAGCGAGAAACTTGTGTGTTGCTCTTTTAAATAATCCTTGTAAGTTTACATTTACAAGTCGAAACGTATGAATACAAACTACCAACCAGCACTAATTTATTTGGGTCCAATATAAATATACAGTAAGATTAAATCAGTCGTAGTGATGAGGACTTAGTAACCTGTAACTTGTGTTTCAGAATGCTGGACAGTATGTAAGGGTGGCAAGGACGAGGGGGTGGGGGCATCAGCATGGCGGTGGGGGAGGCGCGGATACCGCCCCTACTGCGCGAAGAAATAACGCACACTCACCAGGGTAAGTCAGTCAGTAATCAATCTGTCTGAAAAAAGATTTAAATGTCATATAAAACACTTCCTTTGTAAAAATACTTATAATAAAATTAAAGAGTTCATTAATGATAATAATGTTTTTATAGAAAAACTTAAAATCCATAGCGCTGACAATATTATCTGATTGCACTAATAATGAGTGCGTAGCGGTTTCTATGTTGATTATCGCATGCCTCTTACTTGTTATACTGTAATTATTTATATAAAAAAACATCTATTCAAAAGAGCAACACACAAGTTTTTTGCTCGTTCTTCTTGTGATGAGTCTGTGTACCGAATGAGTGGTAGAATCAAAAATATGACTATTCAAAAATACTTGTAATGAGTTTCTTTGAATAAAGATTATTTCAATTTCAATTTCTAATCCAGCATTTACCAACATTATTCTGAACGGACGGTAGATTTGAGATTCATGTCAAAATTAAAATTCAATATATCTATATTCATGTAGGTCTATTACAGACTCTTATGATATGTCAAATCTACCGTCAGTTCGGAATGATTTCGAGATGAGAACTGACAAGAAACTCAGCTCGTATTCTTTTCAAATAAATGTTGTGCATGTTTACAATAATACAGATTCATTTAAATTCAAATTTGGGAGAATAGAGTGACCACCAGCATATGATATTGCAGATATCATAAGAGTCTATAATAGACCTACATGAATAAAGATATTTTGAATTTGAATACAAACATGATGACTTTCCTAGATCGGGTTTTTGACGTCCTCGGTGGTCTAGCGGTTTAGTATACCGCTTTAGGTTCGATGGTCGCGGGTTCAATTCCTCGTTCGGTACGAACATTCACAATGTTGTATTTTATTATATACTAGCTACTCGGCCCGGCATCACACGGGTGTACATGTATTATACATATAAACCTTCCTCTTGAATCATTCTATCTATTGAATAAACTCGCTTCAAAATCCATTGCGTAGTTTTAAAGATTTAAGCATACATAGGGACAGACAGCGACAGTTATTTTGCTTATGACTATGTAATGACTAGGTACTCGCCCTGGCTTCGCCCGGGTGTACATGTATTATCTTATATATAAAATTCTCGTGTCACAGTTTTCGTTCCCATACTCCTCCGAAACGGCTTGACCGATTCTCATGAAATTTTGTGAGCGTATTGAGTAGGTCTGAGAATCGGCCAACATCTATTTTTCATCCCCTAAATGTTAGGGGTAGTCCACCCCTAAATTTTTATTTTTATTTTAAGGCAAAACAACGTTTAGCGGGACAGGTAGTTTATATATATAAACCTTCCTCTTGAATCACTCTATCTATTAAAAAAAAGCCGCTTCAATATCCACCCGGATCGGAAATTATAACTACCTACTGCAAGTTGAAACTCCCGACCCCAATGTTACGAGACTGTAATTAACCACTGTGCCGTGACCTCATTAGATTGTTTCCGTTAAATAAATTATAATTATTTATTAATGCAATTAATATTTATAATTGTGTTTGTCAGTGATTACTATTATTATAAAATGATGTAATGTTTATCTGGAGTAATGATTTATTATTCAATTAATTAATTATACACCGAGGTTACTGGTGACCCGGGGGCTGGTCGCGACTTTGCCCAGAACATATATCCTTACTAATATTATATACTAGCTACTTGCCCCGGCTTCGCACGGGTGTACATGTATTATTAATATTCTAAATTACGATTACTTGAATGACGAGCGTGCATGGCAATAGTTGTTCATGCACTGAATTTTCATTTAATGTTAGACATAGACACCTATATAAATATACATTGTAAATAAACTGGCTTTAAAAAAATAAGTAATTCAATTGAGTTTCTTGCCAGTTCTTCTCAATTGGATCTATACACTGAACTGGACGGTGGGGAAAAAATAAAAATTATAATTTAAAACTTGACGTTCATAAGCGGCTAAAATGTCCTACATGAATAAATGAATTTTGAATTTTATAAATAATGACTAGGTACTCGCCCCGGCTTTGCCCGGGTTGTACCTTCCTCTTGAATCACTCTATCTATTAAAAAAACCGCTTCAAAATCCGTTGCGTAGTTTTAAAGATTTAGACGAAAGTAACTCTGTTTGTCGTGTCTGTCTTTCACACCAAAACTACTAAACCGTTGTATGTCAGTTCTGTTCCCCGTTGATACAAAGAGCCAATACCCTAGTATGTTGCATATACTCGATATGCCATTTTGGATTACAATGCCCTGATGGCAACAGCATGTGCTGGTCCTTTTTTTTATAACACAGGAGATAGGTGAGCCGCATGCTCACCTGATGGTAAGTGATTACCGCCGCCCATGAGCACCCGCAACACCAGGGGAATTGCAAGTACGTTGTCGGCCTTTTAAAAAGGAATGAGCTCTTTTCTGGAAGGTTCCAGAGGAGTTTCTACAAAGTCTAGCTCTTAATATATCTCTTTGGAAAAATCTCCTTCAGGGACCACTACTATATCTGATTTGTTGGTAAAAGTCACAGAATCACCGAAGCCCGCCGGGGCATCGAACGGCCACCAATCGCTGAGCCATGGGACCACCGTGGCGACGTCGCTGGTGGCGGGCGCCGCTGCCGGGGCCATTGCGAAGACTGTTATAGCGCCGCTGGACCGCACCAAGATTAACTTTCAGATCTCGTATGTATTTTTTTTAAAACAACTAACGTTTCTGACAGCCGTCTTGGTCTAGTGGTTTAGCATACCGCTTTATTAACCAATGGTCGCGGGTTCGATTCCTCGCACGGTACAAACATTTGCGTTACAACTACCGTTAGCAATAATAACGTGTGTGGTATTTGTCAGGAAGACTTTATATTCGACTATTAGTTCTTATTAATGGGTCCTCCAGGTCCCGTTACCGACGGTTCTCTCCCTTTACTAATAACGGTGTGTAGTGTTGGTCAGTTAGTCGATTTACTTGTAATGGGTCCTCCAAGTCCCGTTAGGGACGATCCTCTCCCTTTACTAATAACGGTGTGTAGTGTTGGCCAGCTAGTCGATTTACTTGTAATGGGTCCTCCAGGTCCCGTTACCGACGATCCTCTCCCTTTACTAATAACGGTGTGTAGTGTTGGCCAGCTAGTCGATTTACTTGTAATGGGTCCTCCAGGTCCCGTTACCGACGATCCTCTCCCTTTACTAATAACGGTGTGTAGTGTTGGCCAGCTAGTCGATTTACTTGTAATGGGTCCTCCAGGTCCCGTTACCGACGATCCTCTCCCTTTTCTAATAACGGTGTGTAGTGTTGGCCAGCTAGTCGATTTACTTGTAATGGGTTCTCCAGGTCCCGTTACCGACGATCCTCTCCCTTTACTAATAACGGTGTGTAGTGTTGGTCAGCTAATCGATTTACTTGTAATGGGTCCTCCAGGTCCCTTTAGCGACGATCCTCTCCCAATAATGATTTCTGGTCTTTTTTGCAAGACTCTATATAAGACTACTAGTTATTATTAATGGGGCTTCCAAGTCCCATTAGCGATAATATTCTTCCTTTACTAATTACTTTCCTTTCCTCCAGGCTCCATTACCGACGCTCTCCTTCCTCTAATAAAAACGGTTTCTGGTCTTTGTCAGCCAGACACCATATTTGAACACTAGTTCTTATTAATGGGGCCTTCAGGTCCCGTTAGCGAAAATTCATTCTCTCCAATAATAACGGATTCTGCTGTTTGTCAGCAAGACGCCATACTCGACCACTAGTTATTATGAATGGGTCCTCCAGATCACTTTAGCCACGATCTCCTCCCCCCAATAATAACGGCCTGTGGTGTTCGCCAGCGAGACCCCGTACTCGTGGCGCGCGGCGTGGTGCTTCCTGCGGCAGTCTGCGGCGCGCGAGGGGCTGCGCGCGCTGTGGCGCGGGAACTCCGCCACCATGGCGCGCATCGTGCCCTACGCCGCAGTGCAGTTCACCGCGCACGAGCAGTGGAAGAGGCTGCTCGGCGTGGACTCGCCGCAGGCCGCGCGGTGAGTGTACCACTTGCAGCGAGCAGCTCACCACGCACGAGCAGTGGACGAGGCTGTTCGGCGTGGACTCAGCGCAGCAGAGGAAGATCTCCTTAGCCATCTCTCATAATTATACCTCTCTAGCTATGCATGCGGTTTCAGCCGTGTGAAATTTATAACCTATATTTTATTCTGAAGTATATTGTTTTTTTTTTAAATAAATGGTATCCTATGTTCATTCTGATACCTCCAAGAACATGTGCACAAAATTTCATGATGATCGGTTTAGTAGTTTTTCCGTGAAAGCGTAACAAACATGCCTACTGTCACATTTATATGTTAACAATGTCGGTCGGTACGTGCAGGGCGCACCCGGCGCTGCTGGCGCTGGCCGGCTCGCTGGCGGGCGTGACGTCGCAGAGTATGACGTACCCGCTGGACCTGGCGCGCGCGCGCATGGCCGTCACCAGCGCGGACCACTACCGCACGCTGCGCGCCGTCTTCACCACCGTCGTCCGCGAGGAGGGCGTGCGCACGCTCTACAGGTATGACGTCGCAGAGTATGACGCACCGCCGGACGACGTTTATTACGAACAAACTTTTGATTAGTCACTTTTACAGTTAAGGAAACCGGTCGCTATAAGGCTATATTGAATAGATTATAAATATATGTGATACTAGCTTTTGCCCGCGGTTTCGCTCGCGTTAAGAAGTATTATTATTAATTAGGTATAGTTTTTATGGCTTTACTTTTTTTCCTTTCTTAGAGGATGCCTACGTCATAGTAGCTTTATGCATGCAAAGTCTCAGCCCGATCAGTTTAAATTTGACAAAGTTTCATACAAACTCTCATCCCCCATTTTATCCTCTTAGGGGTGGAATTTATCAAAATCCTTTCTTAAGGGATGCCTACGTCATAGTAGCTTTATGCATGCAAAGTCTCAGCCCGATCAGTTTAAATTTGACAAAGTTTCATACAAACTCTCATCCCCTATTTTATCCCCTTGGGGGTAGAATTAATCAAAATCCATTCTTAGCGGATGCCTACGTCATAACATCTACCTGCATGTCAAATTTCAGCCCGATCCGTCCAGTGGTTTGGGCTGTGCGTTGATAGATCACTATGTGAGTCACCTTCTGTTACTACTTGCAGAGGTTACTGGGCGACCGTGCTGGGCGTGATCCCGTACGCTGGCGTCTCCTTCTACACGTATGACACTCTCAAACACAAATATTTAGGTGAGTTCTATCTTTTTAATTTATAAAGTGGTTCCTTATTCGACTTCGACGCAACTTATACATCCTATCACTCCTCTACAGTACCCTATCACTCCTTTACAGCTTCCTATCACTCCTTTACAGTACCCTATCACTCCTTTACAGCTTCCTATCACTCCTTTACAGTACCCTATCACTCCTTAACAGCTTCCTATCACTCCTTTACAGTACCTGGAGAAATGGGTGGTAGCGGGTAAGGTAAGTGGACTGTATGGAATTGAAATAAAGGGGGATGCACAGTACGTACCTGCGACTGTAGAGCGGGTGTATTCTTGCACAGCTGCTGCACTCGATGAATACTAAGTTTAACACAGGCACGCACACAAAGTTACTTATTGTTAATGTCAATATTATATTAATTAATTTAAAGCGGAGCGGTTGGGACGAGATGTCACCATTCACGTTAGTAGACGAGGTCGTCGGGCGACCTCAGTTGACATACTGTGCGCGGGAAAGGGATTAGGATATGGGGAATAATACCATACCACTTGATATGTTTATAAATGGCGCGAACATCCTCCCCCGCCTTGAGAAACTAAGGGTTTCTCAAAGAAAATACAAAGAAGAGCAATATATGAAGCGGATGTACATTATAGTATATATTCCTAACATACTTATAATTAGTTATAGAGCGTAATATAATAAGAAAAACTTAATAGAATACACCTAGCGGTAAATAATAATTAAATGCGGTTTATAAGAAAAATAGAGTTTATTGAGAAGGTAAAGGGCTTAATTTAACGATTGGTCGCTTGAGCAAACCATTTTGAGTTTTAACAGATGCTACGCGAGCAATACCATCTGAGTCTGGATATATTTTCACAATGATACCCATTGGCCACCGCAGTGGTGAGACGTTATCATCATGTATAAGCACTACAGTACCAACCTTAACATTGTCTGTATTCTTAAACCACCGTTGGTGAATTAAAGAACGAAGAAGAATGGCACCTGTGTGACAGTTAACGCGGTGAAAATGATCTATTATTAAGGAAGTAATATGGTCGCGCTTAGGCAATAAAACGGGATGTTTTGCCTCGAAAGGTAAGTTAGCATTTAATAATATACCTATCCTAATTATGCCATCGTCATCAATAAAAAGATCTAATTTACGCAGAGTTCCAGTAGGTAAATTACCCTTTTTAAGATCACTAATAACATGAGAAAAATGAGCGACCTCAATTGCTGTAAGTATATATTTTTCAGCGATATTTAAATGAGCGGTTTCAATATATTTAGAGCGGGGCAATACGCGTATAAATCGCAGTATATAAATAGTAATTCGTAATAATTTGTTCCAGGATGAAACTTTAGATGCAAGATCACAAAGCGGTGAGACTACAGTATTGGAAGCAGCTGTAACGAACGTCTTAGTATTATATTCAGGTAAGTTTTCATATTTTTCAGGTGTAAATGACTCTACCGGCCAAGAGCAGACGGGGCTACTCAGCCACGCGGGACCGTTCCACCACAACTCATGGGTAAGTAATTGTTTAGGCAGTAAACCTCTTGAAAGACAGTCGCTTGGATTATTGAATCCAGCCACGTGATAGAAATGTTTTGATTGTAAATTTTCCTGACATTTAGCCACACGATTGCTAACGAAGATATTCCACCGATGTGGTGAAGAATGAATCCATGAGAGTGCAATTTTCGAGTCAGAAAATGCATAGACGTTCTGTACAGACGTGCGTGAAGAGTAAGCATCGTAAACTAGTTTAGTTAGTTTAGACATTAAAACGGCGGCGCAAAGTTCTAGTCGCGCAAGTGAGACTACCTTAACGGGTGCGACTTTTGATTTCGCACAGACTAATCTCACGTATATATTGCCTGCGGGATCTGTCACATGTAAGTAAATAACGCAGCCGTAAGCTTTTAAACTAGCATCCGAAAACGCAACGATATTTATTATACAGTCTTGCGTGACAGATAAATGACGCGGTATTTTTAAATTAGCAAGAAGCGGTAATTGTTGTTTAAATGTAGTAAAAATAGCGGTTATATTTGTCGGAGGTACATCATCCCATCCGACTTTCTGCAGCCAAAGATCTTTAATAAGTAGTTTAGCGGTAAGTACGACAGGCGCAGCAAAACCTAATACGTCCCATAATCGGGCAATTAGGGAAAGTATGGTACGTTTTGTACACAAGCGGTCATCACAATTGATTTTAAAAACGAAAATATCATCTTGCGGGTTCCATTCGAGCCCTAATATCTTAAGGGACTCACGTCTATCAAACTCAACTTGCTGTGCAAGTTTCAGCGGTGTAGGAATGCTCTCTAGTAGGTTCTTTGAATTACTAGACCATTTAACTAATTGAAAGCCACCTGACTTAAACATATTAATTAATTGAGCGGTAGCCTCGACAGCATCAACCTCATTTAGTATAGACGTAGCTAAATCGTCCATATACAGTTCCCTTTCAGCTATAGAAGCAGCCAGCGGAAAGTTATCGCGTTCATCATCACAAAGCTGACGAATTGTACGCATGGCAAGGTAAGGACTTGACTTAAGACCAAATGCAACTCTATTAAGTTGAAAGGTACGTATGGGTTCAGACGTATTAAAGCGGTACAGTATTTTTTGATATTTACGATACTCGTCGGTTACTAAAATTTGTAGGTACATTTGTTTTATATCCGCGGTTATAGCGATTGGAAATAAACGAAAATTTAATAAAATTAAAAATAAATCAGCTTGGAGATTAGGACCCGTATGTAAAATATCATTTAGAGAAATGCCGTTATGACATTTAGCACTTGCATCAAGGACTATTCTGACCTTGGTGGTGTCTTTATCCTGCCTAATGACAGGGTGATGCGGTATGACGTAACCGTCATCCATATTATCGGATGTATTTAAAACTTCAGATAAATATTGGTTGTCTATATAGTCTTTTATGATGGCATTATAATCAGCGCGCAAACCTGTACTTTCTAGTTTGCGTTCTAGCGATAGCAAGCGACGAAAAGCGGTGATACGGGAATTACCTAACTCGCTAGGATCCTTATAAAACGGTAAAACAGTACAATAACGACCTGACGAGTCGCGGGACACGGTAGAAGAGTACATTTGCTCGCATTCCTTTTCTGCGGGACTTAAATATTTATTTATAGGAACCTCCTCTAATTCCCAGAATTTAGAGAGAGAATCATTAAGATTATTTTCAATACATGTTAAGAAAGCAGAGGAAGATGAGTCTTGTTGAGGCGCGGTATGATCACGATCAGATGTGGTCGCATTATTACAGGGAACGTCACCAATAAAAACATAACCAAAAATAGTTTCTATGGCTGGCGGTGCGGGTGGACTTATTATTTTTCCACTTAAAAGAATATAAGGGAACAAATTTGCTCCTAATACAAGTTCGATCTCACCTGGCATATGCCAGTGAGGATCTGCAAGCGGTAAGTCGACTAAATGACTTATAACAGACGTATCTATATATTCAATAGGTAGCCGATCGGTAATACAATCGACAACTAACGCGGTTATAGTGAAGCTTTGTTCGTTATGTTTATCGGAAATCATTATTTTAACATAGCCCTTTATAGGCCTCGTTGTTAATCCGACACCTTTTAAAAATGAATTCGTAAGCGGAATAATGTTTAAGTTTAATTGTTTACAACAATCAATCGTAATAAGGTTATGTTGCGAAGCATTGTCTAAAAGGCAACGAACAGTACGTATTATATTTTTGTTATAGTTACGAACAATAACAGATGCTGTAGACAGAAGTACCTCTGTACGCACTTTACTCGTTGGACATACAACACCAGGCATGGCTGCTGTAGTGGTAGGTACTCGAGTGCACAACGACAAAGGTGCGGGCATCGCGATTTCAATGGGCGCTTTTGAGTCCCCGTCAGGAGTCAAATTACATTGCGTTGCATTACGACAGGGGACTGGCGGGAGTGCGGGAGCGGCGATCGTAGATCGATCACTCATCACACTAGATCGATGAGTGCAGAGCGGTGTATTATTATTTTGTGCCTTATCTAAATGTAATAAGGAATGATGTCGCTTATTACAAGTTCTACATTTGTATTTAGAATTACAAGTGGACACAGAATGCGTTATACTAAGGCAATTTACACAACCTCGTTTAGATTTAATAAAATCTAATCGATTTTTCGGCAGCATTGATTTAAATGTGGAACAGGTATATAACTGAAAATGTTCCGAAGTATTACACATAGAACAAGGAGCGCGGTGACTAGAAGTGTCACTTCGTGTAACAAACGAATGTACATTTTGCGGGCGGTTGTTTTTAATATTAGTTAATGTGTTGCGGCTTACTGAATTAATATTATTACTCGTGCGGTCTAATATTTTCACCTGACTTTTTATAAATTCCACAAAATCCATATAACTCGGAATATCTTTATTTCTAGCGGTCATTTCGAAAGCCTGTGTAGTACTTAAATCCACCTTTCGTAAGGCTAAGTTCAATAAAATAAAATCTTGCATATCATCAATCTTTAATTGACGCATAGCAGCAACAGCGGCATCGAAAGTTTCGATGAAATTATTTAATGAAGCGGAATTATTTTTGGCCGATTTAATGTTAAATAATGTAGAAATGTAATATGAACCTAAGGCCCTTTTATCCTGATATTTCTTTACTAAACTTTCCCATATGGAAGTATAATTATCACCAGACGGAATTATACCGGCCATTTTTTTTTGAGCGCTTCCAGTTAATTTACTAAGTAAATACTGAATTCTTTGTGAATCGGTTAAATCGGTGTTACAATGAATATTACTCCTAAAGGATTCATAAAAGCTAGACCACGTGGACATATTCCCGTCAAAACAAGGAATACAGAGGGGTTCTAGTTTGATACTAGATTTATTATGCGGTACCGATTGTGAAGACGAAGGCTTATTCGCTTCGCTTAATATTAAACGACATCTTTTTATTCGACTAAAAATATCTTCAAACGTTAAAAGTGCCTGGTAATCAGGTTCAAATTTAGGATTCAACTGCATTTGTAACTCGTTTATAGAATCTAAATTTTGTATATATTCATGGCGCAGTGTATCAATGGTTTCACTGTCCGCCATGAATGCCTCTGCGGAGCGTAAGTCGATTGACGACGGTGACAGATTTTTACAAGTATCACGCAATCTTGTAATACGTTGAAATATAGCTCTGTTTTTAGCTTCTAGCATTTTTAAATTTGACTCCATTATCGTTACGATTATTGGCGTTGAAAAATACAAATTAATGTAGGTAGGTATGTACGCTTACTGCGTAATATGTATTATACAAATAATAAAGTATTATTATTAATTAAGCGGTAAATGCGGTAATTATTAGAAAATATACCCAAGACTAGGCTTATAGGTATGGCGTACTAATATATTAAGTACAGAAAATGCGTATGCGCGGGTGAATATACGAATAGGTACAAAGAAGCGGTATGGCTTATAGCGGGCGGTATAATATAATGAAATTATGTATCTATCAATGCGGGGATGTAAATCTCGTCCTAATTATAGTATTTAAGCGGTAGGTATCCGGTTCGAAGGCGTACCATGAAGAAATGGGGGTTAGCGGGTAAGGTAAGTGGACTGTATGGAATTGAAATAAAGGGGGATGCACAGTACGTACCTGCGACTGTAGAGCGGGTGTATTCTTGCACAGCTGCTGCACTCGATGAATACTAAGTTTAACACAGGCACGCACACAAAGTTACTTATTGTTAATGTCAATATTATATTAATTAATTTAAAGCGGAGCGGTTGGGACGAGATGTCACCATTCACGTTAGTAGACGAGGTCGTCGGGCGACCTCAGTTGACATACTGTGCGCGGGAAAGGGATTAGGATATGGGGAATAATACCATACCACTTGATATGTTTATAAATGGCGCGAACAGTACCCTATCACTCCTTAACAGCTTCCTATCACTCCTTTACAGCTTCCTATCACTCCTTTACAGTACCCTATCACTCCTTAACAGCTTCCTATCACTCCTTTACAGTACCCTATCACTCCTTAACAGCTTCCTATCACTCCTCTACAGCTTCCTATCACTCCTTTACAGTCCCTATCACTCCTTTACATCTTTCTATCACTCCTCTACAGCTTTCTATCACTTATTTACAGCATTCCATCACTCCTTTATTGCAGCCTATCACTCTCAATGCCCTTTTTGTCCGAGTCACTGTTCATAGGACGCCATCTTGTGTCTGACTGTTCCTTGTTTGTAATATTTTTTATATAATCTTACTACCTACTTATCTACTATCTATCTTTCTAATTATCGGCTCATAAACATGCACCACTCTTGTAACTTATCGGTTACAATGTAATAGCAGCATGATGCCAGCTGTGTGCGATAGAGATAACAACGCTTCCTTCTCATTCTGGTCGTGCCACCGCGTGTATAATAATCCAGATGTGTGCGGTAGAGACGACACAATGTTTGTTTTTCTTTTTGTTCACGCCACAAGCGCGTATATATCGTATATATATATATTGTTCTAACTTATTGTTTACAACGTAATAGCTGCACGACGCCAGCTGTGTGCGATAGAGACAATAAAGTTTCCATCTCTTTTGCGCGTGACGCGCCTATAATGTGATCGTCAGCTGGCAGACTAGTATGCCTATATGACGCCGGCTGCGTGCGATAGAGACGACAACGCTTCCATTGTTTCTCGCGTATGATAATTTGGTCATCGGTCGTCAGAGCACTTCGGTCGGGAGCAGGGCGCGCTGGTGAACGTGGCGCTGGGCGGCGCGGCGGGCGCGCTGGCGCAGACCGCCTCCTACCCGCTCGACATCGTGCGGCGCCGCCTGCAGACCGCGCGCCGCGCACACTCCGCGCTGGCGGCCGCCGCGCACGTGCGCAGGTCAGTGACCCCCGCCTGCAGACCGCCTCCTACCCGCTCGACATCGTGCGGCGCCGCCTGCAGACCGCGCGCCGCGCACACTCCGCGCTGGCGGCCGCCGCGCACGTGCGCAGGTCAGTGAACCCCCGCCTGCAGACCGCCTCCTACCCGCTCGACATCGTGCGGCGCCGCCTGCAGACCGCGCGCCGCGCACACTCCGCGCTGGCGGCCGCCGCGCACGTGCGCAGGTCAGTGACCCCCGCCTGCAGACCGCCTCCTACCCGCTCGACATCGTGCGGCGCCGCCTGCAGACCGCGCGCCGCGCACACTCCGCGCTGGCGGCCGCCGCGCACGTGCGCAGGTCAGTGACCCCCGCCTGCAGACCGCCTCCTACCCGCTCGACATCGTGCGGCGCCGCCTGCAGACCGCGCGCCGCGCACACTCCGCGCTGGCGGCCGCCGCGCACGTGCGCAGGTCAGTGACCCCCGCCTGCAGACCGCCTCCTACCCGCTCGACATCGTGCGGCGCCGCCTGCAGACCGCGCGCCGCGCACACTCCGCGCTGGCGGCCGCCGCGCACGTGCGCAGGTCAGTGACCCCCGCCTGCAGACCGCCTCCTACCCGCTCGACATCGTGCGGCGCCGCCTGCAGACCGCGCGCCGCGCACACTCCGCGCTGGCGGCCGCCGCGCACGTGCGCAGGTCAGTGACCCCCGCCTGCAGACCGCCTCCTACCCGCTCGACATCGTGCGGCGCCGCCTGCAGACCGCGCGCCGCGCACACTCCGCGCTGGCGGCCGCCGCGCACGTGCGCAGGTCAGTGACCCCCGCCTGCAGACCGCCTCCTACCCGCTCGACATCGTGCGGCGCCGCCTGCAGACCGCGCGCCGCGCACACTCCGCGCTGGCGGCCGCCGCGCACGTGCGCAGGTCAGTGACCCCCGCCTGCAGACCGCCTCCTACCCGCTCGACATCGTGCGGCGCCGCCTGCAGACCGCGCGCCGCGCACACTCCGCGCTGGCGGCCGCCGCGCACGTGCGCAGGTCAGTGACCCCCGCCTGCAGACCGCCTCCTACCCGCTCGACATCGTGCGGCGCCGCCTGCAGACCGCGCGCCGCGCACACTCCGCGCTGGCGGCCGCCGCGCACGTGCGCAGGTCAGTGACCCCCGCCTGCAGACCGCCTCCTACCCGCTCGACATCGTGCGGCGCCGCCTGCAGACCGCGCGCCGCGCACACTCCGCGCTGGCGGCCGCCGCGCACGTGCGCAGGTCAGTGACCCCCGCCTGCAGACCGCCTCCTACCCGCTCGACATCGTGCGGCGCCGCCTGCAGACCGCGCGCCGCGCACACTCCGCGCTGGCGGCCGCCGCGCACGTGCGCAGGTCAGTGACCCCCGCCTGCAGACCGCCTCCTACCCGCTCGACATCGTGCGGCGCCGCCTGCAGACCGCGCGCCGCGCACACTCCGCGCTGGCGGCCGCCGCGCACGTGCGCAGGTCAGTGACCCCCGCCTGCAGACCGCCTCCTACCCGCTCGACATCGTGCGGCGCCGCCTGCAGACCGCGCGCCGCGCACACTCCGCGCTGGCGGCCGCCGCGCACGTGCGCAGGTCAGTGACCCCCGCCTGCAGACCGCCTCCTACCCGCTCGACATCGTGCGGCGCCGCCTGCAGACCGCGCGCCGCGCACACTCCGCGCTGGCGGCCGCCGCGCACGTGCGCAGGTCAGTGACCCCCGCCTGCAGACCGCCTCCTACCCGCTCGACATCGTGCGGCGCCGCCTGCAGACCGCGCGCCGCGCACACTCCGCGCTGGCGGCCGCCGCGCACGTGCGCAGGTCAGTGACCCCCGCCTGCAGACCGCCTCCTACCCGCTCGACATCGTGCGGCGCCGCCTGCAGACCGCGCGCCGCGCACACTCCGCGCTGGCGGCCGCCGCGCACGTGCGCAGGTCAGTGACCCCCGCCTGCAGACCGCCTCCTACCCGCTCGACATCGTGCGGCGCCGCCTGCAGACCGCGCGCCGCGCACACTCCGCGCTGGCGGCCGCCGCGCACGTGCGCAGGTCAGTGACCCCCGCCTGCAGACCGCCTCCTACCCGCTCGACATCGTGCGGCGCCGCCTGCAGACCGCGCGCCGCGCACACTCCGCGCTGGCGGCCGCCGCGCACGTGCGCAGGTCAGTGACCCCCGCCTGCAGACCGCCTCCTACCCGCTCGACATCGTGCGGCGCCGCCTGCAGACCGCGCGCCGCGCACACTCCGCGCTGGCGGCCGCCGCGCACGTGCGCAGGTCAGTGACCCCCGCCTGCAGACCGCCTCCTACCCGCTCGACATCGTGCGGCGCCGCCTGCAGACCGCGCGCCGCGCACACTCCGCGCTGGCGGCCGCCGCGCACGTGCGCAGGTCAGTGACCCCCGCCTGCAGACCGCCTCCTACCCGCTCGACATCGTGCGGCGCCGCCTGCAGACCGCGCGCCGCGCACACTCCGCGCTGGCGGCCGCCGCGCACGTGCGCAGGTCAGTGACCCCCGCCTGCAGACCGCCTCCTACCCGCTCGACATCGTGCGGCGCCGCCTGCAGACCGCGCGCCGCGCACACTCCGCGCTGGCGGCCGCCGCGCACGTGCGCAGGTCAGTGACCCCCGCCTGCAGACCGCCTCCTACCCGCTCGACATCGTGCGGCGCCGCCTGCAGACCGCGCGCCGCGCACACTCCGCGCTGGCGGCCGCCGCGCACGTGCGCAGGTCAGTGACCCCCGCCTGCAGACCGCCTCCTACCCGCTCGACATCGTGCGGCGCCGCACAAAAATTGCGACACCAAGTAGCTTAAGAATATGTATAAGTGCCATGCTTGAAGGTACAAATTATAAAAAAAAAAACCAAAAACTGTCCCCAAATATGAGACAATGTGTGTGTGTGTGTGACAAGTAGTTTTTCTTTATATCTTTTTTTTATGTATACTTGCCCTAAGAGCTTTGATCTAGCTGATTTATCATTAGTGGCCGCTAGATGGCGCTGATTTATAACTTCATTAGTGGCCGCTAGATGGCGCTGATTTATAACTTCATTAGTGGCCGCTAGATGGCTCTGATTTATAACTTCATTAGTGGCCGCTAGATGGCGCTGATTTATAACTTCATTAGTGGCCGCTAGATGGCTCTGATTTATAACTTCATTAGTGGCCGCTAGATGGCGCTGATCTATAACTTCATTAGTGGCCGCTAGATGGCGCTGATTTATAACTTCATTAGTGGCCGCTAGATGGCTCTGATTTATAACTTCATTAGTGGCCGCTAGATGGCTCTGATTTATAACTTCATTAGTGGCCGCTAGATGGCTCTGATTTATAACTTCATTAGTGGCCGCTAGATGGCTCTGATTTATAACTTCATTAGTGGCCGCTAGATGGCTCTGATTTATAACTTCATTAGTGGCCGCTAGATGGTGCTGATTTATAACTTCATTAGTGTCCGCTAGATGGCTCTGATTTATAACTTCATTAGTGGCCGCTAGATGGCTCTGATTTATAACTTCATTAGTGGCCGCTAGATGGCGCTGATTTATAACTTCATTAGTGGCCGCTAGATGGCTCTGATTTATAAGTTCAAATAGCAAAATATTGATTTTATTGTTTTTTTATAAAACATATTTGTTTATTTTTTCGTTTTAAATAAAAAGTATGTTAAGTTCATTCTAATACCTCCAAGAACATGTGAACAAAATGTCATGATGTTTCTTCAGTAGGTAATTTCACATTTACAATATTAATAATAAGGATTTTGTATACAAAGCAAGCTGCTAGATCCAAATAGGTGAGGCTGAAGTATACGTACAGACTAGTTTTATAATCTACTAACTACTTGCCCCGGCTTCGCACAGTGTACCTATATTATTGTCAGCTTCACAGGCATGGATGATGGTATTCTATTGGATTTACATGATAATAACAAGATAACTTTATAAATAAAACAATACTCACAGTTGATAATCACTTTTCTTATATTTTCAACAGTATTTTACAAAATCTTTTCCACACGTCCGTTCGTAACGCTTGCTGCAATCTTAATGATCTCATCGCCATTGAACAATTGAAAACTGGGAGGTAGCTCCCAGTTTTTAAATAGTCAATACACTTACTTTTACTTTAACATAGCAATTAGATAAAATGGTTATTAAATATGATAAAGAAGCGTACTACCCTCAGGCAGTTAAAATAGAACAAACATAGTAATCATGAATAACTGTTGATGACATTATATATATAAACCTTCCTGTTGAGTTACTCTATTTATTAAAGAAAGTCGCCTCAAAATCCGTTGCGTAGTTTTAAAGATTTAAGCATACATACGGACAGACAGCGACAGCGACTTTGTTTTATATTATGTAATGATGTACTGGTCCACAGGACGGAGGGCTGGCGAGGGTATAGAATACGCCTCAAAATCCGTTGCGTAGTTTTAAAGATTTAAGCATACATACGGACAGACAGCGACAGCGACTTTGTTTTACACTATGTAATGATGTACTGGTCCACAGGACGGAGGGCTGGCGGGGGTTCTTCAAAGGTCTCAGCATGAACTGGGTCAAAGGCCCTATAGCTGTGGGCATCTCCTTCGCCACCTACGACGCCATAAGAACCCAACTGCGAGACCTGGCCGTCACTCTGCAGAGCTAGTGAAGCCACGCTGCTGCACTCGTGTTTGTATGTTTGTAACTCGACGATCGAGGTTCATATGTTATTAACATGTTACTAACAGCCCCGGTGGTGCAGCGGTTTAGCATGACATTCCGATGGTCACAGGTTCGATTCCAATATGGTCTGGATATTTCCTGTTTATATTATACTAGCTGTACCCGCGGTTTAACCCGCGTGAAATTTATTAGCCTACATGTTATTCTGATGTATATGTAGGAAATATTAAATGAAGTGAAGTGTTTTAAAATAACAATGCATTACATTATGAAGCGCCTGTAATATTATCATAGCAAAGATTATAACAATATAGACATAAATTATAAATTATGAATCGCATGAAATATTATCATAGCAAAGATTATAACAATATAGACATAAATTATAAATTATGAAACGCCTGAAATATTATAATAGCAAAGATTATAACAATATAGACATAAATTATAAATTATGAATCGCCTGAATATCCTTGGATAATTAACACAGCGCCATCTAGTCCCACAGTAAGCAGAGCTGGTGTTATGGGTACTAGATAACTGATATAAATAAATAAATATTAAAAAAATATATAGCAATGAATTTGTGTCATAATATACATAGAAAACACCCAGACCGATACAAACAATCATGAATACAAATATTTGCACTGCGTGAGGAATCGAACATGCAACCATCGGAAGTAAACCGGACTGTATAACCGCTACACCACCGAGGCCATGCAATACATACCAAAAAAATAAATGTAGCAATGCATTTGTCTCGAAAATGCTCAGAATAATTAAAATAAAATGTTATTTATAAGGAAAATGTAAAAATTGGATTGTTTAGTGCAATATTTTAATTTAATTTAAATTAAATTAGTTTTAATATTATTAAATTAAATATCAACTTTTGACGTGACTCTGTCTTCCCCACTTGTCTTGTTGTCGTAGTGATATATTATTAATGTTTAAATGAATTTTATTTTGTTAAAAATATTTATTTATACGTATAACTAGCTATTCGCCCCGGATTCGCACTGGTGTACATGTATTGTATATATAAACCTTCCTCTTGAATCACTCTATCTATTAAAAAATCGCTTCAAAATCCGTTGCGTGGTTTTAAAGATTTAAGCATACATAGAGACAGACAGCGACAGCGACTTTGTTTTATACTATGTAATAATGATGTATGTTAGTATATAAGGTATTTATAACATAGTCTATTATTAATATGAAATATATATATATACATACAGAGAGATTACAAAATGAAACTTTGTCCCTACTTTTAATACAGATATTATACAGTTGACTAGCTGTATCAGCGACTTCGTCCGCGTGGAATTTAACTTTATTTTTCTAAAATAAAAGTAGCCCAAGTCACTCCTCATTACATCAGCCACCTGCCAATAAAAGTCCCGTCAAAATCGGTCCAACCATTTGAGAGATTAGTCGGTACAAACAGACAGACTGACAGAAATTGTAAAAATGTTATTTTGTGTATGTACCGTATTTATATTCATATGCATGTAGTAAAAAACGGTTATTTCAATATTACAAACAGACACTACAATTTTGTTTATATGTATATATGTTTTTGCTGGTTTAAAGTTTTACATAAACTTACATCCCGACTTCGCACGAATGTATTACGAATTTTTTAATTTCTCAACTCTTTCTATACTATATATATATATACCATCGCGGACTATTTTGTTGACCTTCTTAAGGTGTAACTCGGCTTGACACGCTACCGCGTGTCTAGATGCGCGGTAGCGTGTCAAGCCGAGTTTCAAGTAAGACAACTGGCGAGCAGCACCGTGTGTATATTTATCCCATCAAAAACATATATGTATGTGAAATGATAGCCGAGTTTAATATTATGATATATGCCTTGATTGTTGACTTCTACGACAAAAGAGATGAGATCTAAATGGGTGCCAAGTTCAATGGTCTGTCCTGAAATGTATTTATAACAATATAAAATATCATTTCTTCTTATAACTTAGGATAATATACTGTAGCCTAAGTTCTAACTTGTCCAGTTCTCATATACCAATTATTACTTTCGATTGCTAGTTACTACTAATATTAAAATAGGAACCGACAAGTAACATGTTTAGAACTTGCGAGGGCTACAGTATATTTCGTATACGAGAACTGGCCAAGTTAGAACTTAGGCTACAGTATATTATCCTAAGTTATAAGAAGAAATGATATTTTATAGTTATAAATACATTTCAGGACAGACCATTGAACTTGGCACCCATTTAGATTTCACCTCTTTTGTCGTAGAAGTCAACAATCAAGGTATATATCATAATATTAAACTCGGCTATCATTTCACATTTATGTTTTTGATGGGATACTGTAGTACATTATTTTGATATATCTCGTGATGTTCAGCCAGCGTTTGCAATGTAAACGCAAAATAATGTGTTTATTTACGACATCACATTATAAACCTCTAAATTGATCAGTGTTTCTCTACAATATTATGCATGTATTATATATATAAACCTTCCTCTTGAATCACTCTGTCTATTGCTGGAAACTGCACTAAAATCCGTTGCGTAGTTTTAAAGATTTAAGCATACATAGGGACGGACAGACAACGACAGCGACTTTGTTTTATACTATGTTATACAGTCCCATAGTTCTAATTATCGTTACAATAATAATGTGCCTTATATATAGATTTATTAAGTTCTTTTTTGAACAAATATTTCTTTTATTACTCCAGAAGTCGTCGGTTAAGAAGTCTGTCTGTCCCGCTCACTCTCTCTGTCTGTCTCTTTCCATTACTACAATACTATACTTGATTTTGTTGAGCATTGTGTATATATCAGTTATAAACATTTGCAAATGTCATATATTTATTAGCTAATATGCTAAATATGATGATTACCACCTTTTATGCCTCCTTTCAACCCTTTACAACCCTTTTATATCCCTTTTCAACCCCTTACAATCCTCATTTTTTCGCTTTAGACAGTAGCCTATGTCCTTTCTCAGGGTCTAAACTATCTGTATCGAGTTTCATTTATATCAGTTTAGCAGTTTTGGCGTGAAAGACAGACAGACAGTTACTGTCACATTTATAATATTAGTAAGGATTATTCTAATGTATAAGCTATATTATTGTAAAGTTTGATCAAAATCTGTACAGTAGTTGTGCTTGAAAAAAACAAACATCCATACTAACAAACTCTGGTTAACTTAAATGGATCTATTTTGGATCGTTCTGGGTTTATTATCTTGAAGGAAAAATAAAAGGGAGAGACCATGACACAGTTCAACATTTCTGGTATATAATTGATAGTAATTGGTTTCCAGAGTAGATCGGCAGGTATGATTTTTTTATAACACAGGGGACAAACGAACTTGCGACTCACCACACCAGGGGAATTACAAGTGCGTTGTCGGCCTTTTAAAAAGGAATAAGCTCTTTTCCTGAAGGTATCAATATCGTATCGGTTCGGAAATACCATCGCTGGAAGGTGATTCCACAATGTGATCGAAAATATTGTTTTTAAGTGTATATGTAGTTACAAGTAATCAACGCGCCAGCCCAAACCACTGGACGGATCGGCCTGAAATTTGGCATGCAGGTAGATGTTATGACGTAGGCATCCGCTAAGAAAGGATTTTGATTAATTCTACCCCCAAAGGGATAAAATAGGGGATGAAAGTTTATATGAATGTACTATAAAGCCGCAAAAACTATACCTAATAATAATACTTCTTAACGCGAGCGAAACCGCGGGCAAAAGCTAGTGTAGTTATAATGAAAATGAATCTTAGGTATAGACAAAAAGTTACTCATTTTTTGTATTGTTATAGCTTAGAATAGATTATATTTTATGTAAATTTTTGTTTAAACGTTTATTGTTATTTTATTATTGTTACATTTTATACAATTTTTTGTATATTGTACAGAATTAAATGATAGTGTTTAAAAATTGTTTTATTTAAAAGAGCAACACGCAAGATTCTTGCTCGTTCTTCTTGTGATGAGACAGCTTTCTGAATGAGCGGTAGATTAAAAGAATTGTAACTACGACTATTCAAAAGAGCTTAAATTAAGTTTTTTGGAATAAAAGATTTTTCTAACTTATTTTTACTATTAATGGATGATAATGTAATGGTACACTCGTCTGAGCTGACGGTATACGCTGGCGGGGCCCAGTGGAGGGTGATAAGATGAGCATGAGGTGAGGGGGGGTTAGCACATCGTGACAAATTCACCATGAAGTTATCATATTGGTTTCCAGGGGCAACCACGTGGAGGTCAACCTAACATAGTACATTGCTAGCAATGGGGTTTTTTGACTACATTACAAACAATCCTCGTTATGACGATTAATGGATGATGATGTAGTGGTGCACTCGTCTGAGCTGACCGTATACGCTGGCAGCGTCAGTGGAGGATGATAAGAATATGAGGTCAGGTCAGTTAGCAGATCGTGGGGAATTCATCACGAATTAACAACGTTGGATATGATCTCTCTCTCTCTCTCTCTCTCTCTTTCCTTAGCCATATATTAAAAAAATTCAAAATTCAAAAATCATCTATTCATGTAGGACATTTTAGCCGCTTATGAACGTCAAATTTTACATTATAATTTTATTTTTTCCCTACCGTCCAGTTCCGTATATAGATCCAATTGAGAAGAACTGGCAAGAAACTCAATTGAATTACTTTTTTTTTTAAAGCCAGTTTATTTACAATGTATATTTATATAGGTGTCTATGTCTAACATTAAATGAAATAATAATAAAAATCCTTATTTATTTATTTATTTTTCCATACTTACATCTATTTTTACAGGTCTAAGCCTAACACAATAGTGCAGCAAACATTATTTTTAAAATTAATTGTAACTTGTAATAAATAATGCGATCTTCGTGAACTCATTCAGAGAACAAGAAATTGGATCTATTTGCTCGGTTATATGTCTCAAACAAAAACTTTTCACACAATACAACTGTTGCCCATACAATAATATAAATTAAAACTAATGAATGAGATAAAACGGTCTATAACACAGTGATATCTCGCATAGTGATGGGGTCAGTTTTCCTTATTTTTGTCCGCAATATTTTCTCTATTTTTATCCGTCACCTTATTCTATCCCAGTCGGTCTTAGAAATATAATGAGATGTAACTACTAAAAGTCCGGGAGCTAGAGGCTTTTTCTGTCAATTACTTCATCCCATGTTTGCGAGGGTTCCTCACAACTTGCACTAGACTTTTATGGATGATAATGGAATTGTGCGTGCGCTTACGGTTTACGCTGGCGGCGCACCAGTGGAGTATGATGAGATGAGAAGATGAGGTCAGGTCAGTTAGCACATTATGATATATTCACCAGGAATTTATCACGATGGTTTCCAGGGGCAACCGCGTGGAGGTCAACTCGATATGGTACATTGCTAGGAACGGGCTCAACAGTCCATATTACTAACAATCCCCCTCCAACCACTTGCACTAGATTACATAATACAACTTTTTTAAGCATCTTAGAGATTTTGAAGCTGGAGGAAATTAGTTACTTTTACTTATTCCTGAGTTACGGACTAAGAGTATGAGAATTTTGTAAGAAGTTTGTCAACCTCAGTCATAATTTCAGTGGTAGTGAAATTAAAGAAATAACATATGTTAATATCATTTATTACTATAATTTATCAATAATATTGCACAATATTGACTTAATAATACTTTATTATACTAATACTTTAGGTAAATATACTAATTAGGGGCTCTCCATGAAATACGGCACAGGTTAAGGAGACTCGACGAAGAGTGACATTGTGTGACAAGAGGTTGCAGTTGTCACAAAGTTCCTGTGTGAGAATTATTAAATTATTGTTTTAAAATAATAATGACATAAATCCACGCTGACGTGTATTTAAATTAGAATAAAAAATAACACAAATCATATAGCAAACGATGAAGCGCCTGAAACATTTTAATAGCAATAATTATTAGTATTGCATATTGTTGCTATTAGTACGTTTCGGGCGTAAACAATTAATAATTTCAACTTTACAACAAAAATACGAATATTGACCTAATAAAATTGTTCAGGCTTCTACGTATGTAATATTTTGCAAGGGCACATCGTCTTTGGTACATCCAAAAGAAGAGGAAGAGTGCCATCTGTTATGCGCTATAAGAAACCTCGCGAGTGCCTGCTCAGTGGTAAGGTTTTGATGGTTATCCCCGGAGTTGATACCAGGGCAAAGGGGTTCACCTCGAGGCCCTAACTTTCAGGGATGCGGATGACTAGTATCAGTTCAAACGATCAATTAAAATATTTACACTGGTTTTATACTCACTCTATTCTCCTAAATTTGAACTTAACAATTAATCTGTATTATTGTAAATAATATTTGAAAAGAATACGAGCAGTTTCTTGTCACTTCTCATTTCGAAATCATTCCGAACTGACGATACATTTGACATATCATAAAGCTCTGTAATATACCTATATGATTTAATTTGACATAACTAGAATCCAGAGCCGTAAAACGTAATAAATAAAAAATATTATTATTATATTACAGTTTAATTATCAACCAAATAGGTTGATTTCTATTATTTAATATGTTATAGAAAAAACTGCTGTCACCTATCTACATTGACATCGCTGTTACACCAGTCAGCTCGTGACCACGGCTAGTGCAACCTAGTCGAAACGTCGAGAGAGGTAAATACCTTTATTTACCATAAAATTATTCTTGTTAAGACCCGGTTAATAATATAAATAAAGTATATTAAAAATAATGTTTAAAAAGTAACAAGTGCAAATTTGTAGACCAAAGATTTTTTGGAATGATTATTATTTCAGTGTATGCATTGTCTAACAAAAAATCTAATAAAACTGTAGGTTAGTGGTTGGGACGGTCAAGACTGTCGTAGGTTTGAATTAAAGGTAAGATTTTAACAAATAATAACAATTAAATAGTAATGGACAATTCACACAGCGCCATCTAGTCCCGAGCTGAGTAAAGTTTGTGTTATGGATACCTGACAACTTTTCAAAAAAATTCAAAGTTCAAAATATCTTTATTCATGTAGGTCTTTAACATCAATCTGCAGATTTTGCCAGCAGAAGAGGAAACGCCACTACATATCCTGTGTGTAGTTGTAGCCACTTATGTATAAACGAAATATCTCCTTTGGAAAGTATACACTCTATCCTGAGGAGATAAAAACCATCGCTCCTAAGAATATCCTTCAATTCTTGTGTCATTCGGACTCAGACGATCGCGGTGACGCTCGGTGTCACATACAAAATAAGTGCGTGCTCTCAGTTTGCGAACATAAGTCGGTGTTTTAGTTCCATCCTTTACAACCCTATTACTAGCAATGTACCATGTCAGGTTGATCTCCACGCGGTTCCATCTGGAAACCATCGTGATAAATTCCTGGTGAATTTGTCAGGATGTGCTAACTGACCTGACCTCATGTTCTTATCATCCTCCACTGGTGCCCAGCGTAAACCGTTAGCGCAGGCGGGTGCACCATTACATTATCATTCATAAAAAAATATCGGTTTTTTTACTACAATATTGATGTGAACTATAACAATAGTATAATAGTAATAGTTTATAGAATCGACAGCAATTTCTTTGATGAATCTTTTCCCTTGTGTCGGCCACAAACGATTAACTTAAACAGCTCTGTCATGCCCCATTATTATTATTGGTTTTATGTTTATTTTGGTACGAAATTATATACAATGGTATTGCGTTTTGTGTAAACGTGAATTGATGGTTTGATATTTAATCTATAAAATTTAACGACCTCAGTAGTTTAGTGGTTTAGTAGTGTTAGTTTGTGACGGTCGCAGGTTCGATCGTTCACTGTAATTTGTAACGAATGTAAATTCACACAGCGCCATTTAGACCCAAGTTAAGCTAGCTAAAGCTTGTGTTATGGGTACTAGACAACTGATACATATACATAGATATTTTTAAACAAATGTATGAGTAAAAAGTTGTATAAATTTGAAATTGTAATTGCTAACCAAAGAGGAGATATTTGAGATCAAAGTGACCAGTACGACAAAACGCCAATTTCGTATGTAAGAACCTAATACTATTATAATACTAGCTGTACCCGCCACTTCGTCCGCGTGGAATTCAACTTTATTTATCTAAAATAAAAGATTTTTTCTAAATTAAAAATAGCCTAAGTTACTCCTTATTACAATAGCTACCTGCCAATTAAAGTCCCGTCAAAATCGGTCCAGCCATATCAAAGATTTCAAAAGAAACTCAAATTTTATAATTTAATACTTCGATATATTTTATTTTAAAACGTGACTATGAAATGTAGGCCTCTCCACTCTTTGTCACACAATGTCACACTTCGTCACACTTTATTAACCTCCTCCCCTTAACATGTGACAATTGATGGATGATCGTATGCGAGTACTTTCAACTATGAAGGAGTTTCCCATCAATTGAGACTTACATCTAGGAAACTTAAAGTCATAAATTATCACCACTTAGGGGCCGTTCAAGTATTACATAAGCAGATTTATTACAATTATTCACCCCCCATCCCCCTTGTCAGCAAAAGTAAGCAAAGCTCTTACCCCCTCATGCTTACGTAAACATTTTTCAATTAATGTATTGTTTTTTAGCAAACACTATGTGAGGGTCGCCATTCGTGTAAAAAAGTAAATAACTACCGATGACGTAATCATCATCCAGACTCCCCCACCCCCCCCATGTCATCCAAAATAAGCAAAGTACCCCCCACCCCCTAGTGCTTACGTAATGCTTAAACGGCATCTTTATGCTATTTACAACCTTATTGTCTATACATTCACGTATCATAATGCCCCAAATGGTCGACATGATGGTAGTACCGCCTCGGGTCGTGGTGAGGCAGGTATTGGGGGCACACGCCCCCGTACAGGGAGAGCACGTCGTACTGCGCGGGGGGCGACCTCGTCCGGGGGCCTGGAGGTCCCGACGCGCTAGTGCCGGCCGCCATGCTGAATAATGCTTCAGGGTCACACACGAACTTGTACACGTAGCGTTCTCCTGTGGGCGACAAGAATTATGGCTTTGACTTGAAATTAAATTAAATGAAATTAATGTTTATTTACAAAATACTGGTAATTGACACAGAGCAGACCTTATATAATAATTGATAAAGTGTTCAGCAATATTTACCATTCAATCAAAGTGTGTAAATTATATTTAAAAGCATAAAATTATTTAAACTTCTATAATATAGGTACATTCCTCTTTTATTTAATGTAATTAGATTAATAGATATTAGATAAATATATTAAATTCTCATAAATTACAGTTAGATATAAAATCTTCTACAGAATAAAAATAATTATTAATATTTTTACACTATCAGACAATCATCATTATATAGTACAAAACAAAGTCTCTGTCGCTGTCTGTCCGTCCCTATGTATGCTTAAATCTTTAAAACGGATCTATTAAAAAAACCGCAACGGATGTTGAAGCGGTTTTTTTTATCTATTAAAAGAGAGTGATTCAAGAGGAAGGTTTATTTTATAATTTAATGGCCATTAGGGTGGGTCAAAAAAAATTCTTTTAAGATGTCGATTTCTAATAGCAAAAATAGCTTGTAGTTAGGTATCGTTATAAACACTTTAAAATATTATTCAATTATTTTAAGTAGAACTGCCCGCGCAACGCCACTGAATATTTGAAAAAAATGTTCAAGCATCCACTTTTACACCTTAAAGTTACACGTTTGACGTTGAATAACTTTTTTTTTATACCACATAGGTGGCAAACAAGCTTACGGCCCGTCAGATGGTAAACGGTTAGCGTACATTATAGACGCCTGAAACTCGTAAGAAACCTTAATATACCCTTCTTGAAAAATGCTGTAGTCTGTAGGAAAAACCTCGGCAGGTAGTTCAGTCCATAATGTAATGAATCTTCCGCTCGCCGCGAGCGGTGCGATAGAATAGAATAGAATAGAATAGAAAATCATTTATTCAAATAAACTTAATTTAAGCACTTTTGAATAGTCATAACAATTTGTTTTTTATCTACCACTGGTTCGGAAAGCTGTCTCATCACAAGAAGAACGAGCAAGAAACTCGTGTGTTGCTCTTTTAAATAATCATTGTAAGTTTACATTTACAAGTCGAAACGTGTGAATACAAACTACCAACAAACACTAATTTTTTGGGTCAAATATAATCATGCAATAAGATTAAATCAGTCGTAGTGATAAGAGCAGACCAGTCCCTACAAGCAGCACTCGTTCACGAGTATGACGGATGAGCCAGCCAGCGATAGTTACTATACCATGGGAAATAACTACCAGGGGCGGATCTACTAAGAGCTTTTTGGGCTGCAGGCCAGGACCCCACAATAGTATAACTATAATAAAAGGAGTACTCAAAAATCTTATATATATGTATGTCTATTAATTAGTTTGATAATTATAGTGTCTTGTGTGTGCCATCTACCTCTTCTGTGTATGTTAGTCCTATCTTGCAGGTTGTCTGTAAGAAATTGCTTATAGCGATAAGACCGCCTTTTGTTCATAATTTTCTATTTATTGTTTTTTTTTTCTTATTGTATTTCTTCTATGTGCACAATAAAGAGTTTATTATTATTATTATTATTACTCACCGGCCACTTTTTGCATGATGCCCTTTTCATAGTAGTACCGCAGTGACCTCGACAACTTGTCGTAGTTCATGGCCGGCCGATTCTTCTGCGCGCCCCACCGTCGCGCCACCTACCGTCAATATTAACAAGATCTTGTCACCACAAAAGAAAGAGTAAAAATTATATATATGTATACTAGTGTACCGTGTCGTGTCGGAAAAACGGCGCCACATATCGCCTCCAATTGCTTTTTAGATCCATCCAAGAATTGATAAGAAATTCAATTGAGTTTCTTACCAGTTCTTGTCAATTGAATCTGTATAGTGAATTAGACGGTAGGGAAAAAATTATAATATTTAAAAACTTTAACGTTCATAAGCAGCTGAAATGTCCTACATGAATAAATGATTTTTAAATTTGATTTTCAATTTGAAACTATGTAATTAAGCTACTTAAGTACATGTGTATAAAATTCGTTTATTCATTAAGTTAATACCTAATTATATTTCTCTTCTGCGAAACGGAACGAAACGAATCGAAAAGAAACCATACGAAACGAAACGAATCGTAACGACAGCCACTTCTAGCTGCCTATTATACATATAATTAGTCTAATCTGTTTCATCTGACATTGGTAACTGAAATTCAGTGAATTCCCTAATCGTACCTCCTCGGGTTCATGAAGTTTGAACTCCAAACCTCGTCCGGTCCAGGCGACGCAGCGCGCGCCCTCCGCCAGCAGCGACACGAGGAACTGCCACAGTTGCAGCGCCCCGCGCCGTCCGCCCCCTGCAATATACACATCATGTATGCCACGCCAAACGGCCAGGACGAGTTATTTACTGCCTTTAACACAGAAAAGAATGTGCATGTAAATGTAGACCATTTTACCTAAATGTCGTTTAACTAAAGTTAGTAATTGCGTAAAGTTTTACAACAAAATACCAGAGTCTGTTATAAATCTGTCTGAAGAAAGATTTAAATGTAATAAAACACTTCCTTTGTAAAAAAACATAAAAAATTGAAGAGTTCGTTAATTATAATAATGTTTTTATAGAAAAACTTAAAATCCATAGCACTGACAATATTATCTGATTGCACTAATAATGAGTGCGTAGCGGTTTCTATATTGATTATCGCACGCCTCTTTCTTGTTATACTGTAATTATTTATATAAAAAAAACATCTATTCAAAAGAGCAACACACAAGTTTCTCGCTCGTTCTTCTTGTGATGAGTCTGCGTTCCGAATGAGTGGTAGAATCAAAATATGACAAAAGTGCTTGTAATGAGTTTATTTGAATAAAGATTTAAATCTTTACGACAGTTTTTATCCTATTATTGGACCCAAATAAATTAGTGCTGGTTGGTAGTTTGTATTCACACGTTTCGACTTGTAAATGTGAACTTACAATGATTATTTAAAGAGCAACACGCAAGTTTCTTGTGATGAGACAGTTCCGAATGAGCGGTAGATAAAACAAATTGTTATGACTATTCAAAAGTGCTTAAATTAAGTTTATTTGAATAAATAATTTTCTTTTCTATTCTATTCTAAAGATTATATTTCTGTTTCTTTCAATCGTGCTCAATTGTGTAGTTGGCGTTATATCTCTTGCCACCATGGATTGTCTGGTGGTGAGGTATACCTGCATGCGTGGTGGTAACATGTTGATGTGGTGATGCAGCATCACTCCTAGCTGCAGCCGGAGCGCTGCACAGTGAACTGCTCACTGCGACAGAATACACTCTTATATACTACTCATCCAAGACATCTATACATATAAATAAAATTGGAGTGTCTGTTTGTAATATTGAAGTAACCGTTTTTTACTACATGCATATGATTATAAATACGGTACATACACCAAAATAATATTTTGTAAAATTTTTATCTGTCTGTCTGTTTGTTCCGGCTAGTCACTGAAATGGCTGAACCGATTTTGACGGGACTTTTATTGACAGGTAGCTGATGTAATAAGGGAATATATATATACCACAGATAACATAATATTACATTTATATACTATAATCAGAATTGAACCTCTGATTTTGAGCACTTGTAACAAGATGGCGGTTTTAATATAATGTTAGATTGGAACCTATTTTCTCGTCCCAGTGTTGGTGGTGTTCCGCGCTGCTGGAAACCGTTTCCTCCCTGGTCTCCCGGGGAACCTGGCCCTCCTCGGGACACTTGCTGTACGCCGCGCCACACCTGTACATTGTTGTATCATATAGAGATAGAGGGAAGGGAATTGTTAGTAATGTGGACTAATAACGCCATCACTAGCAATGTACCATGTCAGGTTGACCTCCACGCGGTTCCATCTGGAAACCATCGTTATAAATTCCTGGTGTATTTGTCAGGATGTGCTAACTGACCTGACCTCGTGTTCTTATCATCCTCCACTGGTGCCCCGCCAGCGTATACCGTCAGCGCAATCGGGTGCACCATTACATTATAGTCATGAAAAAAGCGATTGAGGTAAGGGGAAGGGGGTAGTAACCCTATTGCTAGAATTGTAGGATGTCAGGTTGACCTCGCGGTCCTCCCTTGAACGTATCTTCATAAATTTGTGTTATAATATTAAATTCAGCGCTGGAAACTATTTCCAGCATTATGTTGAGTTGTGCTCCACATTGACTTCGTTTTTTAATGTGTAAATTATTCTTGTATTTCTTATGTTATTACTGTCAAAACGAGTTAATAAAAATTCTATTCTATTCTATTCTATTCTATTCTAAATTAAAATGTGTCATCAAAGCTTGGAGACCTCTACATCACCCTACACCTGCGCTGTAGCACGGTGCGTGTGACAGTTTCGTTTCACTCTTAAAAGTTGCCGCAATTTACAAATTCTGTGATTTCAGCTGTACCACATTGGTGTGTACTAAATAATTACTAACTGTATTAACTTTAATTTAATTTACATAATTTCAGTTGGAATGTTCTTTTTTTTCTTCTTTTTTATGGCTTGGCACTCTGTACATTATTGTATATCAATATTGTATATCATTTTAAAAGTATTTAGATAATGATCATAAATAGGCGGGGAAAAATGTTGGGGCACTTGATACGACACGACGAACTAATTAACAACATTATAGAAGGAAAAATAGATGGAAAGAGAGGAGGGAAGACCGAGACACAGCTACATCAAGCAAGTTAAAGAAAAAGTTGGAGTCGTGTCGTATCAACAGCTAAAGGGACTGATAGAAGATCGTGGAAGGTGGCGGGAGCTCCACCGACAAGAGCACAGCTCTTAAATTATGAATGAATTAGATAATGATTAAGATGGCGGCGTGGTTAATTTAATTGACTTATATAAAAGGAGGCAATTTTAGATTATAATTTTGAAAAATTACATTTTTCTATTTAAGCGACGATATATAAAATTTGGGAAACAATTGTTCAGGTAAATCCAGAATGGAGATTGTATGAATGAAGGTAGCTGTCACCAGCACCATGGTACAGCGCACATGCTAATGGAGGATCATAGATCTTAGATTTCATAATTTTTTAGATAAAGTTTGTGACACGTCCATTCTCTCTCTATCTCTATTCGTCGGAATTACGACGGCCTCAGGTACGATCCCCTAGCGGTGCCCTCTGACTGTCGTCGTATCCGTCAGGCGGGAGTTGTCCTTCAGCCGCTCCATAAGTCCTTCCTTTGGTTTGGAGTGACATCTGCACTCGCCCCCTATCGTCCGGTGAAGCTGTAAAGGCCAGCTGCGGACAACAGCATTAGAGTAGTTCGAAAAAAATATTATAAGACTTTTCTTCAAGTCTCACTCGCGATAATCCCACATCTTTTTATATATATCTTATATACAAAATTCTCGTGTCACAGTTTTCGTTCCCATACTCCTCCGAAACGGCTTGACCGATTCTCATGAAATTTTGTGAGCGTATTGAGTAATATTACTTGTAATATTACCCTCTCTCTCTTTTTCCATTACTTTTTTTCCGGATTACTCTAATACTGTTGGCCCCAGCTGTCCTCACTAGAACTGTGTATATTCCGTAGTAAGCTACGGAATATACACTGTTCTAGTGTATCCTTGGCTTTCATTTGCCTGTAGGGTCTAAGATCTAGTATAGTTCAGTCATTAGTACAGCACTAAATAATCCCTATCGTCCGGTGAAGCTGTAAAGGCCAGCTGCGGACAACAGTATTAGAGTAGTCCGGAAAAATAACATCAGCTTGTTTTCAATTCTAATTATATAAAAATGGTTGTCGTTCAAAAGGTCAAAACTATGTTTGAAAACTGTATGGTTCCATACATATGTGTGTGTGTCAGTACCGCGCCGGCTCACCTGTGCAGGTGGTAGTGTTCTCTGTAGTCGGCCCGAGGTTCATCTTCTCCCTTACATCTAGAATAATAACAGACATGTATACATCACGCACTTTGTTTTGATGCGTCGTAGCCTTGTAATTTATTAACTTGGGTTACACTGAATGGTCGTAAGTTCTCAACTCGCCGGTGATAGTAACAGCGGTAACAAACCAAACGAACACATCAAAATTAATATTATATCACTAGTGGCAGTGAGGCCACTAGTCACTGTTGTGATGACAGGACCGTAAGATGTGGTAGTAAACGGACTCACAGTAGTTAATTTTAAACTTTCGTGTTTAATAGACATTATTTAAATTATTAACCGGGTCTTAACACGAATAATTTTATGGCAAATAAAGGTATTTAAGATTAACTTACACTTGTGTTGCTAACAATCCCCTCGTCGTGTGTATAACTTACACTTGTGTTGCTAACAATCCCCCCGTCGTATGTTTTACTAACACTTGTGTTGCTAACAATCCCCTCGTCGTGTGTATAACTTACACTTGTGTTGCTAACAATCCCCACGTCGTATGTATAAATTACACTTGTGTTGCTAACAATTCCCCCGTCGTGTGTATAACTTACACTTGTTTTGCTAACAATCCCCTCGTCGTGTGTATAACTTACACTTGTGTTGCTAACAATCCCCTCGTCATGTGCATAAATTACACTCGTGTTGCTAACAATCCCCTTGTCGTGTGTATAACTTACACTTGTGTTGCTAACAATCCCCTCGTCGTATGTTTTACTAACACTTGTGTTGCTAACACTCCCCTCGTCGTGTGTATAAATTACACTTGTGTTGCTAACAATCCCCTCGTCGTATGTTTTACTAACACTTGTGTTGCTAACAATCCCCTCGTCGTGTGTATAAATTACACTTGTGTTGCTAACAATCCCCTCGTCGTATGTTTTACTAACACTTGTGTTGCTAACAATCCCCTCGTCGTGTGTATAAATTACACTTGTGTTGCTAACAATCCCCTCGTCGTGTGTATAACTTACACTTGTGTTGCTAAGAATCCCCACGTCGTATGTATAAATTACACTTGTGTTGCTAACAATCCCCCCGTCGTATGTTTTACTAACACTTGTGTTGCTAACAATCCCCTCGTCGTGTGTATAAATTACACTTGTGTTGCTAACAATCCCCTCGTCGTGTGTATAACTTACACTCGTGTTGCTAACAATCCCCTTGACGTATGTTTTCTACCACTTTGTTGCTAACAATCCCCTCGTCGGGTGTTTAACTTACACTTGTGTTACTAACAATCCCCTCGACGTATGTTTTCTACCACTTGTGTTGCTAACAATCCCCTCGTCGGGTGTTTAACTTACACTTGTGTTGCTAACAATCCCCCCGTCGGGTGTTTAACTTACACTTGTGTTGCTATCAATCCCTAGTTGGGTGTTTAACTTACAGTTGGGTTGCTAACAATCCACTACTACTATTGTTTAGGTTACACTTGTGTTGCTAACAATCCCCTCATCGTGTGTATAACTTACACTTGTGTTGCTAACAATCCCCTCGTCGTGTGTATAACTTACACGTGTGTTGCTAACAATCCCCCCGTCGTGTGTATAACTTACACGTGTGTTGCTAACAATCCCCCCGTCGTGTGTTTAACTTACACTTGTGTTGCTAACAATCCCCTCGTCGTGTGTATAACTTACACTTGTGTTGCTAACAATCCCCCCGTCGTATGTTTTACTAACACTTGTGTTGCTAACAATCCCCTCGTCGTGTGTATAACTTACACTTGTGTTGCTAACAATCCCCACGTCGTATGTATAAATTACACTTGTGTTGCTAACAATTCCCCCGTCGTGTGTATAACTTACACTTGTTTTGCTAACAATCCCCTCGTCGTGTGTATAACTTACACTTGTGTTGCTAACAATCCCCTCGTCATGTGTATAAATTACACTCGTGTTGCTAACAATCCCCTTGTCGTGTGTATAACTTACACTTGTGTTGCTAACAATCCCCTCGTCAAGTGTTTAACTTACACTTGTGTTGCTAACAATCCCCCCGTCGTATGTTTTACTAACACTTGTGTTGCTAACAATCCCCTCGTCGTGTGTATAACTTACACGTGTGTTGCTAACAATCCCCCCGTCGTGTGTATAAATTACACTTGTGTTGCTAACAATCCCCTCGTCGTGTGTATAACTTACACGTGTGTTGCTAACAATCCCCCCGTCGTGTGTATAACTTACACTTGTGTTGCTAACAATCCCCTCGTCTTGTGTATAACTTACACTAGTGTTGCAAACAATCCCCTCGTCGTATGTATAAATTACACTTGAGTTGCTAACAATCCCCCCGTCGTATGTTTTACTAACACTTGTGTTGCTAACAATCCCCTCGTCGTGTGTATAACTTACACGTGTGTTGCTAACAATCCCCCCGTCGTGTGTATAAATTACACTCGTGTTGCTAACAATCCCCTCGTCGTGTGTATAACTTACACTTGTGTTGCTAACAATCCCTTCGCCGGGTGTATAACTTACACTTGTGTTGCTAACAATCCCCCCGTCGTGTGTATAAATTACACTCGTGTTGCTAACAATCCCCTTGACGTATGTTTTCTACCACTTTGTTGCTAACAATCCCCTCGTCGGGTGTTTAACTTACACTTGTGTTACTAACAATCCCCTCGACGTATGTTTTCTACCACTTGTGTTGCTAACAATCCCCTCGTCGGGTGTTTAACTTACACTTGTGTTGCTAACAATCCCCCCGTCGTGTGTATAAATTACACTCGTGTTGCTAACAATCCCCTTGACGTATGTTTTCTACCACTTTGTTGCTAACAATCCCCTCGTCGGGTGTTTAACTTACACTTGTGTTACTAACAATCCCCTCGACGTATGTTTTCTACCACTTGTGTTGCTAACAACCCCTCGTCGGGTGTTTAACTTACACTTGTGTTGCTAACAATCCCCCCGTCGGGTGTTTAACTTACACTTGTGTTGCTATCAATCCCCTAGTTGGGTGTTTAACTTACAGTTGGGTTGCTAACAATCCACTACTACTATTGTTTAGGTTACACTTGTGTTGCTAACAATTCCCTCGCCCCTATCGTTTGCATTACCGTTGTGTTGCTTACTGTGTGGTGGGTATGAGGGTGTGCTGTAGGGGGTGGTGCCTGTGGAGGGTGTACTCTTGGTGGTCGTAGTGCGCGGCGGACGGCGGGCGGCGTTGGTTGCTCGGCGGGACGCTCGCCGCGCTCTCACTGCGTCAATCAGAGAAACAGAATCTTATGTTAACTTTGATGGCCTTTGGTCTAGCGGTTTAACATACCTTACTTTGAATGATCGCGGGTTCGATTCCTCGCACGGCACAAATATTTGTATTCATGAGTATGATTGTTTGTGGCGGTCTTCTCTATGTATTTAAGAAAAAATATATTTATATATTTGTATTAGTTGTCTAGTACCCATAACACAAGTTTTAGCTAGTTTAACTTGGGTCTAGATGGCGCTGTGTGAATTGTCTTGAGATTATTATTATTATTATTATTATTGTTAACTGTCGTGTAGCACCATTAACAAAAAATGTATATGTCAATATTTCTTTATCTAAGGCATTCAGAGTACTGAACACCACAGATAACATAACTGAAACAGAACGGCAGAGGCTAGAGCCAATACCGTCTTTACCATAAGGGCACACGGGGCCCGTGCCCAGGGCCCCCTCTCTCAGGGGGCCCCGAAGGACTGACACTACACTTTTTTCACAAATCAGTAATGTTATCAGAAGATATTTACAAGGCATATACTATTGAATGTTTTTTCTATTTTATTATTTCATTGAATTAGTGCTAATCGGTGATTTGTATTCACACACTTAAACTTAAATTATAAGTAAGATATAAGTAAGAATAAATTATTTAAAAGAGCAACACACAAGTTTCTTTCTTGTTCTTCTTGTGATGAGACAGCTTTCCGAATGAGCGGTAGATTAAAAAAAATGTAATGACTATTCAAAAGTGCTTCAATGTAAGTTTATTTGAATAAATGATTTTCAATTTTGAAAAAAAGCTCATTAGGTATAAGTACCTAATGAGCTTTTTTTTACTTTCCAAAACGAGCCCCGAATGTGTGCCCAAGCCTAGTTTTGAGGGCGGTGGCTAGAGCCTAAATCTCTGTGACATTGACAAGTAAATTGATGGTTGTATTGAACTGACAGCGAGAGCTGAAGGTTGGAGCGTTTGTTATTGTCAAATAGACTAGCTGTGCTCGCGGCTTGGTTCGCACAGCGCACGCAACGGAAGCCCTCAAATGTGAATAATTATCACCGTTTTTGCAACATTTTTCATTGATGCTCCGCTCCTGTTGGTCGTAGCGTAATGTTATATAGCTTAAAGCCTTCCTCGACAAATGGACTAGCCAACACGAAAATAATTTTTAAAATCGAACTAGTAGTTCCTGAGATTAGCGCTTTCAAATAAACAAACAAACTCTTCAGCTTTAGAATAGAATAGAAAGTCATTCATTCAAATAAACTTAATTTAAGCACTTTTGAATAGTCATAACAATTTTTTAATCTACCGCTCATTCGGAGCTGTCTCATCACAAGAAGAACGAGCAAGAAACTTGTGTGTTGCTCTTTTAAATAATCATTGTAAGTTCACATTTTACAAGTCGAAACGTGTGAATACAAACTACCAACCAGCACTAATTTATTTAAGCTCAAATATAAAAACACAATAAGATTAAATCAGTCGTAGTGATAAGAGCAGACCAGTCCCTACAAGGAGCACTCGTTCACGAGTATGACGCTTTATTATATTAGTCAAACAAATAAGAGAAATGTAATTGTGAATATTGTAGGCATCGAGGGTTTTATCCCGGATTTAGGTGAGTGTTAATCAGGGCCGGATCGTGAATTTGAGGGGGCCCTAGACTTAACCTACTTAGGGCCCTCGTAATTATATTACTCAACTTAAAAAATACACCAACCAAAAACAAGCGACCAGAGATTCCCCTGTGATGACAGGAGGGTGGTGAGAGTAAACACACACAGTAGGGTGTAACTTGTATATTAACTGTTACATCTTGATTTACTCTAGCTTACACTAATTACATAAACTATATATATGAGCTACTGCGTCACCTACGTGTCGTAAGATAAAACGTACACTGGCACAATGTACTATTGAACGTGCTGATTTGCATCACTATATCACACCCCGTTCCTTTCAGTAGACGCGCACTTGTTTGATCTCAGGGTTGCCAATCTTATGGTTTTCAAACATTCTAGATATTTTTTATATTCTAAATATCGTTTCGTAGCGTGTGAGACGTGGACATTAAATCAAAAGGAAAGAGACAAACTGGAGGCTTTTGAAATGTGGTGTTGGAGGAGGATGGAAAGAATTAGCTGGAAGGATAAAGTAAGAAACGAAGAAGTACTACACAGGGTAAAAGAAAAAAGACAAATATTGAACACCATAGAAAATAGACGAGGAAAAATGTTAGGGCACTTGATACGGCACGATGATTTCATGAAAATTATTATTGAGGGGAAAGTAGAAGGAAAGAGGGGGAGGGGAAGAGCAAGGAATAGCTACATCAAACAAATTGAGGACAAAATGGGAGTCGTGTCGTATCAAGAATTAAAGAGCATGATGAAAGATCGCGGAAAGTGGCAAGAGCTCCACCGACAAGAGCGTAGCTCTTAAATTATGAATGAATGAAATATCGTTTCAGTGGGGACTGGGGGGCTTTTGTACTTCAAGGCCCTGGGCTACAGCCCAAAAAATGCATTCTGAAAGGGCCCTTTAAACCTACACCCGTATCACAAGTCACTACTTGGGGTTCCTCTCCCGGTAGCCTAACAAGAGCCTAGCTTTTAAATTATGAATGAATGAAATATCGTTTCAGTGGGGACTGGGGGGCTTTTGTACTTCAAGGCCCTGGGCTACAGCCCAAAAATAGCCTAACAAGAGCCTAGCTTTTAAATTATGAATGAATGAAATATCGTTTCAGTGGGGACTGGGGGGCTTTTGTACTTCAAGGCCCTGGGCTACAGCCCAAAAATGCATTCTGAAAGGGCCCTTTAAACCTACACCCGTATCACAAGTCACTACTTGGGGTTCCTCTCCCGGTAGCCTAACAAGAGCCTAGCTTTTAAATTATGAATGAATGAATGAGTGTAGTACCCGTGTCTGTGCTGATAGTGGAGCCCCCAGGGCAGCGAGAAGGGAGCCTGCGACATCTCACGCCGCGCCCCGCCGCCGCCCGGCACGCGCCCTCATCCGCGCCTGTACACAAAAACACTATTAAAGAAAAAAATATATATTCAGTGCTTTTCATCAATTTTACGATATAAAAAAAAACAAACACCAAAAAAAAAAAATTAAATTCAATATAACATGTAGATAATCTATACATATAAATAAAATTGGAGTGTCTGTTTATAACATTGAAATAACCGTTTTTTTACTACATGCATAACATTTTTTACAACTATTGTCTGTCAGTCTGTTCGTTCCGGCTAATCTCTGAAATGGCTGGACCGATTTTGACGGGACTTTTATTGGCAGGTAGCTGATGTAATAAGGAGTAACTTAGGCTACATTTATTTTAGAAAAATAAACTTAAATTCCACACGGACGAAGTCGAAAATACAGCTAGTGTGTAATAACATTTTATATTCTATTCTAAGATTGTACGTGTCACGAACTCTCGAATGAATTGAGACTGAAAATTTGTGTTATTTCCCTGAACAATAATCACTTGGTTTTTACAATTGTAAAGTACATTTAAAAAATATATTGTACATATAAGACAGCTTTAGCAGCCTTACTTCCGATGGTCGCGGGTTCGATTCCTCGCACGGCACAATTGTATTCACGAGTATGATCGTTTGTGATCTGGGTGTTTTCTATGTATATTATGTATGTTTTAAAATAAAAATGTCCTTATGTATATGTATCAGTTGTCTAGTACCCATAACACAAGCTTTAGCTAGCTTAATTTGTGTCTAGATGGCGCTGTGTGAATTGTCCTGAGATTATTATTATTTTTAAACGAGACTGAGGTATCCACGCAGTCTGTTTTTACAAACGCTGCAAAACATTATTGAAAATTGAAACGACAACAATTCTGTAAAAAAAACGTAATTTGAGGATATTGTAATATCCATTTCGGGTACAAACATCACGCACAAAATCCAATCGCGGCTGGCAGCCGGATATTGCGAATCTGCGTTAATGCGACTGTCGCGTCGCACGCAAACTGCCTTGCAGGATTATCAGTTATCGATTGAGATGCTGGGGGACACTTTTAAGAGACGACAGATAATAATCTCAGGACAATTCACACAGCGCCATCTTGTCCCAAGTAAGCTAGCTAAAGCTTGTGTTATGGGTGCTAGACAACTGATACAAATATATAGATATTTTTTTTTCGTGTAAATGCATATTATATATAGAAAATATTCAGATGGATACAAACAATCATACTCATGAATACAAATTGTACCGTGCGAGCAATCGAACCCGCGACCATCGGAAGTAAGACGGTGTGCTAAACCCCTAGACCACCTGGAGTCAAGCTCGCCAAAATGTAAAATTTTTAAGTGCAATAAAATAATAAATAAATATACATAGAAAACACCGAGAGCGATACAAACAGTCATACTCATGAATAAATTGTACCGTGCAAGGAATCGAACCCGCGACAGCGAAGTAAGACGGTGTGCTAAACTTATGGGACGCAGTCACCTAGATACATGAAAATAATAATTGCATTTAATAATGTCTAGTAAGACAAATTCAATATTGTCTACTAGGCACTGCTGTATCTAAACTGTGTCACCCCACCTTACATGTTCCTATTGTTATTTAGTATATAAGATCATTATTTCTATGTACATATTGTCAGTTTATCATCATCTGTAATATACATCGTCTCGACCAACAACATCGTAAAATTTACACGCAACAAAACTCATTACATAGTATAAAACAAAGGCGCTGTCGCTGTCTGTCCCTATGTATGCTTAAATCTTTAAAACTACGCAACGGATTTTGCAGCGGTTTTTTTAATAGATAGAGTGATTCGATAGGAAGGTTTATATGTGTAATACACGTATATCCGTGCGAAGCCGGGGCGAGTCGGTAGTTTATTTATAACTAGCTGTACTCGCGACTTCATCCGCGTAAAATAGTGAGCTTGACCAAATAATGAAAAAAAAATGTTATGACCTAACCCAATAAAAGCCAAATGAAAAAGTTTCATCCTGTTTGCTTCAAATATGACGACCCTTCCATACATAACTCTTTCAACCCCTTATAACTCTTTTTCTAAATATGTATTGAATAAATAAGTTAAAAATGACAATATTTCCATATAAACATTTATTCCCCTTTAAATTCTTTACAACCCATTTTTCTTTATTTATAATTAATCAACAGCCTCAAAAATAAGTTTCAATCTTCTAGCTTCAAAAATCACGATTCTTCCATACAATCTTTCATCTCCAATTTCAACCCCTTACATCCCAATTTTCGCATTAAAAAGTAGCCTATGTCCTTTCTCAGGGTCTAGACTATCTGTGTACAAAATTTCATTTAAATCGGTTCAGTAGTTTTGGCGTGAAAGCGAGACAAACAGACAGACAGACAGACAGAGTTACTTTCGCATTTTTAATATTAGTAAGAATTAAGCCCCCTAGGTGTGGCGGGTGGCTCATCAACATTCAAGCTCGGGACTCGAAGCCGTACTCACAAATGCAATTCCGCGACGCACAAGGTACAATCACCTCGTATTGTTAGCCAATATTACATTCAAATTTACAATATCAATACGCACTCAATTTGAGATTTATCTTATTTGAATGGTACATACGGCCCGCCGGATGGTGAGCGGTAAACGTCGCGTTGTGGTCACAGACAACATGCTGTCCACCTTCATGAAGGAAGACTGCTGGTCGCCACTACCGTGGATTGTCATATTTATGTTAGCTGTACTCGCGACTTCGTCCGCGAGAAATTTAACTTATTTTTCCAAAATTAAAGAATTTTTCTAAAATTAAAGTAGCCTAAGTCACTCCTTGTTACATCTTGAAAAACCCCATGCTGTGGTCTCTATAGAATCATAAGAGTCTGTAGACCTACACGAATAAAGATATTTTGAATTTGTATCGATTTTGACTTAGACTGGCCCCGCAAACATATTGCCATATGAGAAGAAGCAACAGTGAGAATATTTGCCTCTTTGAATTTCTCTCTTAATTTTGTTTTATTTATAATACAGGAGACAGACGAGCATGCGGCTCACCTGATGGTAAGTGATTACCGCCGCCCGTGAGCACCCAACACCAGGGGAATTGCAAGTAAGTTGTTGGTGACCATAAACATAAAATATTTTACTAGCTGACCCACGCGGTTTCGTCTGTATCATACTTATTTGACATTTTTCAGTATATTTCGCTCAATTTACATAATTTTTTTTTTAATTATAGTGTACTAGCTTTCAACGCGGCGTCGCTCACATGTTTTTTTTTTAGTAAAAATATCCTAAGTTCATTCTAATACCTCCAAAATTTCATGATGATCGGTTCAGTAGTTTTCGCGTGAAAGCGTAACAAACATACCTACTGTCACATTTATAATATTAGCACAGATAACATAATATTACATAATATTAGTAAGGATTGTAGAGAACGGAATCGAACGCACGACCTCGAGGTTGCAAGCTGAATAAGACTAAGAAATCCAATGAAAAATCCATGTCGATCACAATCAGCTGGTGGCGCCCCGCAGACAGGAAATGAACCCGCGGCCGACTTCCGCCGCCCCGGCACACCGCCCGCCCACCGCGCCCATGTACCGAACACAGACGCACAGACACGCTAGACAACGTGCTGTTGTATTTATTACTAGCTATTCTCCCTGGCTTCGCCTGGGTGTACATGTATTATACATATAAACCTTCCTCTTGAATCACTCTATCTATTAAAAAAACCGCTTCAACATCCGTTGCGTAGTTTTAAAGATTTAAGCACACATAGGGACAGACAGACAGCGACAGCGACTTTGTTTTATACTATGTAATGATATGTAGAAATAGAAAACATCAGACCGATCCAAACAATCATACAAATGTGTATTACCGTGCGAGGAATCGAACCCGCGACCATCGGAGGTAGCGGCGTGTGACATGTTAGAAAGTGACAGAAAGTGACAGTGTATGTCTGTACTGCTTACACAGTTCAGTCTTATAATCTACTAGCTGTTCCCCGCGACTTTGTCCGCGTGAAATTTAACTTTCATTTACTAAAATAAAAGTAGCCCTTATTACATCAGCTACCTGCCCATGAAAGTCCCGTCAAAATCGGTCCAGCCATTTCAGAGATTAGGCGGAACAAACAGACAGACAGACAGACAAAAATTGTAAAGAATGTTATTTTAGTGTATATTCATATACATGTAGTAAAAACGGTTATTTCAATATTACATACAGACACTCCAATTTTATTTATATGTATAGATGGTAGAGCTGGAGTATTTGCAATGTCTGTCCCACATATTTAAGTCGTCAAGCAAATTGCTTTGTAGCGTTTCTTTAGCTTTCAGTAACTTAACTTGTTACATCTGATAATAAAAGAAAATTCCAAAAACTCAAATAGAAATGGGACCAACCTAAACCAAACTGTTAGAGACAATCATGCTCATGAATACAAGTGTTTGTACCGTGCGAGGAATCGAACCCGCGACCATTATATGTAAGCTTGTTTATACTGCTAGATCACCGAAGCCGTCATAATACTATGATTATTAAACGACGCCCTCGGTGATCTAGTGGTTTAGTACACTGACTTTATACTACACGAGTATGATTGTTTGTTTCGGTCTGGGTGTTTGCTATGTATTTCTATGTTATTTAAAAAAAAACTATGTATTTGTATCAGTTGTCTAGTACCCATAACACAAGCTTTAGCTAGCTTAACTTGGGTCTAGATGGCGCTGTGTGAATTGTCCTGAGATTATTATTATTATTATTAAAAAGATTTGAATTCACGACCTCTGTACTCAAGCCGTGGCAGCCAACCACTAAACCGCAACGGTGTCGACATTTATTGGGAACGTGAATAAAATTTTTAAATTATTAAATTTCGCGGCGGAGCCCTAACTGTCAATTGATTATTCCGCACGGTGCCGCAGCCCCCGGCGCGCGCCCACCTGATTGACACGTACGGATTGACAAACAGGTGGATTGTTATTATAATACACAGGAAGCCACGTGGCAAATATTA